TCTCTCTCTATCTCTCTCTATCTCTCTCTATCTCTCTCTCTCTGCATGTCTCCTCCCTTCCTTCCCTCGTCGACTTTCCTCATTTTGTGACACTACAAGCACAACACGGGAGTTTATCAGTCCATGATGCCTCCGCCTTGGCCACTTCAGCTCCCTGATCAGCTTCCTCGCGATAAGGTGACGATAACACTGGTGGTGGCCTTGGCTGCTGAGTGCTTCCTGCCCGTGTTGCAGGCGCCATTGGCGTCTGGGCTGATACGTGACGTGACCCCGCTGCCATTGCTTATCGGAGCATAAGATCGATACATTTACCCAAAAAGCAGCATCTGCTCTGCGACTGAGGACGTTGCACAATACGTGTTGCGGCTGGCCATGTCTCCCTTACTTTGACGGGTGGTTTGCAGAGCGTTCTTTTGCTTCTTCGGTGTTCACAGTTCCTTGTCACTATGGCGGAAAAGTCCCAGAAGATGGGAATAGCAGTGGGCGAGGAGCCTTTGCTCGAACAAGGGGACATGCAGCTTTTAGGTGCGTCTGCGTGCCTCTGTCTGGTTTGTTGCCCGTGCTGATGAAGCCAGCGGCGCTGGGGTATAAGCAGGAGCTGCGCAGACATTATTCGACGGTTCAGGTCTTCGCAATTGCGTTCAGTATCATGAGCTTGCTGCCGTCCATTGCCTCGGCCTTATCGTTTTCTGTTTCCGCAGGACCTGTGGGCATGGTTTGGGTATATTATTCTACCTACTGCCTTCCGCTGTCTGAGTTTTGGCTGACACTATTCCATAGGATACGCCTATTTCTTGATCGTGCATTGCGGTATGATGAGAAAACGGTCTGACTGGAGTTTCAGGGTGGCTTGCTGCGCGTGTGTTCATCTTCATTGTCGCATTGGCCATGGTACGCATGCCTGCCCTCGCCATCTACGCGGATGCTTCTAATACTTTGGCATTCTATGCCGATCTAGCGTCTGCAATGCCTACCGCCGGTGGCCTTCATTTCTGGACTCATTTAATTCAGCAAAGAGAAATGCAAGAAACCTTTGAGCTTTGTCGTCGGATACAGCAACACGATTGGCCTTGTTGGAGGCGTCTGTTCTATAGATTGTGAGCAGGGTCCATTTTTCTCGCTAGGTCCCCTTCCCCATCGGCGTTTTGTACTGACTCTTAAAGGGAAGATGGATTCGCGACTATGCTGCTGGCTTTCGTCTCCATTGCGCGTGATGGCAAATGGACTGCCTCTCGTCGGGCCCTTTACGGTAAGTATGTAGCCTGTGTCATCGTCCACGGTTTGATTGCCATCTTCTTCGCGCGGGTAATGCCTAAGATCCAGTCTGTCTGCATTGTCCTCAACATGGGCCTTGTGTTCGTCACTGCTCTGGCCCTACCGATTGGCAAGGCAGTCAGTTGGGGGAAGATTTATTCGGGTGCCTACGTTTTCGGCCACAGTGAGAATCTCACCACCTGGCCGGAGGGCTTGAGCTTTATGATGGCATGGTTGTCACCCATCTGGACCATCGGTGCGTTCGACTCGTGCGTTCATATGAGCGAAGAGGTCACCCATGCTGCGCGAGCGGTCCCACTGGGTATAGTCTGGTCCGCGGGACTCTGCGGTCTGCTGGGATTTGTCTCTCTGACGATCATGGCCGCTGTGATCGACGTGGATCTGGCGGCAGTCCTAGACTCGAAGTTTGGCCAGCCTGAGCCTCGTTAGTCGCTCCTGTTTTGAAATCTCGATTCGAGTGAATCCTCCTCAAAATTAACCCCCACCCCCCGCAAACACGATACAGGTCGTCGCTGCCTCGCGCCAAAGCTGGGCCTTCTCGCGCGACGGCGCCCTCCCCTTGTCCTCCTTCTTCCGGCACGTCAGCAAACGCATCCGCTTCCAGCCCATCCGGATGGTCAGCGCGGTGGTCGTCATCGCCGTCCTCCTCGGCCTGCTCTGCCTGATCGACAACGCCGCGGCGAGCGCGCTGTTCTCCCTCGCCGTGGCCGGCAACGACTTGGCCTGGATGGTGCCGATCCTCGCCCGGCTCGGCTGGGGGCGAGATCGGTTTCACCCGGGTGAGTTCTACACCGGCCGGCTGAGTACTCCCATCGCCGTCACTGCGATCGTGTACCTGGCTTTCGCCTTCGTGCTGAGCATGTCCCCACCAAGGGGCCGAATCCGACCTGTAAGTTTATTTTTCATTCAGAGAGATGGCTTTTCATTCCTCTGGGCGGAATGAGATGAGTTAGTGGGTTGTGTTCTGATTAAACCGGTATATTCTGATGTCTGGATCCCTTAGCCGCGAACATGAACTATACTGTCGTCATTGATGGGGCGTTATGGCTCGGGGGCTTGCTGTATTATGCGGTCTATGCACGCAAGGTGTTTAAGGGCCCGCAAACGACATTAGGGGAGTCTTCAAGTCCAGAGACGAGGCTCCAGGTGGGTGGGGAGGAAGAAAAGGGAAGGTGATACTTTAGAGGGATAGGTGGTACAAGCTTGGTTTTATTTCATGTTCATACTACGTGACCATCGAACGTGGAATCCATACTAGAACCTCGAAGGGCTAGTTAATTCAATACGCCATTAAAATTCCATGGCCAGGGAAATTGATTTGCTGCTGCTGCTGTGTGTGATACATTAGATCGTAAGATTTACCCCATTGAGTCTTGTATGTTTAGCATCGATGGGGGGGATTCGAAAGAGGATGAGAAGAAAGGGCAATAAGCACAAGCTAGGGAAAAGAAATCTCGTCTCCTTCGTAAAGACGGATGAACCATCCCGGTCCAGCGAGATAAGGGTTTCGATCGATCATGAACGAACCGATTACTCGGGCACTTCGAGGACATAGCGACCAGCGATCTTGCCTTGTTCTGTTTTGTTTCTTGGGGTTAGCATTTACTTTCTCGTTGATGATAGATAGAGGGACAGAAGGGGAAGGAGAGCGACGTACCCATCATCTCGAAGATGCGAGGGAGATCCTTCAGGGGAGCGGTCTTGAAGGGAGCATTGATCAGGCCGCGGGCAAAGAAATCGACGGCCTCGACGCCGTCCTGGCGGTTGCCGACGTAGCTGCCCTTGATGTTGATCATGCGGACGACGGTGTTGAAGACGGGGGCGCGCAGGAAGGCATTGCCGGGCAGACCGATGGCGACGACGCTGCCGCGCGAGCGGACGTACTCGGTGGCCTGCTGGAAAGGCTTCTCGGCCACGGCCAGGAGGATGACGGCGTGGGCGCCGAGACCCTCGGGAGTGGCGGCCTTGACGTCGGCGACGATATCGGAGGTCGTGGTGAAGTCGATGTAGGCCTGGTATTGTCCATGGTTAGCTTCTTATGAGGAGAACCGATCGGTCATTATGGGTTTCATCTTCTCACCTCGGATCCCAATTTCTGACACATTTCCTTCTTCTCCTCACCCCCGTCGATGGCGATGGTCCTCAACCCCATGGCTTTGGCGTACTGCAGAGCCAACGAGCCCAAGCCACCGCCGGCGCCGACGATGGCGACGGTCTGACCGGGCCGGGCGCCGGACTCCTTGAGACCCTTGTAGACGGTGATGCCGGCACACAGAATCGGGGCCACAGCGTCCAGCGGCACCTCCTTGGGCAGCTTGGAGGCGTGGCTGGCCAGCGCCAGCGCGTACTGCTGGAAGGTACCGTCGACGGTGTATCCGGACAGCGAGGCGTGCGGGCACAGCGGCTCCTCGGCCTGCTTGCAGAACTCACAGGCCAGGCACGAGCCGTTCAGCCACTTGATGCCCGCGTGGTCGCCGATCTCGAACTCGGTCACCAGCTCGCCCCGCGCCACCACGATGCCCGCCCCTTCGTGCCCGCCCACCAGCGGCTGCTTGAGCGGCAGCGGCCAGTCGCCCTTCATCGCGTGCAGGTCCGTGTGGCACACCCCCGTGTACCGAATCTTAATCAGGATCTGGTCCGGTCCCGGCTTCGGCACCGGGATCTGCTTGTAGACCGGCGGTTGGCCCTTTTGTTCGATCACCTGGGCCCATTGGGTCTCGGGGATGGTGGGGTTGGACATTTTGATTGGAGGAGTTGCAGGGACGTAAAGGATGGAGGTAGAGGAAGTGACGAAGAGGGAGAGAAAGGGTAAAGAGTTGATGGTGGTTGGAAGGTGGGAAGTGGAAGTGGAAGTGGAAGTGGAAGTGGATGTAAATGTGGAAGTGTTGATGTTGTGTTACTTGACAGATCTAAACGGAGGAAACAGCGACGAAGGAACTGGTTTTATAGTATTCTAGACAGGCAGCAGCAAGCAAGACCCGATCTTCTGAGACAACCTGACATGACCTGACATTATTCACTCAGCTGTCGGGAATTGAGTAGGACAAGTGGTTCACTCACTCACCACTAACCAGGTGGGGTGATTCCGTCCCGGCCGAAGCCATTGATGTGACGTCGTCCTCCATCATTCTAGGTAGGTGTGATAGTTTAGGTAGTAGGTCGTAAGTAGTAAGTAGACTAGGGAAAGGGCCGTGAAAGTGCCGTGGTCCAGACGGGTTTGTTTGGGGTTGGGACAAGGATCGGACGAGAGGAGAAGCACGGATGGTGAAGGGATTCCGATCCTTTCGCTTTCGACTCCGTTTCAACTGAACACCGTTTGATGGATGGATACGAGGGGTTCCTTTTGACTTTCCACACACACACTCTCTCTCTCGCACGCTTTCTCTCTTGCCCCTGGCGATACTCGGTAATCAGTCCATGTTGACAGGAGGTATTCCCCTCCCCATGATTCATTCTGTATTCATTCCATCCTCGACACTCGGTGTGCTGTCAATCCGGAATGAAGTGGAAGCGAAAAAGCGGAGAAGTTGTAGACGTCATCATCCTTGCGATTACTATTTTCTTTTCTCCCATTGAGATTTCTCCGCATCCCACAATCCTTAGTTAAGTTCAGTTAACGGTAGGATGAACCGTTTCCGGTCGATGAGTGCATTATCAAACCCCGATATTGCATTAGGCCAGATTTCCCATCTTCCCCCATCTCCGCACCGGCAAATCAACTATTCGATAGCGATAGTTAGCATCCCCCACTGTTCCTTCCTTGGGCTCTTGCTTCTTCTGCTTCTTCTTCTTCTTCTTCTTCTTCTTCTTCTTCTTCTTCTTTTTCCCAGGCGGGAAAATGGAAGAGATGTGCATGCATGCGCCCCTCTCCCTTTGGCGCAGTTTCGAATTGGAGAAGGCAAGTCCGAGCGAATGGGTCGGAGTGGAAGAATTCGGAAAAGACGGGAGTTGGAATTGCTGGATGGGATGATGGGGTTGATGAGAGAGTGAGGCCATCGACTGAATGCGGCTTAGTCAGTCTATCTGTCTGGTCTGTGCCTCAGGTTGGCGGTGGGTATGGGAGTTGTCTGTGGCTGGGGTGATGTCCTTCGATGTCGGGCCATTGCAGGTGGTGTGCCAATTGTCCACTTGTTCAATTCTTCCAGAATGAGGATTTGTGGTCTGAGGTGAGGTTCTCCGTCCTGGTCTACGCTCGGCTTTAAATAGGTTGTCGCCCCGGAATTGCGTGAGGACCTCGGGGGCAGCCACCTGACGGTCTGTCAACTCTAGTGTAGCTGCTGCATGGTATGGCCAGCACACAGAGTCCATGGGTGTCTTCTCTACAGCGACTGACAACCATTCAGCAGGGCAGGCATATTGATTGATGATACAGGTTCGCTGCTTCTGCGCACACTGCTTGGGAGATAGACTCTTAGACCCGCAGAATCATGCCTCATGCCTCATGCCTCACGAGGTGTGCATCTTGTTCTACCCATGATGACTTCTTATACATCCTCGACTGGGAGTATTGTGGTTGGTGGGTAGCCCTACTGCGCCACAACTCTAGAAATGCAAATCACCCTTCATAAGGCTATAGCCGTACTGCATTCATCCAGAATTCTATCTCATAGTCCTTCCGTGGCGGGCATCTCCCGGATACTATGTCGGTCTCCGTATGTGCGGATGTTGGATGTTCATACATCCCTTAGGCAGTGGCTTTCCATGCATGCAACCTCTGTTTGCTCCCGAGTTCCCGGTAACTGCATTACTGTTATTGCGAGGGAGAATGAACTCTCGGTGGGTTGCTCAGCGTATCGAGCGAGCACTGCAACCTCGGCGGCTCCTCCTTGTCTGACCGCATCGAGAGCCAGACGAAGCTGAAGAACGAAGGTCCGGAAGATTGATTACTGGTATTGAAGTATCAATCCAACCTCGACAAGTTTCTTCTATGCCTAGAGGACTATACCAGAGTTTCATCCCCAATGCTCAAATAGACTAGAAATACTCGGGTCCAGTGACTTACTGCCAGGTCTCATTGATTGAGCCCTAACATAGAGGTCCTCATCATGATCGGGGCAGATGTAGAATCGATTCTTCTTCTTGCTGGTTATCTTCCCCGGACGAAACTCATTTAGTGGTGGTAAGGGACTGTATGTAATCGAAATACACATACATTCTGACAGCACCATCGCGAAGGAATGGATGGAAATTTCGCCCGAATAGGCAGGAACACAGGGACTCACTGCCACTCTCATGGCTTTCATTGTCTGGAGATGAAGCAAGAAATGCGAGGAACAACAGGCTATATTGTTGGCGTGCAAACATCACCAATCGCCATTTCTCTCTCATCACATCTTCCACCCATTTTCCCTCATTCTTCAATCTCACCCAAGATTGACCATTATACCCCATAACCCTCCCCCATACTGCTTTCTTACTTCCATACAAACTTACAACCCACCTCCATCCCTCGATCTAGACGACTATCTATCACGACAAGCCTCCTCCCACGGGAACAACCCGGCGAGAACCCCCAATCTCTCTCCACCCAATTTGCCCCTCGTGGTTCTCTTTCACGGCTCATTGCACCTGATCTTAAATACTTCCAACCCTCAACCCCGTCCAGCAGTATCACTTTACCTGATCAAGTAATCGATTCACTGGAGTACTACCAGACAGGCGGTTTGATTTCTGTCCGAAGCGGTTGACCCGTGAGGGTTTGTTGGCTGGCTCACTCACGCCCTTTACTTTCCCTCCCTCCCTCACCCAAAAACCCTCTACCACCAACACCAGCAAACCGCCGACAGATTCCTGTCCATTCGGTAAGGCAATTAACCCATTTTCCTCTTCCTCCTTTTCCCTTCGATCATCTTCCCACTTCCCATTCCCCATCCCATCATCGTCATCTCCTCCCATCTCCATCCTTCCCTGTCCTCCAGTCTCCACTCCTCTCCCCCCAAATCGGCCACTTAGAATTAATTCCTCAGAACGCAGGGAACTCTAGCTGGTCGGCGGACAACCAACGAACGGACGGACGCGTGATCGCCCTTCGCCTCGAGATCTCCGTGAGCTAAAACCTCTCCAAAACCATCTCCCTCCCCATCCCCTTCGCGCATGGCCACCCGTCGTCCATCGCGACGGTCCTTGTTCTAAATCTTCTCTTCCTCTCCCTCCCCCATCACTGCTGCCCGTCACTTTCGCCGCCGCGTCTTTTCCCCCCCTCCCCCCGGGCACACGCGGCAATCATGACGGGAGCTCCGCCGTACAATCCGCAGTCTCCCACCCAGCAATCTCGTTATTCTGCCTACTCTTCTCCGAACAAGAACCGTCCCTTCTACTCCAGCAACAATGACCAATATCAACAGCACCCGCCGCAGACGCCGCCGGCCTTCCCCCCGCAGCCCAGCATGGCCAGGAGCCCTCACTTCTCGCATGCGCCGTCACCATTACCGGCCACGCTGCCTCCGTTGAATGGTGCCGCTCCGTCGTCTCACCCATCGGATACGCCTTCACAGTATCAGGCCCATTCCTCGGCGGGAACGCCGCAATTCCCCCTGCCTCGGCCCTACTCTAATTCCGTCTTCTCGGGCAACGGCGCGACCCCCTACGGTCATTCTACTCCCTCCCACGCTCATCCCTCTGGTCGGCCCGACAGCCATTCGCAGTCTTCTCCCAAAAAAGATTCGGAGTCTCCCTACCCCATGGGGGGTCACGGAGTCGCGGCGTATCCGTCCTCGATGGTGCGAGAGTCTAGGCATTCCTCTCCTCCCAAGGAAACTGTATGTTGTCTTCCCACTTCCAACCGGATGTCTCTCGGTCCACAATGACTGATCGTGGTTCTTTCTCTTCGACTTTCCAGAAACCAGACCCCATGTCTTTTGCCAGTATCTTAGCGGGCCCGGCCGAAGAGCGCAACCCGCCGCCCAGACAATCTCCACCAAAGAAACAGCTGCCCCTTGAAGCCGCATCGACCCCCATCGCGCCAGCACCAAGCGCGGTGGACAACCGAAGCCCCCCGCCGACGACGCCCGTCCCCATCGCCCACAGCAAAAGCAAGGACAAAGAACCTTCGGGCGCGCCCTTACCGAGATTGGAAAAGAAACCCAGCAATGAGAAGCGCCGTCGCAACGTCGAACAAGAACCCAGAGTGTCCGACTCGCGGGCTTCGGCCATTGCAAACGGTGTGACCGAATCATCTAAGGCTGCTTCCCTGGCCCGTGGTGCTGTTTCCCGCCATCCCTTGACGGACGGGGAGGTGGAGGCTCTCAACCGCGCGATGGCCGATATGGCCAACGCAGATCAAAGCGACGTAGAAGCTCCTGGGTATGAGAGACAATATCAGGAATACAAGGCCAAAAGCAAGAAGCGTGCTCTGCTCACGGAACAAACTGAAATCATCCGGCGCAAGGTACGTATACCGCCATCTGCTGGGGGCTGGCAGGCTAACACACGTTCAGCGACGACGCCACCGATTTCTCGGAGACTTCGCAAAGTCCTTGGAGAAGCAAGCCGAGGCTGGAATGGATCGATTCCGACTTGCAAACGAATCGTCCGTCATCGCCGAAGTGCAAGCCAAAGAAATTCAGGACGAAAAGGAACGCAAGAAGGATATGCAACGAAAGCGGCGGCGCGAGAACACCGTACGCATGGAAATGCAGAAGAAGCTGGAGGCAGAACTCAAAGCAAACGAGGCACAGGATTCTGCAGAGAAGGCCAAGTTCCTCCGTGAAGCTGAGCGGGCACAGCGAAAGATCAAGACCACCAAGCGAGCTTTGGAAGGTGTCACTGCTCCCGAGGAGATTAGCGAAGTGACTCCCTTAGCGCCAAACCTTGAAGGGGGCACCACCAGCTCCTTCCACATTGGTCGGAACTCTCCTTCCAGGCGCAAGTCTGGGCGCAATGGCCCCGTCACCCGACCCAAGAAGTCGAAGGAACAAAAACAGGCGGAGAAGGACGCGGCAGAAGCGGCTTATGCAGCCATGGAGAACGATGAGGCATTGCCTCTGCCACCCAAAGAAGATCCCCGTAAGGAGTCGATCAAAAAGGAGACGAAAGGGAGCCGCTCCAAGGAGCCCACGCCCACACCGCTATCCGCCTTCGAGACCAAAGGTTACAATCAGATCTACGAGCAAATCTGGCGTGATATTGCTCGTAAAGACATTCCCAAGGTCTACCGCATCAAGGGTCTGTCGCTCAGCACGCGCCAGGAGAATCTTCGCAAGACAGCACAACTGGCCAGCAAGCAGTCTCGCAAATGGCAGGAACGCACTAACAAGAGCATGAAAGACACCCAGGCCCGTGCCAAACGGACGATGCGCGAAATGATGTCCTTCTGGAAGCGCAACGAACGTGAGGAACGCGACCTGCGCCGTCTTGCCGAGAAGCAGGAGATTGAGTCGGCTAAGAAGGCAGAAGCGGAGCGTGAAGCCAATCGTCAGAGACGAAAGCTCAACTTCCTCATCTCCCAGACCGAATTGTACTCCCACTTCATTGGGCGCAAGATCAAAGGTGCAGAAGGAGATGACTCCGGAGACACGGCCGTGGATAGTTCCGATCAGACTATACAGCCTGGGAAACCCCAGGATCACACGGTGGATATGCCCCCCAGTGTCGCCGATTTGGGCGCCAAAGTGACCAATTTCGAAGATCTCGACTTTGATGCCGAGGACGAGACGGCCTTGCGCCAGGCGGCTATGGCAAACGCACAGAATGCCGTCCAGCAGGCCCAGGATCGAGCCCGCGCCTTCAACAACGACCAGAACCAGATGGACGCCCTGGATGAGGGTGAATTGAACTTTCAAAATCCTACTAGCTTGGGCGATATCGAAATCTCGCAGCCCAACATGCTTACAGCCAAGCTTAAGGAATACCAGCTCAAGGGTCTCAACTGGCTTGTCAACCTGTACGAGCAAGGTATCAACGGTATTCTGGCCGACGAGATGGGTCTAGGAAAAACCATCCAGTCCATCTCAGTCATGGCTTATCTGGCTGAAGTGCACAACATCTGGGGTCCTTTCCTGGTGATTGCGCCTGCCTCTACCCTACACAACTGGCAGCAGGAAATCACCAAGTTCGTCCCGGACATCAAGGTCCTCCCGTACTGGGGTTCGGCCAAAGACCGCAAGATCCTGCGTAAGTTTTGGGATCGAAAGCATATCACATACACGAAGGAGTCTGAGTTCCATGTGCTGGTCACCTCCTACCAACTGGTGGTACTTGATGCACAGTACTTCCAGAAGGTCAAGTGGCAGTACATGATTCTCGACGAAGCCCAGGCTATCAAATCCTCTCAGAGCTCACGTTGGAAGAACCTGCTCGGCTTCTCTTGTCGTAACCGTCTTCTGCTGACAGGTACCCCTATTCAGAATAACATGCAGGAGCTGTGGGCACTGCTGCACTTTATCATGCCCACCCTTTTCGACTCTCACGACGAATTCAGTGAATGGTTCTCCAAGGACATTGAATCCCATGCTCAGAGTAACACGAAACTCAATGAAGACCAGCTGAGGCGTCTCCACATGATCTTGAAGCCTTTCATGCTTCGCCGTGTCAAGAAACATGTTCAGCAGGAACTTGGCGATAAGGTTGAGAAGGACATCTTCTGCGACCTTACTTACCGCCAGCGCGCTTACTATGCCAATTTGCGCAACCGGGTCAGTATCATGGATTTGATCGAGAAGGCCGCTGTCGGGGACGAGGCCGACAGCACGACATTGATGAACTTGGTCATGCAGTTCCGAAAAGTCTGCAACCATCCGGATTTGTTCGAGCGTGCGGAAACGAAATCTCCCTTTTCTGTCGCGCACTTCGCCGAGACCGCCTCGTTTGTCAGAGAAGGTCAGAACGTTGATGTTGCTTACTCGACGCGCAACCTGATTGAATACCCGTTGCCACGCCTGCTCTGTGGCTCTGCTGGTCGTGTCGATGTCGCAGGACCCGGCAATGCGCGCGCCGGCTTCCATGGGAAATATCTTGACCACATGATGAACATTTTCGCTCCCGACAACATCAGGCAAAGTGTCCGGGATAACGGGGCCTTCTCTTTCCTGCGTTTCGTGGACACATCACCCGGGGAGGCATACGAACAATCACATCTAGGCGTCTTTGAGCGAGCTGTTCGTCGCCGAGGGCAGGCGAACAGGCTGGCCCGGCTTCAGGTCGTCTACGACGATGACAGAGTAACAGCATCAGTCCTTCCTCATGCAATGTTCAACATCGTCGACCGCAACGATCGTCATGCAGTGCACGAGGTCGCGGCCGAGGGCTACATGCGTGATCTGATGACCGTCTCCCAGTCTACGTTTGAAAGAGAAGGCCTTTCCCTGATTGAACCGTCGGCTGGCCCAGCAGCGTCGGCGCCTCCGATCACCATTACGAGTTCGAGTCAGATTCCCATGTACGAGGCCAGAGACAGTTTCTTCAATATTTCTGTGCGCCATGCCTTGTATGGAGTTGCTTCGAAACAGGTGGAGCATCAAATCGTGGAGAAGAAGCTGGATCCTACACCATACTCTCTGCCGCCAATACTACCTAAGCCACTTTCTGCCAAGGGTCGATACACGCACATTGAGGTGCCGTCCATGCGTCGCTTCGTCACGGATTCCGGCAAATTGGCCAAGCTGGACGAACTCTTACGCGAGCTCAAGGCCGGTGGGCACCGTGTGCTCCTGTACTTCCAAATGACTCGTATGATCGATTTGATGGAGGAGTACTTGACCTATCGCAATTACAAGTACTGTCGGTTGGATGGAAGCACCAAGCTGGAGGATCGCCGTGATACTGTGGCGGACTTCCAACAGCGCCCGGAGATTTTCGTGTTCCTTCTGTCTACGCGTGCGGGTGGCCTGGGTATCAACCTGACTGCGGCCGATACAGTTATCTTCTACGACTCGGATTGGAACCCTACCATTGACTCGCAAGCCATGGACCGCGCCCATCGTCTGGGTCAGACAAGGCAGGTCACGGTCTATCGTCTCATCACCCGTGGCACGATCGAAGAGCGGATCCGGAAGCGGGCCTTGCAGAAGGAAGAGGTGCAGCGTGTTGTCATCACGGGTGGTGCCGCTGGTGGCGTTGACTTCAATACTCGCAACCGCGAGAGCCGAACCAAGGACATTGCCATGTGGCTGGCGGACGATGAACAGGCCGAGCTCATTGAGCAGAAGGAGAAGGAAGCTATGGATCGCGGTGAAGTGTTCGGCGCCGGGAAAGGTGGGAAGAAGGCAGCTCAGAAGAGGAAGAGAGATATCACGCTGGATGATATGTATCATGAAGGTATGTCATTCCACGATGCACCTAGTTTTACCACAAACGCTAACCCATCCTGTTCTAGGCGAGGGCAACTTTGACGATGCCAGTGCTAAGCCGTCTGGCGCGGCAACGCCGGTGTCTGCGGCAGACAACGTGGGTACGCCCTCGGCCACGCCCGTTCCCAAGCGAGGACGTGGCCGCGGGACTGGTAAAGGAACGTCAAAACGGGCCAAGACGACCAAAGAGCGATTGCGTCTCATTGACGGCGACGGAGGCCTCGGGCCCAGTTAATGCTGCGAGGACCTTGCACGATGAGATGGAATGACGGCGTTGGGATAGCTACCTTTCTTTCTTTCTTTCTTTTCTTATTTTATATAATTATGTTCTTGCGGTCTTACACCCTTGGGATCTTCTACACCGGATCATGGTTTCACTTTGTTTCTTTGTTTGTTTCCTTTTTCAGTTGCGGATACCACTGTCCGGACTCTGTATTAACAAGATGCATTGGTGATGTATGAAAACATTTGCGCGGGTTGTCCTTGGAAATAATGAGCAGCAGGCGAGGAATGAGCAAGACTACCTGGGAGAGAAAAAAAAAGAATTGGTTTTTAAATGAACTCGACAAAGAAAAGACGAGCAGGTCGAGAATGGGGCGATGGCATGATAGATCTGTCTGTTGTTGACTGTTGTTTGTTCCGGGTGTGGACTCTGCTCTGTGGAGTGCGTACATGTGGGCACTGAGCTGGGTGGTATGGGGGGGGTGCAAGCCTTGGCTGTTTTATTGCTGTTTTATTTCTGTTTTCCATCTTATTACCCGTTCGGTGTTTGTACTTAGTATGTTGGAGTGGATTGACCGTTGTGGACGAATGAATGAATGACTTTGTCTGTCTGCAGTTTCTTGTCTGTATGTGACCCAACAGAGAGAGAGAGTCGGAAGTGGCGGGAAAAACAGCCGAGTTCCGCCCGGCCCTAAAACCCGTGACCATCCCGTGACCAAGCCGAGACCAGCTCCGGTAACTTTTCAGTCATCGGGGTTTCTTAGTCAGCCTCCGACTCCTGGTCTCCGATTCGGACCCACCCACCAATCAGCTCCAGTACAATCGTCAGCCGCGGCAGTGTCAGACGCTGAGGTAAGCGGCCAAGTCGCGCCGGTGGGAATTTCGCAGCGGACTCGCGCCGCAAATCCCGTCCCTCGTCCAGCGATCGAATCTTCTTTAGGCCCCCCCCATAAGACTCACTCACTCTCAACTCACTTAAACTAACTCATCTCCACCTCTCCTCGATACCTCTCCCTCTTTCTCTTTCCCCTACTTTCCCCCTCCCCCCCAATCCTATTCTATTTCTCCCATTTGCCTCATCTCACTGTCTTCCCCTCTCACCAACCTAGGGGTCCTTTCATCCTCACTCTTCAATTGATCTTATCGCCTTTTCGGTTGTACCGCACCCGATGGAGTCGCTTCTCCAGCAGTCTCGGGCCATGTGCCCGTTTCTCAAGCGCACCTCCCCGTCTACTCTGCGCACCCTGTCCACTGCCACTCGTCCCAGCACCAGCTCCGGTGGTGGCACCATGTCCAACCTGCAGGTTCTGGCCCGTCGCTGCCCCGTCATGAGCAAGGCTCTGGCCGTGCAGAGCGCCCGTTTGGCCAACACCAAGCGGTTTACCTCTGGTGTCGCCGGTATGGATCCCAAGTATTTCCGCCCGGCTCCGACCAAGCGGGCTTTGCATTCGACCTCGGGCAATGGCGCGGACGTCTCTCCCAATGTCTACAAGGATTCCGAGAGAGGTAAATGGAATTTTTCTCGTTCCCACTGAACCAATAAATTGACACCATTACCTCATAGTCGATCCCGGTTTCCGCGCTGTCAACGGCCGGTTCGAAGCCCCTTCTAACGCAACCGTCACTGGTCCCCGTCCCGATGCTCCGAAGACCGCGCCTTTCGACTACAATGCTTTTTACAACGGTGAACTGGAGAAGAAGCACAAGGACAAGTCGTACCGTTATTTCAACAACATCAACCGTCTGGCGAAGGAATTCCCCCGCGCCCACACGGCCTCTCAGGAGGAGAAAGTGACTGTGTGGTGCTCCAACGACTATCTCGGTATGGGACGCAACCAGGAGGTCCTGAAGAGCATGCACCGCACGCTCGACACCTATGGCGCCGGTGCGGGTGGCACGAGAAACATCTCGGGACACAACCAACATGCCGTGGCTCTCGAGGGCACTCTGGCCAAACTGCACAACAAGGAGGCCGCTCTGGTCTTCAGCTCCTGCTTTGTGGCCAACGACGCTACTCTCGCGACTCTTGGCAGCAAGATGCCCGACTGTGTCATCCTCTCGGACAGCCTCAACCACGCCTCCATGATCCAGGGTATCCGCCATTCCGGGGCCAAGAAGATGGTGTTCAAGCACAATGACCTGGTCGATCTGGAGAACAAGCTGGCCTCTTTGCCTCTGAATGTTCCCAAGATCATCGCCTTCGAGTCCGTGTACAGCATGTGCGGTTCCATTGCCCCCATCGAGAAGATTTGCGATCTGGCCGACAAGTATGGCGCGATCACTTTCCTGGATGAAGTTCACGCCGTCGGTATGTACGGACCTCACGGTGCGGGTGTCGCCGAGCATCTTGACTATGACATCTATGCCTCGCAGGACACCGCCAACCCTCGCAGCACCAAGGGCACTGTGATGGATCGGATTGACATCATTACTGGTACCCTGGGTAAGGCGTATGGCTGTGTCGGTGGTTACATTGCTGGATCCGCCGCGATGGTTGACACTATCCGCTCTCTGGCCCCGGGATTCATCTTCACCACCTCGTTGCCTCCTGCCACCATGGCTGGAGCCGACACTGCCATCCAGTACCAGGCCGAGTACAAGCGGGACCGTGTCCTGCAGCAATTGCATACCCGGGCGGTCAAGGAATCACTGAAGGAGCTGGACATCCCCGTGATCCCGAACCCGTCCCACATCATCCCTCTTTTGGTTGGAGACGCCGAGGTGGCCAAGCAAGCCTCGGACAAGCTTCTGGACGAACATGGCATCTACGTCCAAGCCATCAACTACCCCACCGTTCCTCGGGGAGAAGAGCGACTCCGCATCACCCCGACTCCGGGCCACGTGAAGGAACACCGCGACCACCTGGTCCAGGCGCTCCAAACCGTCTGGAACGATTTGGGCATCAAGCGCGCCAGCGACTGGAAGGCCCAGGGCGGATTCGTTGGCGTCGGCGTCGAGGGAGCCGAGGCCGCCAACCAGCCCATCTGGGAAGACGCCCAGCTGGGTCTGCAGGCGAGCGAAACCCTGGAGGCTGCCGTCACCCGGGAGTTCCAGGACGCGGCGGCCGAGGCGTTGCTCGCCCAGGCCACTGTCCGGATGCAGACTGCCGCCGCCGAGATCCGTCCTGCCGCTGCTGCTGCCTCGAGCATCCCTGTGGGTGTCGCCGCCTAGATTCCATGTCTGTGGATACAAATTCCCCATATATTAGGGAAACCATAATTCGTGTGGATGTGTATAGTGATAATATTCATTTCCACGTCCACTCCTTTATTTTGACCGGTAATAATCCCATCGTCATGATATATATGTTGGAGGGATTCTCCGGGGCGGGGGTTCCACTTATATCTCCTTCTGCGCCCTTCTCCTTCTCAATTGGACATGTGATGGACGGATGATATGAATTGGAATGAGGATTCAGGAAGATTCGCGACGGACCACATCTCCAAGGACTACCTGACTAGTCGACTACTCAATTTGTTAGGCTCTTAGATTCTTGGAAACCGATCTCGGCCTTCCTTTTCCTCCTTACATCATGGTTCAGGATTTTTTGTTCGTAGATACGTAGATACGTAGATACACTAGAGAAACCCGGGGGTTATATTATCCTACCACTACTTAGGTAAGACCACCCCGAACTGTTCTTTGGTCTTTCTGTGCAGACTGCCCGTCCGGGTAGAGTCTAAACCAAGTTGAAACCAAGTTGTTTGTCGGATGATGACCTCAGAACAACTGGCTAAACTTAATCAAGACGTCTGAAGGGCTACTTCTACCAGCCTGGTGCCAATGTCCCTCCCTCCTCCTAGAGATCAAGCCCCGGCCGGGGAACTGGAGATTCCTGAGTTGGTTCCTCAGTCTTCTTCTTTCTCTGCAGTGGTCCGCAGGTCGATCATCACAGACTAGTAGCCATGGGATGGTATTATGACACCAGACCTAGGAACAAGCCGCCTCATCGGTTGTGCGTATACATATTTATATATGCCTATCTACTCCACCAAGATGAGACGAAGAAGTTACGTTTCTCTCTCTGTCGTCGATGCCGTTTAACTACCTACCTACCTCTACAGATGATGACAATGGAATAGATAAATAGATACATACAGACATACATACATATATTCGATACATACACACAAGACAAAACAACCCTGAACGCCAGCGGGATCAAACTGAAACAAGATGGATGCTTTTTTGTTCGGATTGCAAACAAAGATGGAATAATAGCATTTATGGCGAGCTATTGTAGCTGGTTGGGATAGAATCAAGCAGCAATGCTCTCTCTCTCTCTCTCTCTCTCTCTCTCTCCCTGGACAAGGAAGGAATCTCATCGCATTTAGTTTCAGAAGGCAACATGAACCACACATACTGGAATAAGCCGTCCCTCGTCTATCTCGTCACAGGCCCAGATATTCAAAAGTCTTTTATTTACCGCTTCTTGCCGCCGCCCCGACTCACCTTGGGAAACTCCACGGGAATACGCAACCGCGCCACCCTGCGAGCAGCTGCCTCCGCCTTGCCGCCCTTGATGCCCCACTTGGCGAACTCGGACTCCCGTGGCTTGTCGACGCGACAGCCCAGCTCGCGGAAGTACTGCAGGATGACGGGGCTCTCGAGGTGGAGGTCGTCACGCAGATCGGAGGGGTCGGTGGCCAGCTCGTTGGGGGCGTTGCCGCCGAGGGTGCTGTTTCCGCCGTCCTTGGCGGGTTGGGGCGGGATGTGCAGCGAGAGAGCGCAGATGGTGGTGTGGAGGAAGGTGATGTCGTTGCGGGAGAGGGAGCCACCGGTGCCCGGGGCGAACTTGCGGCGGATGGCGTCGATGATGGGGTCAGGGATGGTTTCGGACGAGGAGGATGAGGACGAGGCGGCTGTCGGGGAGGTGCCGCCAGAGAGGACGGTGCGGAGTTCGTCGCGGGGTGGGAGGCGTTTGCTACCGGGGCCGGCGCCCTTGGGGTCGCGTTTGAGGTTGCGGTTGAGTTCGAGCAGCAGGAGGATGAAGCGGAGGATCTGGAGGTGCGTGGTGTTGCCTGACTGGATGACGGCCTCGACCCGGCGAGACACGTACCGCGAGGTGGTGACCACCGCCGCCCCCGCGTTGGCCGTCTCGATCCATTCCGGCAGACCCGGCAGCTGGCGCAGCGTCGACTCGCCGTTCGGCACCAGCTCCGAGAGCGGGTACACCTCCGCCGGGTGCGCCGCGTCCAGGTGCGGCATCGGGATCGGCTTGTTGGCTTGCACTTGCGCTTGCACCGAGGCCGCCTTGGCGGCGATGTCGCTGATGCCTTCCGTCGGCATCGAGGACAGGATGGCGGATTCCGCCGCCGAGGCCGCCCCCGACGGTAGGTTGGACAGTTGTGCGTTTTCGGCCAGGGATTGCGCCGCCTTGCGGGATTGTTTGGTGCCGAAGGTGTTGGTCAGCTCGGTGCGTTGGGCGCGGAGGGTTTGCTGGAGATTTGGTAAAATTTCTCATTAGCTTCTGTGAAACGGTCTTTTTTTTATAGAAGAGAAAAAGAGAGTAGTTCATGCCCGGGGTATGTATATACACCCTTGGCTGAACTGTCCGGCATGGGAACAGCAAGGCAATATAACATACCAATTCTTCCTCCTCGCTCTCCTCCTCTTCCTCCTCGTCAATCGAGCGCAGCTTGCGCACCGCACCGCGCAGCGTCATCTTCCGCACCTCGACAAACTGCCATGTCTTGTTCTCCGGGTCGACCACCGCGACGTAATGCTTCAGCTGCGAATCGGCATCCTCCTCGGCCTCGCGACCCACAAAGTCCAGCTTGGGGTGCTCGGACGACTGGAGCAGCAGTTCGGACGAGACGATGCCCTTGTTGCGCGTCGAGGCGGAGGAAGTCTTGCTGCGGGTTTTGAGGTAGGGCTTGAGCCGGAGGTTGCGGGATGCGTGGAGGCCGGGGGTGGTCACTGATTGTCCACAGCAAAGAGGAGCATGTTAGTCAAGTGCTTCTTCTTTCTCTTTTTTTTTTTTTTTTTTCTAACAGGCGAGTTGGGATTGAATGGCGATCAAAGCATACCAATGACCGGGGCGAGTTCGCTGTCATCCTCGACCACGCTCGAGGCCAGAGGTGGCAGATCTTGCAGCTCCAGCGCGGGCTTCTTGCTGGGCCGCTCGTGGCGATCAGAGGCGCGCTTGCGCTTTTTTTCGACCTTGTCGGAAACCATCGTATACAGTCTAGGGGCAGGTCGAATGAAGCAGCACTTATAAGTCGAGGGCGCGAAGTTCGATATATCGGAGGAAAAATCCCAGAGAAAAAAAAGTTGAAGGCGGTCAGTGGATCTCGAAAGGGAAGGCGGAGAATGGCACTTAAAAGTACGGAAGGGAAGCGGTAACGACGGCGCAGTGCAGATCACGGGCACACACAAAAGCGCAGCAACGCGACTATTATCTTCTATCTTGTCTATCTGACATTCAAATCTTATGGAAGCAGATATCGCTGTTTAAGTTTGGTTAGTGTCTACTTTCTACAATCGACTATAACATATTAAGGAGAATGATTTGCGTTTGAACTTTTTGTAATTGGAATAAATTCTCAAAAGAACCGCTCCATGACCCGAAATCCCTCAGTGTTAACCAAGGAAACCCCGAGACATGAGAAATTGACCAATTCCCCATACGAAGCTCAAAGTTATCGGCGTATGACAATAGTACAGATCAAAACCGATCCCTTTCCCAACCCTACCAAACACATTGGCCATCCCCAAGGAAGAAATGAGACGCGAGAGAACGCATCTCTTCCACTGCCTGGTCACAAAAGCGCGAGAGAAGCCGTCGTGAGAAGTCGAAAACGTTTTAAATTAAACCCGAGGGATTGGAACGGAATGTTTCAAGTTCCTGTTGAACGGCGGATTCCGAATTCGATAGATGTAGAAGACCCAGGCAGGGTCCTTGATTCGAGACGGTGAAAAGAAACCACGAGAACGATCATAAAGCAAATCATCATCGTGACGTCGTTGCAATTCTTGTTGTTTTTGTTGTCGTGTTTAGCGTTCAACCAGAGTCTTCACATGAAGAGCTGAGATGGAGGGGGCGAGTAATTTATTTGCTGCGTTCGCAAGTTAGCGATCAATTGGATTCCACTTTGATTTGGTATCAATGAAACTCACCTGCGAGCACGCATCTTTCTGCGCTTGCGCTTGAGGCGACGGACGCGCTTCTTTCTCCACTTGGCTCTCATCTTCGTAGATAGGACTAGAAGATGACTGTTAGTAGTTGTCCAAGCCGGAAAGTTGATAGGGCGGGATAGCAAACTCACACTTCTGCGAGGATGAAAGAGATGGTTGCAAGAAAGACGGAGAACGGCCGCGGTTGAGCTTCTTGTGTGCGCCGTGGCTGACTCAGCACTCAATGCCGCTAAGGGCTCGCTAGTGTGATCATCACTGTGATTGGCTACGCAGTGGCCACCCACCGCTTTACCGAGACTGCTGGCTTCCGCATTGGGAGTGCTCGTGACATCAACACTCCCGCCCCGGTGTATAACACAGTACCGCTGGATACGGTGGGCAATTGGGGGCCTGGTTAGATAGAATTTGTTTACGATTGTGCGTGTTGGCAGTTCTCATTATTCATTCATGCTTCGTTATTAGTTGATCCCCTTGGATACTGTCCAATGCTGCATGGACATCTCCTCGCTTGACTGCTCTTCAACAATCCCATAGCTGAAGCCCTAGCCCTATCTCTCTACTTCGCAGATGCTGGTTCAAACAACAAAATAAATGTCTATCCCAGATCTCACGAGCAAATCTTGAATGACAGGAAGGTATTAGTACGCGTATCGGTACGTCACCGCCAGATCGCCCTCGAGTTCTTCCTCCTCCTCGAGCAGTGCCGACTGGGTGTGCCCACTTGCCAGAATCCGTTCCCGCTGCTTGTTTTCAGTCCAGATCGCAATGAAGTAAACTATGCAGCAGGCAGCGGAGAAGCACAGGAAGGACAGGCTGATGATGTATCCGTCGCGGTAGAGAGGCGCATCTTTCGCCAGGAATGCATAGGTCGAGATGAATCCTCCGGCTAGAGGTTAAATGTCAGCGGCGGGAGGGGTTGTCTTCTGGCCCCGAGCTAACTTAGATTGTTGGTTACTTACTGTTTCCAAACCCAATCTGCCATGCTGTCCCTACGCTGCGTCTACGATGGCCGCCTAGGTTCATGGCAAACCAGCACACGATCACGGGCATTGCACTGTAACAGCCGCAAGTGACCATGAACAGAGCGCTATATGGGACGTTTCTGTGAGCCACTCCATGGACATTCAAGAGGATTCCGAATCCCGCTATGGCGATTGCCATGGGAACTAATGCGAATGCAAGCCGATGCTTGAATCTATCCGACAGAGTCGCGACGATCATCGAGAAGACGAAGGCTGCTGCCCATGGTGGGATCGAATACAGCTGCGTTTGGATGGCTAGATCACCGATCAGTTCACACTCTGTTCTAAGCCAGGAGAAGTCACTATACCTCCGTATCCATAAGTCTTGATGATAGACGGTGCAAAGTAGGCATATCCTGAAATCATGAGCAATGTACAATCAAATTCAACGGAGGCACTGCCGGGCTTTTGCAAACATACCATAGGCTGTAACGACCTGGCCGAAGTACATCAGTCCGCCAATGAAAATCTTGTCTGTACCTCGCAGTCAGTTACAAGTCATGAATTGCACTACCAGCGCTTACAGTCTTTGAACACAGCCAGCACGTCGCGAAAACCGATATGGACACCATGTCCGGCTTTTCCCACGTCCTGAGCCAACCTCGCCTGGACGTACTTCCGCTCCTCTTCGTTGAGCCATTTGACATCTTCCGGGAACCCGGGAATGACAAAGTACCATGCCAGGGCAACCACGCAGGTGAGGACACCCTCGATGATGAAGACCCATCGCCAGCCATTGTAGCCTCGCAGGCCAGCCATTTTTCCAAGACCACTAGCTAGTAGACCACCAAAGGCGCCCGCTAGGGTGGTGGAGCTGAAGAAGAAACTGAAACGCTTCTGGGCTTCACTACGCTTGTACCACGTCCCCAGCAGATAGAAGCCTGAACACGAGTCACCGATCAGTACTGTGGAGAGCATGCATAGCGACGGAGATGCCACTTACACCCTGGGAACATGCCTGTTTCGAACATGCCTAGTTCCCTTCCATCAGCCTGCACGCACATCAAGAACAGGTTTCAATGTCATGGTACAGTACCTAGAAACCAGCGCGTGGTGACCAGTCCGCCCCAGCTCGTAACCAGTCCTTGGCAGATCATCACGAAGCCAAAGCCAAACATGCACAGGGACACTATGGATAACATCAAGGCGACGTCAGTTGATGCAACTATAGCGATGACGTGAATTCAGAGATACTTACACCACACATGCGGCTTCAACTTTCTGAGCAGCAGGTTGGATGGAATATCGAACAGCACATACGGCACAAAGAAGATAGTCAACGCTGTGTTGTACTTGGTGCCAGTGACAATGCTGAGGTCCTTCTGCAGTCCAAGCACCGCGGCGTTACTGATATTTACACTGTGGCCGCCACTGTCAGTGGCACGCACACGGGCTTCTCTTCTAGTGCAGGGCACCCATACCGATCTAAGAACGCCAGCAGATACATGACACACAAGCATGGAACAATGTGCCAATCGATCTTGGCCATCAGTTTGCGATCAGTTGTGTTGGTGAGCAAGGGAAGGCCCGCGGCAGATGTATGGATCTGTTCCTCGGTCTTCATCTCGGTGGAGTGAGGGGACTGCGAATCTGTTTCATGCACGGAGGAGTCGTCAGCTCACAATACTGACCTGTGTATATCTACAGAGGACATACCTGGGTCGCGACCCATTGTGCTTGAGTCCACCTTCAGGGCGGCTTGGAAGGTCAGGTTCGTGATTTTCTGCGATAGTCGGGGGTGTATTGTGAGCTTAAGATGGCTTTCACTGGCCCAGGAAGAGAATGGCGGTAATCAAGATTAAAAGGATAACTCGGTACTCACGTAGTTCGGTCAATTCGTGACATCCAATTCTGTGGGTTCTAGCATTGAAAGAAAGGAGAGATGCCCTAGGAGACCTGCTCATATATTTTATCTGTGGAAGTAAGCAAAAGTGACGATGGGGGGGAGGAAAAGCGTAAGCCGTGGGCATGTTAACCTGATTAAAGATGCAATGAATGCCGACAATCCCAGCCAATCCCAGGACCTGAGATTCGTGACTCAAACTCGGCTAAAGACTCACACCAGGGTTTGCAAATAATTATCATTAGGTGTTGATTAATCCCTGCTAGTTGTTGCTGTTGCGGCCTGACGATTTACTCCATGCTCAAGGATCTACAGTTTGTGGATCCAATGGACGAGCTTAAAACTACAAATGTCTACTACTAAGTACACTTGCACTGTAGACGAGCATGGTTTTAAGTATGATTTCGTATAGCTCGCGGAGCCCTTTCAGAGAATACACTCATTCAGTGCCGGTGACTACTACGATATATGCAGGGAAGCTTCAATCCAAGTCTCATCCTCGGATTTAGCAAGCGGTCTCCCTCTCGGCCAAATGAGGAAACCACTCCCAAGCTCCGGTGATTCACTAACCCAAGTGACATCATAGCTTCCAACTCGAAGTGAAGGTATTGTAAGTCCAATCCACCTTCTCGTCATTCAATCTTGGACTTTTCGCCTTGTCCTTTCGCCTTGCCCTTTCCCCCTTAACGAGTGTCTGTACCTGTACGATTTCCCTTTTCTTCAGATATACATGACAATTATACTCTGAGCTGTGGATAACACACTAGGTATTATATTCCAAGTACCCCCAGAAAATCACGAAGACGAGATTCAGATTAGTGCTAACAGCTCTCGAGATGTGGTGTCCTTTATGATTCGAAGTGTTCGAAATCTGATTTGAGCAAGGTGTCAAACAAGCAATAATGGCAGGCTCGTCCGCCGTCAAACTCTCACTTCTACCACCTCCGTCTAGCAATCCTCCTTCCTTACATCCTTCTCCTCCATCTCCTTCCTCCTCCTCGTGCCCGTCCTCTGCTCACTCCTCTGCCTCGCATAACGACTGATCAATATCTGACTGCTACGGACATCGATTTTGAGCTCTGATTCAGGAACAAAACTTCGGCGTATGCGCGTAATCATGGGCCCCTGCCGTTGGAAGCACTGCAGTTGCCCGCAAGGAGACTGTATTACAGACTCCTCCGGTCAAGCGGAAACATGTAATGAATGCGCACACCCCTTGGCGTATCATGAAGAATATAGTAAGTTTCTTTTACGCCTAAGATAGACTGCATCTGATTTTGCTTCTTTACAGCCGTCTCAGAGCCTACTCTCATACCAGTCCTCAAGAAAGACCCGCCGGCGCAGGTGACGAAAATACCGTCTGAGTACTTGTACGATGCGATATATTCGAAGACAAACCTAATATTTATAGTTACCCCCTCACCCATTGCTGAGCGCACCGGCCTAATTACAGAAATCTTCCGACGATTAGAAGACTCCGCTATAGTGAGAATCAGCGGGACTCCAGCTTCGGGCAAGACTACCCTTATGAGACTGATGATGAAGAGTTTGATGATTGATCCGAAGAATACCCAACATATCTATGCCCTTTACTCTTGGATCCCTGCCAAGGTCGAAAACATGGGCGGCTTCCAAAAATATCTGAACGAAATGACGGGGAAAGACGCCGATGAATGGCTTGGTTATCCTGCATACCTATTCATTGATGAAGCCCAGACATCATATGAGGATACCGACTTGTGGTCTTATCTGTTTAAGTCTGTCACACCGAAATCAAAGTGCAGGATCGTGCTCTTCACGTCGTACGGCTCCCCTGATGAGGGAGCTGAAGGATTCTTTCAGCTGAAATCCCCTGAAACGACCCAAATGACCTTCGGCAAGGCGCAGCAAATATCCTTGAGACCCGATCTTACTGTTATACCGGATCACAAGCCGGTCGGTATGCTTCTTGATGAGACCGAGAGTATGAAACTCGCCGAGGATCTCATAAATTACCGCTCTTCGTCCCATTTTACTGGAGGTGTATCGGAAGATTTCAAGTATGGTGTCTGGAAGATCAGTCAGGCCACGTGGGACTGATCACATCATTCTGTGAACTTTTGGAACGTTTACCGGTAAGTCGTGTCTCGAGATCCAAGCTATTATCTTCAACACCAATTCAAAACACTTACCTCTTTGAAACCTTTATGATAGGAATTACGCTCATATAGAGCTTCTATTCTGAACTGGCAAATTGTTTCTGATGTCGTCCTTAAGAAACCCGCGATGTTACTTGAACGTATCAGAAATACTGGATTCGCAAGAGGTCTCCCAAAACGCAAGGTATTACAGGATCCAATTGTGAATGGGGTACTGAAGAAAGCCGTTCTATTGTCTTCCGGGCTCACCACATCATCCTTCAACAAAAATCCCGACGAACAACTAGCGCTTCGCTATATATGGAGAAAAGGTTGGCTGCACGCGCAGAAAACCGGGGATGATACCAGATACGTCTTCCCAACCGACTTTCATAGATGGTAAGTACATGGTCTGTATTGTTTTGTCTTGATCTGTGAGCGTAGGTTTTACATTTGTGTGTTCAATCCGGAAGATAGTGACATACAGCCACTACCATACTCATCTCCTCTAAAACTTGCCGAAGATGTTGTGAAAAGATTTAGTCCCCGCCAACTTTCAGAACCCACAAGAGCCATGAATCGAGAGACGTCACCACTGGAAGATCAGTACGGCAAGGAATTCTACCGCTGCATAGACGAGGTCTTGCGCGGTCGTTTGCTTGTGTCTCCGGAATTTGTGATTGACTCGGGTATTCAAGGCGGCAGTTTGGACTTTTACATTTCAGACATGAACTGAGGTATCGAGCTACTAAGAGACAACGATCGCATCCAAGACCATCTAAATCGGTTTGCGGCCGGGGGACAATACCACCGCCTCGTACAGGAGAAGAACATGGATCAGTGGATTGTCCTCAATTTCACGAACAAACGACCCAGCAAGAAACGAACAGTTACTTTAACGCGTACCCCTATCTCTAGAGCTCACCTAATATCTTGCTTAGAACACCACGGCCGACTCTACCACGTTGTCTTCTCGAACAACTTCAGATCTGTACAAATACTGCATACAGACCTTTCGCTCGAATCAGAGTTTTCCTTATTGGAAAATCACTCTTATTCGTTTCTGTCTTGAGGCTCCTTTGCCTGTGTGAGTCATTACACCTAATTACTAGTCGTCTCTGTTGTTCATAGCGCTCCTAACACAATCAGAGTAGTACCTTTCAACCCTTGCACCCGATGTTCCCGCCCGAGGTCGATAAAATCCTGCCCGCTGTGGTTCCGGTCCCGAATCCGATTCCCTTGGATGGGGCACCTGCTATGGCACCTGCTATGGCACCTTTATGAACTCGACTAGACCACAACATCTCCCTGTGTGGAATAAGATAAGCTAAGACACCATGGGGGCAAGGATCTTCTTTTTGCTCCCTCCTTGTTCCTCTTCCCCTGGGAGTTTGAACAATCCAAATGGTGGGTTGGTGTTGTCTTTCCTGCTACGCTTTGTAAGATCTTTACCCGGAGTTGTGCTTGGGCTGCACCGCTTTACACCTAGCGATCTCATATCATTTTACGACGTGTATGATACACCATAACGGGGCACACCGAAGTCCTAATCATGTGCATTGACGAAACTTTGCTCCGATCGGCAGATTCTTTTCGCTTCCTTTCAAGCCCTGCGTGTCTGTGAAGAAGCTCAAAGCATCGTGGACACTACCCCGGCTAGAGCCGAGGAAACACGGTCCCAAAGCCTAAGCCACCGATAGAATTTGCACGATCTTCATATTTGAATATCCCCAAATAGTACCTTGATGCCGATTTGTTACGCCGCACCGCGGCCTCAGACCCAAACCCTAACGATATAACTCGACATCTCACAAATCCGATGGTATACCAGGTAGAAGTTAATGCAAACAGGTAGCCAAAGAAATGAATATTAACAAGTCGAGTGTAAAAACGAAACACCAAGAAGAGACAATAATCTTAGATTTCCGGTAATCAATGCGTTGGCGTCTCCTTGCCAACGAGAGGAGAATTCTCCTCGTCTTCAACTTTTCTAGGTCCCAATGTGTTTCTGCTATGCTCCCCGACGTCTTCCTCGTCAGAGATGAGTCCCTGGAGTTCGAACTCTTCGGCGTCATGGACGTGCTGGTTCTCGGATGCCGAGCGAGCGTGGCCGTTCAGGAAGCGGCCGTTAGGCTGGTTGGGCTTGAAGCCGGACGAGCCTTCACCGGCGTCGTCTGCGAAGCTGGAGGAGCGGGAGCGAGAGGGCGGCTTGGTGGACTCGGGCCAAGCGTGAACGGCGTAAATGTGCAGAAGGACATTGACGACTGGGAAAGGGGACGTTAGGAGGGCCACTGTGGCATGTCGGAGGATAGGAAGGCTCGGCTTACAAAGAAAGAGGATGAACGCAATGCTGTACAAAATCAGGACGTATGAAACATGTGTGATTCCAGCGTCGCTTAGCAGTTGCATTTGCTCCTCAGTGGCACCCATGAAAAGGAATCCGGAAGCATACAGCAACTAGCACCAGGTCAGCACAGTACTTTTGAGAATGAGAGATACCAGTCTCTTTGATATCGAGCTTGCTGTGCGGACAACTTACGAAAGGCGTAAGGTACTGGAAACTGTTGGGGTCGGAACCGTCGGGGCTGACAGTCCCCTTGTCTCTAAGCACAAAAGAGATCTCGATGATCCTGGTAAAACCGGCCGCCATCAGGGTGTAACCGAAGATGGTGTGGATCATGGTACTAATCATCAGATGCTGAGGATGAGCGGACATGGCATAGCCGGTGAGCAGAATAACCAGGGCTGGAATGAGATTGCGCTTGGGGCGGCCGTTGCGTTTCCGGCTCAGCCAGATACCCAGCAGGCCAGCGCACCACCAAACAATTCCCATGGTGGTATGTTGCAGGTCGTTGTGAACCCAGGGGCCTCCCCAGCGGTGCTCCGTGAAGGTGTTGACACATCCCCAGGCGGCGATGATTAGCGAGTCGAAGAACTCCTGGCTGCGACCCGTGCGGCGAAGCCAGTACTGGCCAACGAGAAGGAGGATAGTTAACAAGATTCCGTATGCGATGAAAGCGCTGCCCATGATGAAGTGGGCCAGGCACTGTCCCAAATGATCATCCCGACAGAAGCCCATGGCCGTGATTCCTCCAAACAGCATCTGAACCCAACTTGCGACCGGCATGGCCTTGCCGACGACTCCGTGCGCAATCACAAAGACCCGGCGGATGCGCCCGTGAATCCCCTTGGTGAGATGCAACTTGAGATAGACACCCAGTACAATCTGAACCACCATCATCAACATTAGTGTGTTTGCGAAAGATGCGTGGACGTTCTTGGCGAATTGGCGACCCTTGTGGGCATGGCCCATGAAGTATGCAACCACTGCAACAACCGTACCAACGATCTGAAGAGGGACATGCCAGCGCGAGCGAACAATCTAATGGTGAGGCAAAGAGACGTTAGAAATCCCGTGCAACAAGCCCAAGTATGGGCACCGCACCGACCCGAAAGTGTCGGTCGGAGATAAGTGCGAGATCGTGCTTACCCCGAGAACCATACCCAAGGGGAAAATGACGCCAAATGCAAGTCCCATTAGGATCATGTGCAGCCATAATGTCGAGTCCTGAAGGAGAGGACGTCAGTTCAAAATGAAGAGAACAAGGGTCCCAAGGCGAGAGGGATTCAACATACGATCGGGTCTTCGGAAATGGCGGCACCTTCAGGGACATTTTCATGACCCCCATGAGCCAAGGCAGGCGTGGCAAGAAGCAAGGTTACCAGCAACCCAGACAGACTGGATTGACTTGTTATTGCCATGATTATCACTTCTCCTCGGGAGAGAGCGAGAAGGAGATAGGCTTAGGAAAGGGGGGAAAGAGTGAAAAGAAGGTAACTGACTATTAATTTAACTAACAGAGGGGAAGAAGAAGGGTTGACAAAGGCGAAGACACGGGATGGACGGGCCAGGCGGGATGCACTCGTGGTGGACGAGTAGTAATCATTCCGCCAATGCGGATTGGACGAAGGTCCCCCCATTTCTATACTTCCACAAATAACTGTACTTCCTGTATCATGGACACTGGATATCATTTCACAGACCTTTGAACACTTCATAATAGCCTTCCCTTGCTACTAGGTAACTGATCTAATTGTCTCAAACCAACCATCACCATCACCACCATCATCATCAATCATGCCACCACCACCACCATCACCACCACCACCAATCCTTGCATCCCCTCCAGGCTCCACCGCCGAAACCGGCAAGGAGGCTGCATCTCCAGTCGACCAACTGGCGCAAAAGGAAAAGAACAAGGAAGAACCGGTAGGTTCCCCTCCAAAAAGACCAAAGCCTGCCATCCCGTCTCATCTGGACCCAGTCGTCTCTAGAACAGTCGATTGCAGATCTACAAGCCCAGACAGCCGACTTGGAGGTCCAAATCGCTGAAGCCAAGGCCCAATTGAAGTATGAAGCGCCAGATCCGACCAGTGTGGGAAAGAAAATGCTCACCCATGACTTCTACTTGACCACCAGGAACGACCCCAAAACTACGGTCCAACGACACATCCGTCTCCTGCACGAATACAACGAAATCAAGGACATTGGCCAGGGGCTACTAGGTCTGATTGCAGACGCGCGCGGAGTGCGGCAAATCGACGTGCAAAGAGAGTATGGAGTAAGTGATCAGGACTGAAATCGTCCACTCCATACATCCAAACCTCTGCAGGGTGTGTTCGGCCACTGCCCAGAGTAATTATGATTTAGCTCAATATAATGTTTCTGTTTCTATCTGACTATCTGAGGGGAGACTCTTCAAGAGATGAGTCCAGGTTTTGAGCCTGTTATGATGAAGGGGGAGGGCCATTCGTTTCCGATCGACCTCCAACCAACAGACTGCAAGTTTTTGATCTAAACCACCGCCTGGTGAACCAGCAAACTCCGCAACATGGTAGATGTAAAATCACAAAATCCGGTAGAGAACACAATATCAAGGCATAGGCCTCCGAAAGTCATGTCACATGATAAATAGGGACGTGAAAAAAGAGCTGAAGTATCTAAAGGTAAGGATGAGGTTGGAAGGGGGGGGGGAGAGAAAGCGCAAGACATTAAACAATCTGTACAGGATATATAGCATGGGTAGAATTAGTGGCCCTTGTCTAGGCTCTGCAAATTGACCAGCTCAAAGTAACGACCCTTGGCCCGGATCAGCTCCTGATGTGTTCCACTCTCCACAATCTTGCCTTGGTCAAACACATAGATGATATCGGCTTTCTGAATGGTACTCAGCCGGTGTGCAACTGCAATGGTGGTTCGACCCCGAGCAGCGGCATCGAGCGCTGCTTGCACCACTTTCTCGGATTCGGAATCAAGGGCAGAGGTAGCTTCATCAAGTAGAAGGACTCGAGGATCCCGGATCAAAGCACGTGCGATAGCCACACGTTGCTTTTGACCTCCCGACAGCATGCCTCCTTTACTGCCAACTACCGTGTTGAATCCGTCCCTATAGGTGGTAAAATTAGTTAGGAATCACAACAACGACCGTCAGAAAAACTTACGGAAGGGACATGATGAAATCATAGATATTGGCTTCCTTGCAAGCCTTGATCAGCGCCTCCTCAGGCACATTTTCACCAGTGACGCCCAAGAGAATGTTCTCCCTGATGGTACCTTGATACAAGGTTGGTTCCTGGCTGACAAGCGACAAGAAGCTGCGATAAGAGTTGACATTCAGCTCAGTGATGTCCTTGCCATCAATAAGAACCTTTCCTGCTATGGCATCGTAAAACCGCTCCAGAAGCGCAATGGTAGTACTTTTACCACAACCGCTGGGACCAACAAGGGCGACGTATTGCCCTGGCTTGACGGTCAGGTTTAGTCCTCGCAGGACGGGCTGTTCGGCGCGGGTAGGATATCTGAAATGCACATCGCGGAATTCAATGGATCCCTCCACCGACTGGAGAGTCTCGCCTTCCTCTGACCAGGTGTCGATCTGTGGCTTCCTGTCAAAGAGTCTGCGGAATTCAGCTGCTGCATTCTTCGCCTTGCCCATATCTGGAGCGAATGAGAAGACCGTACCAGCAGACTGCGCACCAAACAGAATCTCAGAGAAGCAGACGAAGAAACGGAAGACAGAATACTCATGATGACCCAGAAGCGTACCTCCGTACCAAAACCCAAGCGCAACGCAGAAGAACACCAGTGCCTGTGAGGCGGCGTACAGGATAGAGGACTTCAGCACTGACCTCAAACTCGTACGGCCCTGCGCCTCTAGCTGACCGTGGTAGATACCCCAGACATCCTTCTCCCGAGTGAGAGAGGCCACAGTACGGATAGCCGAGGTCGCCTCACAGGCGTAGCTCGCAGATCCTTCGTAGGCGCTCTTGGACCTTTGCTGGAACTGCGCGAGCATGTAGAATCGGTAGAAACCACATCCCAGGAGGACGGGAACAACAGAAATACAGACCAGAGCCAACTTCCAACCAATAGCAAGGGAAATGATCATGGCTGCGCCAAGAGTCGTGCTGGTCATCAGAATTGTACCCAGTGTGGCTCCACTGACACCTGACAGGTGCTTGGTCTCGGTCGACAGGAAAGAGGTGAGTGCACCAGTACTATTTTCCTCTCTATCGAAAAAGGTGATGTCCTGACGAAGCATAGATCTGAAAGCCATGCTTCGAGCTCGACGAATCAGTCTCTCCGAGCAGACAGCGAAAGCGGCACCATTGATGGAAAGATTGATAAATTGGGCGATTCCGACCACAAAGAACATTAAAGCCCAGAAAGCACCATCGTGTCTGATTTTAGCAGACTCACTTGCTGGGAGCGAAAGAGTACTGATAGCCTTGGCGTACAAGACAGCCTGGGTGGGTTGGCCACCCCCGGAAAGCACCGCGAAGACCAAACCGACGAGCATGTAAAGAATCTCAGGGCGATTAAAGGAAGCGATAAACTTGACCAGGGACCAGAGTGAGTATTTTTTGGCAACTTCCGGCTCTCTCTTGGCGAGAATGGCGCTGGAAATAGACTTGTGTGTTCCACTACGTCCAAGGCCATTAGCAGCGAACGTCTTCTCGTCTTCGTCAGCTAGAGAACCAGAGCCGCTGCTTGCGGACTTGATACGTTCAATCTCTGCCTTGGCGAAGTCATCTTCGTCCATATCTGGATCATCAGTAGCCAGAGCTTCCGCGTCCTTCTCCTCATTGATGCGCTGTGCTTCCACGAGGCTGTGGTAGGTACCCTTGCGGCCGACGAGTTCGTCATGGTTGCCCTGTTCCACAATCCTGCCGTTCACCATAACGACGATGTTGTGTGCTGCCTTGATAGTGGAGAGGCGGTGAGCGATGACAATGGTGGTCCGGCCTTCGGCAGCTCTGTCCAAGGCCGCCTGTACGACACCTTCAGACTTTGTATCCAGGGCAGATGTGGCTTCATCCAGCAAGAGGATTTTCGGATCACTGACAATAGCGCGCGCAATGGCAATACGCTGCTTCTGTCCTCCAGAGAGTAGGAAACCGCGCTGGCCAACATTAGTCTCGTAGCCTTCAGGAAGGGCTGTGATGAAGTCGTGAGCGTTAGACATCCTCGCGGCGTTTTCGATTAGGTCCCTTATTTTTTCCTCGGATTCGTTTTCATATTTGGTACCGATGAGACCGTGTCGGATATTGTGATAAATCGTCGTGCCGAAGAGGACGGGTTCCTGGCTCACTAGCGATATCTGTTGACGCAGCCACCGAAGGTTGAGGGTCGAAATGTCATGGCCATCCAATAGAACAGAGCCTCCCACGGGGAAGTAAAATCGTTCAACCAGGCCAACAACAGTACTCTTTCCCGAGCCCGATGGACCAACCAAGGCAGTCGTCTTACCGGCAGGCATGACCAAAGAAACACCATCCATAACAGTAACTTCGGGGCGCGAGGGGTAGATGTGCTTGATGTTGCGGAACTCGATGTTACCTTCGAAGTGCTCAAGTTTCTCTCCTTCCTCGGAATAGGGATCCAGAGGAGAGGGACGATCAATGGTTCCATAGATTTTGACGGCAGCGGCGAGAGCATTCGTGAAAGCTTGACCGTTGGGAGCGACATTTCCCAAACTGAAAGAACCAATTAGAATGGCCATCAAGACAGTCAAAACCTGTCCCACATTGACCTCGCCATCGGTAAGGAAACGAGAACCCATCCAGAACCCCAGTCCATAGTTGGAAAACATGATACCGAACATGCCACCGATCATAAAGCCGAGGATGATTTGAGTCTTGATACCCCATTTCTCTGCTTCAGCCAAATGGGCTTCGTATTGTTTGGCCAGCTTGTCTTGAGTACCAAAAGCTGTGGCATTACGAATCGAGCTGATGACTTCCTCAGCAACCGTTCCGCCTGCACCAGCGCTCTCCAATGACTTCTTGCTGTACTTGACGATGAAGCGAGATCCACCTCCCATGGTCATAACGAGCGCAACAATAGTCGAGGTACAAATGAGAGCGAGTTTCCAGTACTTGACGTAAGCGACAATGAAAGCTGTCACAAAGGTGGCGATAGCTGTCAGAGTAAGTCCAACTTTTTCCGAAATACCGTCCTGGATCAGATTCGTATCGGCTGTGATGCGGGTCGTAACTTCACCGGCGCCCAGCCTATCAAAGTATCCCATGTTCTGCCTCAGGATGGATTCCAGATAATGTTCGCGAATCTTTTGGGTGATGTGTTCTCCGGTGTAAATGAATCCAACAGTGGAGATGTAAACAGTGACGAATTCGGCAATTCCAAGATACACGAAATAAAGAACATTCTTTGTCAATTGGTGATAAAAGTCGTGGTATGATATTTCATTTAGGGCAATGCCTCTGAATGCCGAGGCCAGAGAACCGAAGAGAATCTACCAGGTCAGGATTAGTTACAACATGAACACGGATGGAGGCTTCCAGAGATACTTACGGTGAATAGAGGCAAAGCAGCACCTGCCACAATAGCGCAAAGCGCACTAACGAGCATAATCAAGACATCCATGCGCGAGGCATATCGGAAAAGGGCAAAGAACGACACGTTCACATCTGGCGCATCCAGTTGCTTCTTCAATATCCCCTTTTCATGTTCTGGGAGGTGGGCGAAAAGCGCGTCTGGATCTTCGGATTTGGCCAGACCGGCTGGGCGAGAGGCCTTGTCCTTCTCTGCTGCTGGAACCACCGTTGAGCTGGAGATGGAAGAGCGACCGGCTGACCTGCGCTGCTCGGCTGAGGATGCGCTTCCCCGTTCCATCAACTCGATATCAGTGTTCTCGGGCTTGTCCCCAGGGAGACGCTCATGTTCGGAGTGGGCCATCTTCGCTCTCCGGGGGCGTTGAGGAATCGGCTCTCACACTTGCTGTGAAGCTGGGAGACAAAGGTATCGGAAGGGATAAGGAAAAGAGAGGATGAAGCGCACTACTCCATGGGGCAGGTGACTTCCGAGAGAAATCGCTGTGAGAAATCGAAATTGATCACCCTGTCTGTTAAAGCGAACGGATGGAAGGGTGATATTCCCGAGGGAGGCGAAGGTGCAGAGAGATGAGATGGTCAAAAGCCTGTCGCGAGATATGCACCTCAAGCGCGGACTACCTAGATAGGGATGGAATGGAATGTGCAATGTTTATCCAACCTCAAGACCGTGGGTAGAGAGGGGGAGGAGGAAATGTGCTTGTTGGTTAATTATAATTATAAGTGTAAAATATTGCAGAGCAGAAGGGGGGAAGGGATGAGGGGGGGGAGCCTTTTGTGGAGGGATAAAGAATTGATATTATCTAGTTTAATTAGTATTAGGCAAAGTAATAAGACTTCGAGACTTTGGGGATTTAAATCCTGAACCGTGAAGGCTCCCCCATCTGCGTCAGCGCTTGTTCCTCCGTCGTGAGTAGTACGGCGGAGGAAACATTAATTTTAGCCTCCGTTTCTTAGCGTCATCGGAGCCCCGACTTCCCGAGCCGGTTTTATGCACATCAGGAAAATTACTAATTGGACAAGAGCGCATTGACGGCAGTAGTTACCGCTCGGAAGAGTGCTAGATACGACGATACAGGACTTGAGGAGATACTGGAATATGTGCATGCATGCGTGCGTGTTTCTACCTATCTTGTAAGACAAAATATGAGTAGTAGAAGTATATTGAAAACTTGGAAGATCATGAACAGTCAAGCAAGCTGCTCGGGACGGAGAGGGGGCTGACTCCATGTGCCTTGAACGAGCATTCATGCATGGATGAGCCCCGAAACCTACCCTTTACAGCGGTTAGTAAGAATGAAGTACATACGCCTCCAGCCACAGCTCAAGATTCACTTGCGTATTAGTAATGCATTGCATGAAGAGGGTGGGTTTCATTCAGTACTAAAGGAAAGCCCGGAGAATCCAAACAACCCCTGGAGAACTCACTACTAACCTACTCAGTAAGAGGGTAAGATAGCTGGAGCAGCAGTGGTGACTTGTGACTCGTGACAGGCTATCATTGGCCCACCTGCTGCTGGGTTCTAGAACAATATCCTATGAGTCGAATCTACTATTGAACCAATATCTGTTGGACATGGAGGTACCATCCGCGGGCACTGTCTTGGGTCTAGTCCGTTGATATCGTACCGAGTGAAAATTCAATGCGTACCAATCGTGAGTGACGAAGCAAGAAGAAAAACGAGAAAATAGCCGTGATCGTGCTGGTGTCCAGCATCGGTGCCTAAAGGAGCTCTAGTGCAGGCAACAAACCAGGGTGGGGTCTGATTGTGGTCAAAAGACCCGCTCAGGTTCTCGGGTACGAAACGAGTACGATTGTACAGTACATACATCCATGTGACATGTAATACGCCCTGAGTCGCTACTATTCAAAAACCACATGTCGTCGTCAACATTCAACGTTGACTACTTCATTCACCAGGACTATTCTCTGGAGGCCCTCTCCCAAGGAACTAGGTGGCACACCGGCCTTACCAGTTGTGCTCTCTGCAAGCAATACTCAAACTGAGTAGGTGAAGCCAGCGTGTCCTGTTTCCAGCCTAAGCGAACAGTTGGTTGTTAGTACAGCAAGATACGATTAGGTTGAATGCAAAGACGCAAATCTTTAGGAACGGGGTCGGCACTTACGAGCTCCGTCCTTTTAGATGACAAAGCAGCCAACTGATTTCGGGCTCGATATCGACTCCGTTCCATGGACGACGATAGGCTCTACTAGTCATTTCCTGCTAAACACCGTTTATCTCCGTGGCTTGTTCAGTGACAATACAGTCAGACCTTGTTCACGGGCCACCCTGAAGGTACTGATCCCTCAATCCTTCTTGGAAATAGGCACCAACGCTCTCTTAGCTGTTTTCATTCTGGGGTCCAGTACCTATCAGGGCCATGGAAGATCGGCGGGCATGGAGAATTCATCGGTGATGCCCGAGGCCACTGTGCCAATCGTGAATTCGCCCCGACCTGTCATCTTACCTGAGTGCCATCATGTGCATGTATGTACAGTACACCATCAACTATATTTGCTATCAGTGACAAGACCAGCGCCTTATACAACCTTGATGCATATACTGCCATTGGAGAACATGGCCAATGATCTGTCCAATCATGTTGGAGGCTCCATGACACTCGATAAACAAAATGCTATATTCCTCTGACTCGCTAGGATTGGAGTCTAATGATGGTGAATGATGCACGATAAGCCGGGACCGACCTCCTTGAACTCCGATCCTGTTGGGAGGTCTCGAAGAGTCGAAGCAGGGAACGGATTTCCGACCGATACCTACAGTACTACCCGTGATAGCGCCGTCCGGTTCTTCGCATGCTACTGTCTCAGAACTAGAGCGGTTCGAGTTCGATAGCCTGTTGATGCGTGCTCGATGTGGTAGTTCCTATCTACTAGCTCGGTCCTCCATGTCGAAGTATTTGGTTCTTTCGATGTGTGCAAGAAATCAATCCGTGCACCGCCCCTTTTGCAGGAACCTAAAGCAGGAGACTGGGCACAAATAGCCTTGTGAGTCATCAGAAACTGGATGGATCATAAGCCAACGTGGTACTTCGTAATCTCTCCAAAGGTTGATCCAACGATCCGACCCTCAAATGACCGCGTTCAGGTGACGGTATAATGACTCGGTGTTGTAACTACGCCGGTTATGCCCTGGCAAATGTCGATTTATATATGCGACACCAAATCGTATTGTACACTGGTATACGACCGTTGACGAAGGGAAAAGTAAGGGTTGGAGTAGGCGCTTCACCAGCAGGCAGTAAGCAGGATTTTGAATGACTAGATTAGATGTTTGGCGGTCAGCGACACATTGGAAGCCATGCGGGATATCCCCCCCGCGCACATCTCGCAGAGCTGCTGCTTTTGTGGTAAGGGTTTCGCGACCATTATGATAGAGAAGGAGGTAGACTACTTGTTCACTTCTCTACAGCAAAAGGCAAAATCGAACAGAAATTGGATATGTTCAAACTCTTTATAATATGAGGCAGGCAGACCGGAGACATGGTGAAGATTACAGATGGGGCAACCACGTTCATGCCTCAGGCCTGTATCACATGACCTACCCGAAGCGAAACGCTAAGCCCTGCCCGCACAAAAAAACTATCACTACTAACGGCGCTTGAAGACGGTCGACAACCTCACTACCGCCAGTCCATACCCTCAGCTCGCCGTCGCGACAAGCCTTCAAGATGCCGGTTAGCAGACCCCCTATGACACCAACGGAATCAAAAAGGGCTATACTTCACGTCTTGTTATTTTGATGGAATGGAAATCAGATTGGAATCCGCCAGGATGAACATTGGAACCGCAGGCTAACTCTCATTTCTTCTCATCGATGTAGAGCCACAAGAGTTTCCGCACCAAGCAGAAGCTTGCCAAAGCTCAGAGACAGAACCGTCCTATCCCCCAGTGGATTCGTCTCCGCACTGGTAACACCATCAGGTAAATAACAGCCTTCTATTCCACCATCATCCGATGCTCGTGTGCAGCTGCGACCCCTCGATGATTCCTCGTGTCCGCCCGGCAAGAATGCAAGAAAAAGAATAGGGTGAAGGTGAATGGGACTGAAACCGATTTCGCCAACGACCACAACAACTTCTTTTCACTTGCTGGAGGTTACGATGATATTTGAACGGGGGAGCGGGATCCGATATTTAAGCGCACATGGAGCAAGCACAACCACACTCGGCAGCAGAGCATATGGCTGACATGGCGTTCTTTACAGATACAACGCCAAGCGGAGGCACTGGCGCAAGACCCGTCTCGGTATCTAAACTCGATCAAGCCACTCAATCGACTTCTTCGATATCGCTCGAGATGTCTTTTTCTTATCCCCGGGATTGTTTCGTTCAGTTGTGATACCGCCAACTCATGTGTGCCTCTCTTGCTCGCGATGGTTTAAATCTGCATCATCCTGGACTCGTCGACTCGCTGCTTTCCAAACCACACTCTACACTTTTACTCTTCGGTTTTTGTTTCCTGTATTCCCGGCAAAGATATCTTGAGGATATGGCAAGCGAATATTTGTTCTTTAACGTCGAACGATATCCGGGACAGGACTGGTCGAGGTGCAAACGGTCGTTGTCGATCTGGGTACTGTGATACAGCTATAACTCATGCAATTTAAGTACACGAGCTGAAAAAAAACAAAAATCGAAAATTCATGATGGATAATGAACACTGAACGAATTTTTCTCTGGGATTGGTCTTTCGGGTATAATGGTCGATTTGACAGGCTGTGTATGGGAGCCATTCTCTGAGCGCTCGATGCACCCACTCGCTGTCTGGGCTGAAGGGACATGCTACTAGGCAGTCTGACGCTGCAAAGGTCATTTCTATGCTTTCAGTACATTTTGTATGATTATGCTTGAAAAATAAGCGTAGTATATCTCCCATTATAAATATACATCATACAAAACCACGAGACTCTTTGAACATGTAGAAACTTTTGATTTAGTGATTTACTTAGAACCGCAGTACTATCTGTGCAGACGAAGAACGGCTCCAAGGGATGCTTGTAAGATAAGATAAGATTTCTCATTTCAATAAGCAAGGACGTATATGTCCTAGCAAGATACATTTTTCGAATCAACTATTAAACTAAATCCACCGTTGCGTTTTGAGACACAATGGTCCAAGGCCAGTAGTAGAAATTGGAAGAGAAACTCAATCCGCTAACATAAAAGAAGCGAAAAACCGAACGCCGGGAACTGCAGCAACTGGAGACCGTATGAGGTGTACCAAGCCAAAACATCGTTGGATATGCCTATCTTCACAGGAGCCACATGTCGGTGGCGAGTCAGCGATCGTTGGGAAGATATGCAGTGGTGACGGCTGACCAGTAGCACAGATTTAACGACTGCGAAGCGAACAGTTAGTGAACGGTCGGCCTTATGATAGATATAATGAGTGCAGGTGTTATAACTTACTCCTCAGCCCACTCGTTCTCCCGACGGATCTGATCCTCTTCTTCGGGGGTAAAATCATTCTGGATGTTGAATGTCTTGCGAATCTCCTCCGGAGACTTGCCCTTGATCATGTTGGCGACAGTCTTGCAGCCGACATCCAACAGACCCTTGATATCGAGGTAGTTGGCAGCCAAGATAATTTCGAAAAGCATCTCTTGATCGACCTGCATGAACTTCTGATCCCACTCGTCGATGTCAGTGGTCTTGCGGCGAGAGTCATCGTCATCACCAGTGTTAGGGGGGTCACCCTTGTGGTGCTCACACCACTCGATGACCTTCCGCAGGACAGCTTCGTTGACATTGGGGATGGGAATGGCTTCATCCGTGTCACCGAGATCACCGAGCATGTTCTTGATTAGAACGGAGCGTTCAGCAACATCACGAGCGACCGTAATCTCAACGCCATCGTTGCTCTGGAAAGTGAGAGTCGGAACAGACATCCTGAAGGACTAAGTAACAGTTTCGGTAAGACTGAGGTGAACTGTTACTTGAGAGAGATAAGCAACGTTGTATGAAACAGCAAGGATTTCACCGGACGGTATGTTGTGAGGGGTAGTCAGGCGGGGAGAATAATTGCTTGCTTACACGACAAGGTTGGTTGGTGTTCGAAAGTAAGTCCTAGTTGGACGGTAAGATCGAGAGTATAAATAGTCGAGGATGAACAGACTGGGCTGCGATTGGAGACGAATACTTTAAGAGAAAGGAGCCCGAAGTGAGTTGTTGTAGATGGAGAAGACCGAGCTGGTGATCAAAGGGAACTGACGTTGTGAAAGAGCAGATGGCTGAGAGGCTGATGAGTGATGACTGATGGTCTGGTCTTAGTTTGAGGGGGCGGGAAATCTCCGTCATCATTCGCTGCTTCCGCCTGGACTGCCTGGTTGATGCCTGAACCCCGTGTGCTGTGGATGCCTGGATTGGTGCCTGAGTGGATGCCTCGCCCTATACCCTCTTTGGTTCACGGAGTATCATTACTGCAATGGATACAACTCTTTCAACTGGAACGAGGAAATCACCACCAGGCTCCAACTCAACAACTAACTGAGTTTCAATGCCCATTGTCTCTCAATCTTTGTCGATGCTTTACCACAGTATTATCCGGAGCTCGAGTTGAATGATCTTTTGTCACCAATAGACATTGTCTGTCGGTCTACTCCGTATTATGGCGGAGATCTACACCATGTGCCGATGAAGAAAGAAGCAATACCTCGCGTAATTGCGCCCATCAAAACATCTATCTCCCCCAGGATTAAGCATGCACGAAATCTGATCTCCCAATCACTCCTACTGCAGCTGTTCATTACGGAGTCGTTTATCCTTCATTGCATCAACAAAAAGTAATATTGAACGGAATTGATGGTAACGAAGGGAGTCAAATACAGTACAGCGGGTCGCAGAGAATCTGAGGCTATCTCACAAGAGATTGATCGATCTACCCATGCACTCGACGTATATTCTACAGCCACAAGTCAACGAGAATGATCCATACATGTCCAGATGTCGGCTGCCGGTCTTCCTTTCATAGCAAAGACACCTAACTCGTGTTTGGCCAACCTTCAGCATTGTTGCCCCAGCGCAGGGGCTCATTGCACCAAAAGCCAATAGTGCTTGCTGTGCGTATTTATCGTCGCTCAATGAGATCACCCAACGCGTCGCCGCTTATCCGCCCACTAAATCCGATCCTCTACGCTCACCTGTTGACCGGAATATTATCACCTCTTCTCTTTCCTTGCCTTCCTTCTTTTGCTTGGCCCTTCATGCTGAAGACCGTCGTTCCTTGATTTCTTCTTCGATTCGTTCTTCTAGTGCCGAAATCCCGTAGGCATGCACCATACCCTCGACCGGACTTGACCTTTGTCGCCTTCCAAATTCCCCGAGCTGCACATCTCACGGAATCATGTGGTGGCGGCGGACATACTTGCTGTTGTTGGTGATCCGGATTTATTTTGCGCTGTCGCCAAGCTATCTACATCCAGATGAGAATTTTCAAGGCCCTGAGGTCCTCGCAGGTAGGTCTCTAGCGTTCACTGATCTGACCCGCGTGCGACGCGATTGTTGTCTTTCCCGGAGTCTCCGGCGCTGAGGGACGCTATGTCCGCGAAACCGCTTGTTGACATTAACAATCCATCACTCCTCTGGTCGCGTACACTTACAGTCCATTTTATAGGCCGGATTTTCTCCTACCCGTCTCAACTAACTTGGGAGTTCACTGCCGATAAGCCGATCCGCAGCTTCTTCCCACTATGGCCGACCTACGAGGTGCCGATGAATCTATTGAAGTGGTTCTATACGGAAACCGGAACCCCAAACCCTCCTCCACAGCTGGTATACTATGCGCTGCGTGGAGTAATGTTCCTATTCAGCTTTGTGTTGGAAGACTGGGCTGTATATGAGCTGGTTCCCTTGCCGCGCCATCGCCGCGCGACAGTAGTCCTGGTGGCATCCTCGTATGTCACCTGGACATATCAGACGCACACCTTCTCAAACTCGCTCGAGACCCTCTTGGTGGCCTGGAATTTAGTTCTGATTCGTCGCATTATTGAGAACAAGGTTTGTGCATCCAGTTGAGCTGAATTGTAGAAGAAGAGCTCCATAGCTAAGTTTGTTGGCAGCGACATTCCTCGATTTTCTCTTGCGCTGTGCTATCCTTGATCGCAGTCGTAGGTGTCTTTAATCGAATTACCTTTCCTGCCTTCGTCCTCGTTCCAGGACTCCAGCTACTCCCTCATTTCTGGCGCAGGTGAGTTTCTTGATGCATATCGCAGCTTGCTTGTTTCGATGTGTTGACCTCGATGATAGACCTTTCTCCTTCCTTACCGTCGTCGGATTTGGCCTGCTATTCTTCTGCCTTGCCGTCTTGGTTGATACGGCTTTTTACAACCAATCTGCGCCTCTGTGGGAAGCCCTTGACGATCCCATCATCACCCCGCTCAACAATCTGCTCTATAATACCAATCAGTCCAACTTGGCGCTTCATGGACTCCACCCCCGTTACCACCACTTTCTAGTGAATCTTCCCCAGCTTCTAGGACCGGCATATATCGTCATGATTCTATCAGTATTCAACTTATCGGCCGTTCCATTTTGGTTGAGGGATATGCGCGCTATTTCTGCCATTTCAGCAACTGCCCTGCTCTCTATTTTCCCTCACCAGGAACCCCGTTTTCTGCTTCCTTGTGTTCCTCTTCTCATCAGCTGTCTGCGCTTGCGCAACACCCGGAAGTCTCGGCTGTTTCTCGTCACATGGATGATTTTCAATGCTACTCTAGGATTTCTTATGGGAGTTTATCACCAAGGAGGAGTTGTGCCTGCACAGCTTGCGATGCGGTCTATCATCTCAGCAAGTGCCTGTGGGTCAGATCTTGCCCCCATTGGTTCTCACCACAAAGCATCTGCAACCGTGCTGTGGTGGAAAACCTATTCTCCTCCACGCTGGCTTTTGGGGAATGACTCCACCCTCCCTTTGGATATCAGGACCCGGGATTTGATGGGTATGCCAGGATCAGAGCTAGTCACAGAGCTCAATGAACTGGTCCCATCATGCCAAGAGAAGGAGAAAGCTGAGGGCCACGGTTTGATTCCACCCTCAGTCTTCGTGGTTGCCCCCAAGTCCGCTACATTCCTTGACCGATATGTGGCTCCGTTGCCCTCATCATCCGACCCGTCTGATCTTGAGCTGCAGGAGCTATGGTATTGGAGCAATCACCTCAATCTAGATGATCTTGACTTTGGTACCGACGGCATCCTCCCGACACTGGGACGGGTGATTGGAAGAAGAGGACTGGCTGTGTGGAAAGCACGGAGGTCTGGATGTGCTTGACTCGAGCCCTTACCTGATTTTCTCATCAGCTGATAAGCGCGTCCGATCATCTGGTACCGGAAGCAGTAGTCCCCACAGGTCTATTCTTATGCATTGGTTCATGATACTTGCCCCAACTTGCTCAACTTACCTTGTCTCTAAGGTCTTCAGCATCTTCCTCTCCCTTGACCATTCCCCTCCCTGCATTACGTACCCCACCTGTACCATCTGCTCATGGTATATCTGAGGTATACATCTTGCAGCAGAATATACTCCTAAACATACATATACCCCCTTTTTCTATTGATTTACAAGGGCACGTTGTCCGTCATATAACTCAATCAATCCGCTGTCAGCTTTTACATGCCTCTCCATTCGTGCGTCAAATCCTTCCTGTAAATTTAGCGAAAATTTGTCTTGGAGACATCATGGCGTTGCTTGGAAACCAGAACATGTCTCGGCCAATTGTGGATTTCTTGCATGACCCCGTAATTATTCAGATAAAGCACTCCATTATGGAGGAATCCTTTCTCGAGCCACGGTCGATATACGTCTCTGCAAATGGCAAATTCGCAAAGGGGTACGACAACTACGTACCCAGTACGGGATCAGCTCCTGGGGTCACACGGTCGGGCTTGAAGGGGAATCGATGTTCCGGCTCTAGTCACGCTCACGCAGACCAACCATTTTCTCAGAGTCGGAAATTGCCCAAATCTAGGGAGGCACTAGGCAGGCAGATACCGATTCAGATAGCTATCGACGAGCGTACCGATAATGTTTTATCCTACTCAGTCGTCTTTCGGGACTTTACATTTCCAAAGGCACCCTTGGTCCATTCAAGCAGCAGAAGGAGGCCTTGATTTTGAAATCGCCTATTGCTATGAGGCCGAGATTGTTACAATGGAAGGGAGTGAGTGTGTAATGGGCTGGGGAAAGACCCGGCTAAATTGAGCACGAGCTCCTTAGCAGGACTCATCTGGCAGCGAGACAGCATGGAGATTGGAGACATGTCCAGGTGGAGACGAGAGGGAAAAAGGCATCGGCTGGCTAGTAGGCTTGTACGGAACGGTACGAGCTCAAGGAGAGGAGACTTGAGCTAGACCGCAATCTAATCTACATAGTCGCCTTTAAGCGTAAGTTCAAACATATGATAAGAGGGACACATCGCGACGTTAATTATGAGGGAAGATGAGAGATCAATAGAGAAGAGCAGCATCTGGTGGTAGGAGTTTCATCCAAATGAAAATATAGCGGTAGGATTGGAATCATAGGTCGTCAGGGTCGTCTGGGTTCTCGAACAGGTAGTTGGCGGCGAGCTCTTCGTTCTTATCGCAAGCGAAGTAGGCCTGGATGACGAGATCCCGAGAAAATCCAAGTCGGCACAGCTAGTGATATAGTTAGCAGGATTCCTTTTGTCCTTGTCACCATCCATATCATGAGAGAATACATACGCGTTCAATGGCATCTCGCTCCTCTTCCGTGACATGGATCTGATGCGTGCCGGGAGGAAGGGCAGCCGCGTCGTCTTCCTCGCTCAACAATTGAAGGAATTGTTCCTCATTCTGTCCAATAAGCTGCGCAATTTGAGGGTTACCAGCAGCGACTTGTTGCAGGATAGGCTCAAGCATCTGAGGTTGTTGCTGGACAAGCTGACGAAGCTGCTGGAAGTGAGGGTTATTCCGAAGGAAATCAAGGCTGGGAAGAGCTTCACCAGACGTAGCTCCCGTTCGGGCACCTCGAGCACCGCCTTCCTGTCCTCCAGCCTGAGCGGCAGCTTCGAACAAGTTAACATGCTCGTCATCGCCCGCAGCCGGGGCACTTTCTTCAGCAGGAGATGCGGATGCTTGGGGCGCGCTTGCGGCAGCAGCTTGCTGCTGCTGTTCTTCCTGGATGTTATCCGGAATGCCCTAGAAACAAGTCAGCATGTTTGTTGGCCGAGGACCAAATAGCTCGAAGACAGCTCGAAGACTCACGTTCAAAAGGTATTCAATGGCGCGGTCGGGATTGAAGAAAGCAGCCCTCATCGCACGGTTGATATCACTTCTCGGAAAGCCCATACTTTCCATCTGGGCGACAACCGCTTCGCTTTGAGCCCCACGCAGCAGAGCCGAGGGATCATTGAAGGCGGGACCAGCTGGCTGAGAAATTCCCGAGGCGGCAGGAGAGGGTGTCGCAGGAGCTGCCGGTGAAGCAGTGGGGGCTGATGGTGCAGGAGCGGCGGGAGCGGCGGGGGTCGAAGCAGCTGCTCTTGCGGGAGTAGAGGGGGCTTGTGTTGAAGCGCCGGAGGCAGAAGGCTTGGGCTGAGTGGAAGACCAAAAAATTTAGCTGGTTGGGGAATGAAGCTTGCAATGTGCGACAAGCCATACCTTGGAGACCATGCACACTATGAAACCTTTCTCCTCGATGTTGTACGACTCGATAGTCTTGTCATCTTGAAGGATCTTTCCTGTTGTGGCAAAGACAGTCAGCTGAACGTGTCCAACGTTTTGTCAAAGTACCGGAGCACGAAGCCGTCGTTTCCACTACCAATTTCTGGCAGGATCGGGCAATGTTGACTGACCTGAGTAGATGAGCTTCAACTGGGCAGCCTCCCATCCTTTTTCCTGGGAGATTTTCCCCTTCACTTGCCCGACCTGACGGAAAAGCGGTTAGCCCCGCACCGAAAGACAATGCTTCAACATTTGAAGTGAGGAATAACCTACCGTCTCCGAGGGCTCTGCATCGATTACAAACTTCTGTTGTTTGAGGTCCTAAGAGAGAGAAAGTAAAGGTCAGATTAGGGGATGATGGAGGAGCGTAAAGCAGACAGCAGGCACATACTTTGAACGTGAGCTTCATCTTGCGCCACCGAAGGATGAGAGATGGCTCGACAACGTGGGGAGGGGTATGAGGGGGATAGTTAAGGGAAGAGGGACAACAGAGGGTGTGGTAGTCAAAACTGATAATAAAATGATCAAGAATAGTAGGGAGAAAGAAGATCTGCAGCAGGACAGAATGAGAGACCCGCTATAGTAGGAAGAAGCAACGATTGATGATGACGAAGACGAACATGAATGACGCCGAAGGAGGGAGGAGAAGGAGCTGGAGGCGGTCAGTGTCAGTCCGTCGTTTCACCACAGCCACAGCCGCAGCCACAATTCTTTTTCTTTTTCTTTTTTTGTTCCTTCCCTAAGATTATTGTACTGTACGAGAGTCTCCAGCCACACCTACTGTTGCCGTGTGTCTTATTTGTTTGCTTGACGTAACATTTCATATATCTTGTACACTCTCTACTAACATGTGCGGTTGCTTCAGTGCTGTATACTGAATGGGAATGCAACTCCTCAGATATAGATCCTGACATTGATTTCTACTTCATTTCACCACTGCAGCATGGTGCGGGGCAAAACTACCTCCGGGTAGAATACTACTACTACCACTATATATATTCCTCCCTTGTTTTGTCAATGGCCGTATACACCAACTTGTCGGATCCATATCCAAATGTGAATGGGGCGCGACTTTTCAATAAGGGCTATGTACGGCCCAGGTTATAATAAATTCTCCCCATGACTGACGTGCCTCAAAGATTAGGCTCATATTCCATTATTTCGATCCGGTAGTCTGTATCAGAGCAGCAGCACCGCCAACCAACCAGCCTACCCAACCGGCACGCCCCGTCCCGATCACACCTGCAGCTGAGCACAATGTTGTTTCCGATGCTGATACAGAGTACCGTACTTCGTACTACGTACATCTCCTCTACGTCCATTGAGAGCAGTGGCGTTGTCCTGTGGCAAGGGGTATAGCCCTAGAGATCTATCGCATGGATCTATCACACCGCGGCTGCAACTGACGGGATGAGAAAGAAAACACATCGAAAGTGACAACAGATAAGCCAACTCCCACCATTTGACCCCACAAGTTCACTGGCCTAAAGCAGATCAAATTGAACTCCTCGCAGAGAGATTGTCTGCAATTCAATTCATGTCTCTCATGTCCTGAATATCAATGCACCGATTCCATGATGGCATAGCTCTTATCGCACCGCCACCATTCCTCACCTTTGGCCCCAAGGACATTGCTCGTCAGGAAATGAGTGATATGTCATATCTCTAGTCTGCAGCACCAGCGCTAATATTGTCCCCCCCCGTATCCATTCCTGGAACCCAAATGGCCGATCCTTCTATTAAAGCCTTTCCCGGAACTCTGGATACCATCCCGGCCGCCTCATACAGGAAGCCACCGATATCTTGACAAATTCCATTCTAGACCTGTTCCACGCGGCTAGGATACCTCCAAGATGCACCAATTCAAGGCTCTTCCTATTCAGCTTTGCGGCAGTAGCCAACAGTGGTCGGGACACCCAGGATCGAGGCGCCCGCACGCACGTCAGGTCAAAGGATCGCGTGAGCTGTGTGAATCAACCTTGATTCTCATGAACATGCCATGTAGGCCCCTCGGACCGAAACAAATGATCCTCAGCGATGCAAGACTGGGCTGGATACTGTACAGTACGCGGAGCTCTTTAGACAAGCATGCGCGACTTCCCGGATTTCGCTGACTCCTGGCCCCTCTACGCTGCTTCAATGCCTCAGCTGGGAGGGGCTAAGGAGTGGGGGAAAAGGCCTCTGAGAGGAGGAGGGTATGACAGTTGGCCTTCTTTTCCGATCTGGATCACGGCTGGACCCGTAGACTTGCCATCTATCTCTTCGACATCATTGCTGCGAGCCCCCTAGTCCAGCTCACTAGTGGTAGTGCGATCGAGACCCTTGGGTATCGAAGGTCGAACCACTGGCCGATGTAGTCCACCACCACACCCCCCACCCCCCTCCCCTGTGCCGCTGATCCTGGACGTTGCATACGCTACTCTTCTTCGAAAAGTCCATGCATCTCGACTCAATTATCCTCGGGGACTCATCTCTTCCCATTCTTCCTTCTTTAGTAAATTGATTGACTTACGATCTTTCCCGGGTTGCTGGGCTTTTTCCTCCGGCTCGACCCTTGTCCGTCATACCCAGTCCCTCATTAATTGTTACTATTATATTTCTTATTGCTAACTCGTCACGCTCACCACTTGATCCACCTCCAAGTTTTCATCGAAGAATCGCATTATTTCCTTCCTTTGGTTGTCTTTTGTTTCTTGGTAACATTCGTCGTCTTTCCCTGATCATCTGCCAAACCCACCCAGCCTAGAACGACACACCGGCGGCCATCAGTAACATGAGAGAAGTGCTGAGCCGGTTATGATCTGTTAAACTGCGACCAGCATTGGCCCCTTTTGATCCCCAGCAACTGCTCAGGTGGTCTGAATATTGTTTTAGGCTGAAAGCCTGGATCGCATGAATATTGTCACCTCCGTCTCTTGTCTCGATCATCGTCCGTGCAAAGCCATTCAGTCTCATGTCGCCGAGCATATCCAGAACTTCTCTGGCCCATATCCTGGGAGGCTTCACCATCCTGTCCACGTTCATTGCCACCGTTCTGGATGGTATCTGCTACAGTTTCTCCCGTCCCTTATCATCGCACATAGCCTCGATCGAATCGGCGATTGTGAGCTTGGGGACCATTAATTGTGCAGTGATTGCCGCACTACTCTTTCTTTGGGCCCAAGATGTCAGGACAGAGGCGAGGCCGCAGTGGAGGGGCCACAGGGCTATCCTCTACGGCGTGATCGCCGTCTACCTCTCCATAGCCACTGGTATTACGGCAGGAGGAATCGCTTGGAGTGCGGTCCAGTCCATGACAGGGAAAACGACTGTCATTCACAAGCACCAGACTCTCATGCTAGCACGTTGTATTATCTGGGCTATCTCCGTTCTGAGTCAGGGAATTCTGGGTGGCTATCTCCTGACTTCATTGACAAAGAGAGATGCCGGCGGTCGATGGTCAAGCTCGCTCTCTCAGGAGCTTGAAATTCTTCCCGAGCAAGCCAGTATTGTTGGCGACAAAGATGAAACGGTCAAATCTCCGTCCATCATCATCGGGTCCCAACGGCGCTCTGCTGATGTTAAAACAAGCTGCGACATCGTGCCAGAGCTCCAGCCTTCTGCTTCCCGCACAGAGTCTCAGACTTCCAATCGCTATTCCGGTCGGACCCTCTACCAACAGGATTCCAAGCAGAGTTCTTTTGATTTGCAGCGGACATACTTGGCGGGTGCTGAAAATACGGTGACTCGTCATCGCTCCGATGACCAGCCAGATAACTTGGCCGTCAATCTCTCGGGGACCGAAGGATCAGTTGAGCCAACTAAGATTCGACGAAGCTGCTCCGAGGCAAAACGATCGTTTGAGGTGTTAGTCCGTCAGTCTACGTCGACTCGACCATCCCCCACCACGTCTTCCACGCATTTGGCGGCTCCTGGTCGGCCTATTCCTCCGAAGCTGAAGCTCCCCGACGAAAGCTTTATCCATCCATTATTCCGGTCCGACAGTGCATCGCCTCCTCCAACCCCTATGCCTGGTACGACTGTGATTGCCTCGCCGGCAGCTGGCCAGACCATTTCCGTACAGACATTGAATCGGGTGAGATCAACCCGGTCACTCCGTTCACACGCACCCCGAAGTCGATCACCGTTGTTTGAGCAGGTGGATCAGCCGCTCGCCGAGCTGGAGCGGAAGTCTGAGTCTTCGGAGCCCAGTGGTCGAGGGTCACCCATGCCTAGCTTCATCATGGCTGCGGATGTGCGGAGCAGTATCACCCGATACGAGAAGAAATACGACTTGAATGAATCGCCTGACGAGAGCTAGCCGAGATAAAGTCCTGGGGATCATTAGGAACCGGGATCTGGGTCTGCAAGTCTCTCATTTGTTGTTGTTCCCCTTTGTTAGATATCCTAAACATAGCGTTTGATGTAGTTAGCAGCATTGTTTTGTAGCCCATATGTAGTGCATGTAATGCAGCATAGTTCTTTTGGTTGCTACCGTATGTTCATGCCGTTTACCTCCGCAGATGAGGCCTGAAAGACAGGAGCGACCAGAGAGGAGATACAGCGGTCGTGCTGCCGACGAGCATAGATTAGAAGACATATCAATCGAATCCACGTGAGAGCATCGACTTGACTTATAGCGAGCGCTTAGTGGGCCATTCGTTCGTCTCATCTGACAAGCTGACTGACCGGCTCCCATAAGAGTGATAGCCTTGAAGGGCAGAGACATGTATTGGGAATTGAGTTGCGAGGAGTTAGTCAATTCTCAGGGGTTGATATAGTCAGTCTCCAAAATCTTTCGAGAGACGAGGTGAGGTGAGACCTTTTCCTATAGTTATTGGGAGAGAGTCGAATTTAGTTCGTTGGTGGGACTCCCGAGCATTCCGTATTTGTTACTTTACGGGTTTTACCTCTTTCGTTCCGCCCTCGTTCCCTCCTTGTCACTGCCCATGAATATAAGTTACTCTAACTACTCCTACTCACTGCTTGCTGCAGACGGTTGGGCTGCTATTGATACTGTGGAAATACTCAAAGTCATCAAGAAGAGAAGGTGGATAGCTGAGGTGAGTTACAACAGCACATACTAGCGCTTTCCGAGTGCTGGTAGTAGCAGTAGCAGTAGTAGTAGTAGTAGTAGTAGTAGTAGTAGTAGTAGTGGTAGTGGTAGTAGTAGTAGTACGGAGAGTAGTAGTAGCAGCAGCGTAGTAGCAGCCCGGCTGGTCCCCAAACCAAAACCAAACCCAAACCCAAAACCGTCCAGTCAAATTTCCCTCAAGTCCTTTCCAGACAACTACTACTGACTGACTGACTGACTGACTGCTTGCTTGACTGACTACGACTGACTGAAATAAACTGTTTAATTGAACCGACCACTGACTGACTAACCGACCGACTGCACTACATTTCTTCTCTTCTTCCGCCAACATCATTTCAATCTATCCATCCTTCGAGCCAAGGCTTTTTTGCATCCCTGGGGCCATTGACCTTCCATTTTTTTCTTCTCCCTCATTCCTTTTCTCTCCTCCTCTGGCATTTCAGTCAGTTGGTCTTCTTTCTCCTCTCTGCACTCTTCTTTTACGTTTGCTTCATTCGTCCTTCTCCAGCAACGAGGCCAAGGGGAGATTTTCATACATCCTTTACTTGGATCGTTTGTCGCTGAGTTTGCTGCATGAGAGGAGTAGCACTACTATCAGTCATTTAATCTCCACGTTCATTCTATACAATAACGAGAGACTGAGACGTAACACCTTTTTCTTTTCTTTTCTTCTCTTTTCTTTGGTTTTTTTTATTTTCCCCTCCCTCCTCTACTCCTGTATCCGGCAATAGCAACAAGCAGCAGCAGCAGTGAGCAGTGAGCAAAGCAGTAACAGCAACAGCAGCAACAGCAGCAAGCAATAACGGACCAACCAAGCGCCGCAGTTGGACGCCCATCGATCCACTTGGCCGAACCTCTTTTTACTTCCCTGATCCTCACATCAATCAGTTTAATCATCATCATCCCCATCTCCATCTCTATCACCATCATCTCCATCTCGGTCGCTGTCGCTGTCACTGTCGCTGTGGCATATCCCTTTGCTTTCCTGGAATTCCGGGGTAAGTAACAAAAACTTCCGAGTCTCTGTCTCTCTTGCCTTCGAGCTGCGCATTGCCCTGCTCTCTTCTCTTCCCAAGTTTCTCATGGTCCCAGTCCCTTTTCTGCTGTCGCCTCACCCACGCAGCTTTCCTCAAATGTCCTCAATTGCACTGTCTTGTTCTTCATTCTTTACCTCTCCAATGGCTGGATTGGTTTGATCTCGTGGTCTAAGCTTCTTCGCCCTTCGAAACATCAATTTCTGGCAAGGCTCTATGGATTGGTCGTCCGTGTCTCCCTTTCCCGATCGCTCCGTTCATCCCTCATACTACATGCATCCATCCACTTCCATCCATGCCCGATCTACCGGCTAAAAGCCCGTGCCGTGGTGTTGCTGGCTGGGATGCCTGTTCATCTGCATGTGTTCCTGGCATTTACTCCCTCCAAACCTTTTACAAGTGACCCATTTTTCCTCAACCAACACGATTGTTACTGCCTTGTTGTTTTCTCCTCGGCCTCCTTTGCTTCTTTCTTGTCTCGTTTTGTTCCTCCTCTCCCTTTTCTTCTTCTCTTCCTTTCCCCTCTCCTATCACAACCACCACGCTGGAGTTTTCTCCACATTTCTCTTTCTTACCACCACCAATCTCCATCTCTATGGCCAAACCCCCATGATACTCCATCGTAAATTCATTCACCACATATGATCCTACTTTTCGATCAAGTGAGGAATTCCCGTTGCTCTGACCTTCCAGTTTAAATTATCTTTGCTTGTTCCTCTTACCTTTGGGCGAGTCACACATGTTATTAATCTGATCCGAATTTTCGATCCTCGTTCCTAACTCACTGACATACCTCTTGGTCAAGGATAGCGATGGCGGGAGTCAAGCGGAAACTCGACGCCTCCCAAGGGTCTGCTGCAGCGGCTTCCGGTGGGAATTCTACAAACCCTGGTGCCCCCCACAGCACTGCTAGTACGTTCACGCTTGTATCTGTCCCAGCACCGCTTCTAATCAATTCACAGACTCTACTGCTGATGACACATCTCATGTTCGCGTAACTCGAAGCTTACGTTCCAGTCGAGATGCACGGGCCAATCATAATGATGGTCGCAATCACAGCAACGCTTCCGCTGTGAGTGGAAGCAGCAACAACCACAGCGGCAACACATATAAGCCTAATCCTAACCGGCCATCACGTATCATTACTCTTAGCACGCGCGTTGCTCGGGCCAACACCGCAGCTCGTGAGCGCGAACAAGCAGCGCGGGATCAAGCTCTTCGCGAGAACGTACCTCGTGAAACGCGCAACACTCGAACTCGTGCAAGTGCTTCGTTGCCTTCCCAATCAGTGGAAGGTCCTGTGGCAACTGTCCCCGAAACCCCACGGCACAAACGTGTGAAACGGGGCCCTATGGTGGAAGAAACACCGAGAACCACACGACAATCAGCCCGGCTCAAAGCACATGTCCCACCGAACTCGACAGAAGACGGGGTTGCTGAATCAGGCCCGGCACCGAAAGTATCAGAGCCCAGTCCTTCGGCAATCGCTGCTCCAAAAAGTCGTACCAGGAACAAAAGCCGACAATTTGCAGACAGTAGCAATGACACCACATGCGGGAGTGCAATCAGTACTGCCGCTTCTGCAATTCCGGAAGTTGAGTCGCCCTCACCCGATCGAACGACCCTCGATCTTGTGCAGGATGCCAAGTCTCTGTCCGAAGAGCCTCACCTGAGCCCAAAGCCGTCCCCGCAGCTGGCTAAAGAAGAATCCCCCAGAGGGACAGTGGTTGATGATGAGAAGAACGGGCTTAGTGAGTCGGCGTTTTCTGAAGCTGGTGATTCGTCCGGTGTCCCAAATACCCCTAGTCCTCCGCCTTCCTGGAAACGAAAGTCACCGGCACTAGTAGAGCGTGGCGCAGCTGATACCGACACCCATCTCGAGTCACCCAGTAAAAAGCCTAAGCTGGAAGAGGGCGAGCCGGGTCATGTTCTGGAACAGCCGTCCCAGACGGGAACTAATGGAATCAACGGGGGGCCTGAATCGGAGTCTCCTATGGAGGCCGTGAACGGATTCAAAGCCGGCGATCAGTCCAGGCATATTACGGAGGAAGTTGAGGGCTCGACACCGGAGATTGCTACCGAGCCTACAGTTACTCGAGGGTTCCGCGGCGGCCGGGTGCGAGGGCGAGGTCGTGGGGGACGCAGTAGGGGAGCCGCGCGCTTTGCAACGAACAAACGAGGACGAGGTGGTACTCGTAGTGGCCGTGGACGTACTGGTCGACAGCTTGACAGATCGAGCGACGTGGAGCCTGATCGTTCCCCTTCCCCTAGTGCAGCAACTCAGAAGCTGCGCGATCGCCAGCGTGAGCTGGACAAGGCTTTTAAGAAAGTGGCTGCGGCCCAGCGTTTGGCTTTGGCGGTGCTGGCTACGCAATCCGAGAAACGAATCGCGCGAGATAAGAACGCGCACAAGAATGTGCCAGAATTCGAGGAAGTCAACCGACAGTTGCAGGAGCGACTTCGGCAGAAGAAGGACATTCTCCGTCGGGAATTCGAACTCGAAGTGGAGCAAGAGAATCGTCTGTTTCAAGCCTATAGGGAAGTACTTGTGGAACGTTTCCAGGTAGGTCTCATGTCTTCCATTAATCGGTCAGTGCCAGAGGCAGGGTAAATAACAGCCTCGACTACAGGCATCTGCACGCAATATCCGGGAAGAGCATTTAATAGCAAGCCAAGGGGCATACATGTCCTTCGTTAGAGGCCGCCGTGCTGCAGAAGACGATGAGCACACCGAGGTAGGTGGTCTTCTTTGCCTTGCTCTCCCTCTCTCTCATACTCCCTCGCTCTCTCTTTCTCTCTCTGCCTTGGGGGTTTTTTATGTTGCCTATGCTAATCAATTTCCATAGACGGACGAATCAGAAACCGAGCCAGAGCGAGGCCCAGTTGTGCCACCCGCGCGGGAAGTGTTCAGAGGGTTCAACTCATCTTGTGTGCGCGTTCCCTCCGGGGCGGCTGCCTACGAACGTGCCTGGCTTGGTTGGGATGATTTCGTCCAGCGAGCTAAAGTGGGCGAGGACATTGATCCGCAGATGAAGGAAATGCGGGACCCAGGACCTTTTGCCGGCTTCACCTCGGAAGAGGTGATCGATCTGCTCGTGAAGGCGACTGGGGTAGTGGATGTACGTGCAAATTCAACGACAGGGGAGATGCAGCCCCCGGTGTTATATGATGTACGTCCTCGAGCATTATCGGCCTTGGCGGATCTCGCAGCCGCTGAAGCTCCTCGACCCCCTCTCGCCGCTGCCCCCCGATTCCCGCCAGCTCCGCATCGAACCATTCTCCCCCAACCTGCTTTGACTCATGGTCCTCCGGAGCCTCGGGCTTTTGTCCTCCCTCCGCCCACGCCTCAGAGACAACAGCCCCGACGACTTCTCCCTGCCGGACAGCAGATCCCGCCCATCAATGAGCAACTCGGCCTGCCCGATCCCTTTGCCTCGATGGGAGGACCACCTCATCTTCCTCCTCCGCCAGGTTCCAACTTCCACCGACCTCCAATTCCGGGCTACTTGACCGGACACCATGCTCCGAGTCTCTACTACCCACCACCTCCACCTCCTCCACCACCTGGACCACGGCCCCCTTATTAGCAACGCAGAGTCTAGTTCAACCGCTGTTCTCTGAGTATGCAGATGCTGAATGTGTCGTGGAGGGTCATTCCCGTCATTGTTCTTTTTACTCGAAGTAGATCATATTACCTTGGATTGAGTCGGGGTTTGGGATCTAAACTAGCGTTTGGGTGTTCATTTAGCAGTCACGGAGGATCCCCCTTAGCCTTGTAGTACCGAGTATCTAATTTTGTATTGAGGTATTGAATTTGGTCTTGGGATCTCTTGATTACAAGTAAGATTGAAAGGAACCGGTCGAGTAAAAATGAATCATAATGGGTCATGATGACTCGACTGCGAATGACTCTGTTCGCCGCCTCCGCCCCGATCGGGTCTAGTCCGGCGGGGCGGGGCATTTCGGCCTCGAAGCTTTTTATTTCCTCGGGCTTTTCCTTCCCATCGCCCATCGGCTCTCCAGTCAGCCCATCATTTTCTTTGCAAGTTCGACTTTGTCTAGTTGGGCTCAATTCCCCATTCGCTGCGCCCTTCTGAAGCGTTCAATCTCCTCCTGAGAGTGTTTGTCCGCTCCTCGCGACCCTCATTCTCCGATAGTCTCGCGACCGTCAGCCCCGCCCTTTCGCGCCTATTTTCACTCCTTGACCCTCACTCGCCTCGGTGATATCCAGAGAAGCGCTTTTAAGTGACCGACTTCCAGACGCAAAGTACAGATCCTACATACTCCAGCACTATCACCACCACGATCGGCGACACCGTGCACGGTTAAACGAAGTAATCATGGCTGTCCGTGCTCAATTCGAGAACTCCAACGAGTAAGATGGACCCGGGACACAAACTTGCAACTGCAGACTGCGACTTGATCATTATGGGTTGGCTGTGATCTTCCGAATGAGTGCTGACAGTTCTTGCAGTGTCGGAGTCTTCTCCCGCCTCACCAACTCATACGCCATTGTTGCCATCGGCGCTTCCGAGAACTTTTACAGGTGCGCCTTTCTCTTCTTCGGGGACTGGACTCGGCGTTAGGCATGATGAACTTGGTCAAATTAACTCTGTCACTAGTGTTTTCGAGGCTGAATTGCAGGATGTCATTCCCATCTGTCATGCTACCATCGCTGGAACTCGTATTGTCGGTCGTTTGACGGCAGGGTATGTCAATCTCGAATCGTGAAGGCAGACATGGAATCAGTTCTGACGAGACGAGGACAGAAACCGCAAAGGTCTCCTTGTCCCCACCACTACCACAGACCAAGAGCTTCAGCACCTCCGGAATACGCTGCCAGAATCGGTAAAAATCCAACGGATAGAGGAGCGGCTGTCGGCCTTGGGCAACGTTATCTGCTGCAATGACCATGTGGCGTTGATTCACCCCGACTTGGAACGCGAGACTGAAGAGATGTACATTTTTCCACCATTGCACCCTCACTCTACATTCTGTTTTTCTAAGATCGCTAATCTTCTCTCTTTTTCCAGCATTGCCGATGTCCTCGGCGTTGAAGTCTTCCGACAAACTGTGGCCGACAACGTCTTGACCGGTTCCTACATGGCCCTTTCCAACCAGGGCGGTATCGTTCACCCCAAGACCTCGATCCGCGATCAGGACGAACTCTCTTCCCTGCTGCAGGTGCCCCTTGTCGCCGGTAGTGTCAACCGTGGTAGCCCCGTGGTTGGCGCCGGTATGGTCGTCAACGACTGGCTGGCCGTGACGGGTCTAGACACGACGGCGACGGAGCTGAGCGTTATCGAGAGTGTTTTCCGGTTGGGTGAGATGGGTCCCCGGGGTGTCGGACAGGGCAATGCCAACAAGGAGAGCATCGTGGAGAGTTTCTACTAGATCTGTTTCTCTCTCTCTCCCCCCCCCTATATCTCTCCGATTGTCATGTTGTTTATGAAATCCTTCCCATACGCACGTTGAAAATATCCTTATTGTGGCCCATGATGACCCCGTCGATGCCTTTCTGAATCCGGTGATGTTTACTTCCATCTGATAAGCTGTAGGGGGGTACAAAATAGAGACGGTGGCGGATGAATGAATTGTTTTTAGAATCGTCTAAGATGTCTTGATTCGTGCGTAGCATCGAGAAGACGGAATAGGAGGGCAAACACTGCTGCGCTTCCCCTTCCTCCTCGCCCAAATGATTCCATTGCCAGAATAAATAACGATAGAACAAGTTTTAACGATCTGCAGGCCGAAAAGCAGATTGGATTGATTGTAAAGTTTCCAGGTTTTAAAGGAAGGCGCCCCCGCCGTGTGCGCTGTAAGGTATCTCCAAACTAAGTACACAAAAATCAAAAATTCCCCCTCCCCTCCCCCAAACACACTGTGTGTGAGGCTTTCCTGGGTATGTCGACTCTGTTGCATTGTAGTTCCTAAGGTTCGCTCTGCTCTCAAATGCTGAGCTATATTCCCGCCGTTAAGTCTGGAATGGGGCAAAGGTGGGAAGCATATGCTCAGGTGAACTGTTCATTGCGGAGGGGGTATTCATGCAAGAGGAAGATTTCGATCAAGGAATTTGAGGCAGTCAGAATCTTGGTGAAGTCGAATTCGGGTAAGAAGCGATTGAAAGGTAAAAAGAAAGAAAGGGGGATATCGCCAGGGGTTTTCGAGACCAGAAAAGGGGTGATTATAAGGAAAATATAAAACGGAAAGCAGAAGAAAAGGTATAAAGAAACACAGATATAAAGAGTGTGAGAATAGCGCCCAAAGTCATCCCACCCCGAAAACACCGATCCGGATGCTGTTGCTATTAAAATGGCATGAAAATCCATGGCTAATTGGCAGTTCCAACGAAAGCGAGGCCAGCAATGTCCCCTCCCCACGCCGTCTTCATCTCCTTTCCCCATTTCGAGATATTGCTACACACGTCCTTCGATACCTATCTGTGACGGTCGAAACTGGGTTCCTTGTCCCTCGCTATAATGATTCTGCTCGGGAAGCGGTGGTGGCGGAGGTGCGGGCGGCGGAGTGTTCGAAGATTGCCTGTCGGCTGGAGTGGGCTCGTCGCTCTCGCTCTTCATGTTGGTATCGTCGCCGCTAAGGATTTGTTGTCTGTACTCATCTTGGTCGTCAGGGTCAACTTGCTCATCGCGTTCGGGGCTCATGGGTGGAGGAGGAGGCGGAGGTGGCGTGGAGGACCGTTGTCTTTTAGAAGAAGACGGAGTTGTGAGATCTGTCGCGCTGCCATCACCGGTGCCCATATCTTCTTCCCTCTTCCGTTTCAGATGTCCGTGCAACTCTTCTGCTGATTGCATGGTTGTGTCATCGTCCTGCGTTGGTGCTTTGTTGTCGTCTTCATCGTCAGACATCCTCACGTCAGGGTCCTCTTCCACCGGGTCGGCAGCAGTCGCGTCGCCTGGTTTCAGCTGTGCTTCCCTTGACTGCCGTTCTACCTTGCGCTCCTCGTGGGCCCTGTGTTTGGCGACGGCTTTGTCAAAATATTCCTTGCAGAAGTTCTTGACTTTCTTTTGCTGCTTCTCATCGATCTTGGTAGGATCCTCGACGCGGTTGTTCTTGAAATCCGAGTTCACCAGTTTCTTTGCGACCTAATGACGGAAACTTGGTTAGCATATCTATACCGCCTTTGGCCGACTCAAGTGTAGCCTCACATCTTTAGCATAGCGTTTCAGATCATCTTTAGGCAGCTTATGCTTGAATTTGTCTACCACGTATTTGACGTGGGGATACAACTAAGATCAAGATTAGCCTCCGGTCTTGCTTGACCATCGAATAGCAGGGTCGATGGTCTAAGAAAGAGTGACTCACTGTGTTTTCGTAAATCTTTTTTCGCTTCTCCTCGCTCAGATTTCTCCACTTCTCCTGTCCTTCTTTCTGGTCTGGAGTTGCCTTCGAAGTCTGCGGGGTGGCGGGCGTGCCTGTTTTCTCTTTTGGCGTGTTCTCTTTGGCGTTCATGATCCCGTCAATTATATCCTGCAACGCCTTGTCTCGCGATTCTTTCGGCGGTGGTCCCGGTTGAGGCGCGGGCAAGGCCGGGCGGGTCCAGGTCACCTCGCCACGAGAAGAGTAAAAATAAGTCCTTCCGTTGGATTCCGCGGCAAACCATCCTGGAGGTAGGGGGTTGAACTGACGCCGGAAGGGCCGTGGTCCGTTGTGGAGGGGACCTCTCGGCATGTGGCCTGCCCGTTGAGCAGCTGGACCGCGAGGCGCATCGATAGATTTGGACCTGGATCGGGACCGGGATTTGGATCGTCGCCGCTCGTCCCGAGTAGTCTCACGACGCTCGAACTGATTGATCGCTTGTGGGGTAGCATTGGGGTCCCGCTTCATTCGAGGAATGCGATAGCCCACCTCAAGCGTGGACCAAACTTGTAGCAACATGGCTGCCTTCTTCTCAACACGCTCATCACCACAATCGGCCAAGGGTTGAATGGTTGACTCAATCTTGGAGTCAAGGATCTTGTTTCGCGTCAAACGTGGAAATTTATCCAGGATGTCCAGAATCTGCAGCACCACGTTGAAGTCTTCCTTCCACATGCTGAGTTGGGAGTTGAGGATTTGGTAGCCATGCATCTTCACCACTCGGTTGCAAACGCGCTCATCCTCACAACGCTGGATGCGCCCCAGTAGTTTGACTGCAATCCATTTTTCCTTGCACTGCATCAAAGCAGCCATGACCTTGGTGACTCCATTCTCGTCCAGGGACTTGGGCTGGACGCTATCCACGTACTCTTCATCATCTTCGCCCATCTTCTTCTTCCGCGGCCGCTTCGCAACAGCTGTGTCCCACCCATCTGAGTCTTCAATACCCAGAGCCTCAATGGTCGCATGCGACAATTTGGTTGCCCGCTCAGTCTGAGTTCGTCCGCCGATGAATCCAGTGCAGTTGGGCTCTCCACAGTAGCATGGTTGAGGATCGGCTCCGTAGCGGTCGACATTGTAGTTAAACACAAGCTCCTCTCCAGCTCGAATGTGTCGTTCGGCAAAGATGCCCATCCGCAGCTTTTCGCCGACCACCCACTTATCGACATAACAATTCGGGTTGCACGAGTGATTACAGAATCGGCCCAGATTGCCTCTCTTGGTTGCGTCAACGAATTCGCCTTTGCTGAGAGACATGAAGTAGAAGTGCTTAATGCCCTCTTCATCATATTGCCTCATGCGGCGGCGGAACTGTCCCTCATTGATGACTTCCCCCACGTACTCAAAGATGAACTGATGCGGTCGCAAATCGGCCTCCGCGCGAAGACCGAACCCTTTCTTCTCCGTCTTAATTACAGCCACCGGGGCATACTCTCGTTGTTGGAAGCGCTGGTTTTGGCACTCTGGTCCGCAACCGCAGTCACCCATACATTCAATTTTCGTAGCACGGTTGATGCAGTCAGAATCCTCCCCACAAGCCAGATTCTTGCCGATTGAGGGTTCTGCATCATATCAGCGAGTGTTTCACTTGGGCGAGGCATGAGGATAAGAAATAGATAGCCATCATGAAGTTGTCTCGACAGGGAGGAGCAAGGAGCGGAGAAGAAGCTCGAAGGGTTGGTGCGGTGTGCTGAGACGGGAATCTCTGAACAAGTTGATGCGGGGATCCGAGATGCAGCGCCACGCGTTGGAAAAAAAAAATGTGGCAGCAGAAATAGAACCAACGACAAGCGACGGGGAAAACAAATGAATGAAACGAGTATATCTCCAAGATGCCAGGAGATGGGTAAAGGTAACTTACCCCATTCTTCAGCGCAGTCGCATTCCATCGCATGTTCAGTATATCCCATGTACTTATTGGCATATGTGCAAGCTTCCATTACCTCGAATGTCTCTTCCGCCTGCGCCGTGCTATCTGGTAAATGCGAAAATAGCTGGAGTGGTCTTGCTGCAACCTTCTGCGAGGAATTGCGCGTCAACTTGAGAGGTTGGCCCGGTTCGAGTTTGACTGAAATGTCACCCCCGACTTTTTCCTCCATGTTGTCAGGCTGAGTCCCCTCCGGGATTTCAGGCTTCGCTTCGTTGACGATTTGGTTGTGGTCGTAGTCGTTCTCCTCTTCTTTTTTGATCGGCGATCGGGAGGCAGATCGAGATTTGGTGGCTGCATGGCTGTTCTCTGGGACTGCAAGAGGGGAGGCGTCGGAGACCGCGTCGGAGTCGTGCTTGCTCATGGTTCCGCCGCTGCTGAGTATCGGAGTATCGGGACTTGCGTCAGAATCCAGCTTCATCGCAGTCACCGCATTCGCGATGGGTTCTGACTGACGGTCCGCGTTGTCATGAGGGGACATGACGACACGGACGGAGCGCGCAAACTATCAGAGCCAGCTGGGGAATGCGCTGGTGTGGATCGGTAACCAGCGCGTGGTGGTGGGTGGATGGGTGGGTAAAAGAGGGTGTGCTTCTAAATTCTTGATTGCATAAAAGGGTGTTCTCCAATGAAAAGGAAAAGGAAAGGTTCGATATGAGACCTCTGAATAGTGGGCAGAAAGAAAGAGAAGAGGCTCAAAGGAGGGTGTTGGAAGTAAGAGTCAAGTAGTGAAGAAAGTTGGCGGGCAGAATAATTGGTGCGAGACGCAGTGAAAGTCGCAAAGCCGAAGCAGCAAATCGTCCACGTTTTCCGCGGTTGCCAAGAACCATTGAGGACACAAGTTAAGGTAAGGGAGAATTAACACTCGCTCTCATTTTTTTTTCCTCTGTCTCTCTGTCTCTCTCCCTCTCTCTCTAATGTCTCTCTCTCTTTCTCGCCTTTCACAATCTCGATTTTCTAGTGATAAAATAGCCTGGCTAACAATAGTTTCCATCACATTCACTCCCTTCATCGTGGACTCACTCCATTCTCCGCCCTGCCGAGTCCACCTCATACAGTAGAGTACCCAATGCTACTGCTTCTTTCATGGCTGACTCTCATTGAGATTCCGAGACAACTGTTCTGAAGCGTGTCCTCAACAATAAGGTGAGTCTCAAGAAACCCATCCATGGCCTTGTCGGATAAGCCACGCCCATGGCGCACGTTCGTTCTAAGCAAAATTCCCACCAAGTGCTGCCGCAGTATCACGTCCCTTCACTCACCCACAAAGGCCATGGTTGCTGTCTCCTCAAGGGATTTCTTTCCCCGAATATTCCATATTCCAACCCTCTTCCACCTATTGTGCGCTACCAGTGCTGGCTTTCATTTCAGCTTTCATTGACATGAACAGCTAGAGGTTGGTCGATCCTCTCACTCTAGGCATAGGCAGTGACACTAGTGCACAGTGCATAGGCCACTCGCCGATGCTTGTTTCTGCGCTTTTTCTGGTGCACAAAACTGTCAGCATGCAACGCATTAAAGCTGGAATGGGTGTTCGCCTCAGAGGGCCGACTGAACGTTCTTAAGGCGTTGCAGTCAGCTTATAAACACCGGCGGACTAGCACATAACGAGGAGAGGCTGAAAATGGTTCGCAGAGAGCGGAAGTGTAAATGCATCGAGTGGAGCTCCAGCCACACTGTGAAAGCATTTGCGCTGAAGGGAAAAAGGTGCAAGTGATATACAGTATGCCAAAACAACATGGGACTAAGCATCGAGACACAAGTCTATCGACTCTGCCATGGCTGGTTTGACTTGATAGGGATGGTAGTCATCCTAGTGACCTGTAGTTGCCCATCCACATTCCGAGAGACGGAGGCGCCACGGGCCTGGCCGTCGGTGGATTAGGAGAGCAATCATAAGCGCAAGCAAAATGATCATTTGCAGGGGACGGTAAAATACCACTACAAAAAACGTCTGGTACCTCCTGGGCTGGACGACTATGTGCCTAGCTGCAGAGGGAGAGCCGCGGATATCCAACCATGTTCCGGCTGGCTTGTGCGTGGATCAGAACCATAGGCCAGGAAAAGCCCAAATCATCAGTGCTAGGGCTATAGTAGGGTCTTGATCATGCAGCGCATTACCTTAGGACGGCAGGGGCAGTAGGGAGTAGGTACTCCCACGCACTACGGAGGACGTAGCAAGTACCAAAAGCGCTCGGTGATAAGCAGACTGGATAAATTCCTCACATAGTGGGGGGTAAATGGTCGTCAAAGCTGGGTAAAAGACACCGAGCTGCGAGAAATCCGAAGGACCTGTCAAACTCAATCATGGATGCTGTTCTCCCGCCCTTCCAGACTTTTGAACGATCTCCTTGCCTCGGAGGCGCTTAGCGATTGGATAAGGTGGTCGCATTCAGACTTGGTGCATTGTGCAGTGTGCACAGCTGCTCAACGTTTATGATAATCTGAGAAGTTCTTGAGTGTGGAATGTGGATAGTCACTGGTGGACCTTCAGGGAGTTAGTGTTACTAGTCTTTGTAGCAGCCGACTGTCAGCGGCACAAGTGTCGCCAGCCATTCGCAAGGAGGGAGAGAGGTGGGGAGGGCAACACCTCATATATTCAGCGGGGAACCGGGGGGGGGGGGGGAAGAGTGCTTACTACTGATAGACCAGTCACATTAAATCTCCATCATTGAAAATAGCCCTTTTGGGGGTCAATCCGGAGGCAAACATGCATGAACTGGCGTTGCCGCAAGAGAATATGGAATTAATGATTTAATGGTTGAGGGGGGAATGGGGAGTGGGACGGAACAACTTTAGAGTCTCTTAAACTCTTAGTGCCGTACCACCAAGAAGGGAATGACCCCAGTGTCAGATTTTATTAGCATGCAATCGATCGCATTCTGAGATTGATTACTATTGACCGTCCCAGTTGTCTGGTACTAATTTAGTAGGAAGGACAATTCGACACTGTAAGTGCTACTGGACAGACTGCCGAGTCCAGTACCTACATACATCTAACCCATACACGCTCCACCCCATGACAGCCGACAATGTCTTAGGTATGGTCAAGCCCAGCCCTAGAGGTTGATTTCCCAGAGCATATGCCTTATGCAGGTAAAATAATCTGTATCAACACTACTACTCCCGATCATGCAGAATACTACGTTCGTTCCAATAGTCTACATTCGAATCATACAGCGGAATGATAGACTAGTATTATTCCAATGATCAATACCTTGAGCTGGCTAGGTCTGGAGTTCCAACTTCCGACCCTCATCCCAATTCCCATCCCATTGACCCCCATCAAGCCCTTAGTGCCGAGTCAATACTCCATAGTTAGAATTTTAGTACGCAGTAGTATGTAATACAGTAAGTAAGCAGGATAACTAACTAACTAGTCTGTCTACTCAGTAGTAAGCTTGAAGTCTGCCTTCACCAGGTTACTATACATGTGATAAAGACCATGTCAAGGAAGAGACCAGGACCATCCATCTTGAAACATAGCAAAGAGCCCTTCCATCCCTTTGAGGGACCATCTATCATTTTAGAAAAGGATAATGTGCGTTGATGTGAACCCTCAGCCCATGGGAATCTTTCTCGTGCGTCTGGATTGGATTTTCTCCGGTACAAGCGCAACGGGTACCTGAGAGGTGGGGCTGCCACGGTTTTCCACCCGTCAACAAAGACGAGCGGTACCTTCATGGCGGGTACCGTAACTCACTTCTAGTACTCCGTACGTAGTACTTGATTGCGGTACAGGTTCCCGTGGCTTCCCCGACTGGTCTTCCCCTTCCCACCTGCCTCTTTGTTCATCCTTTCCCTCTTGAGTTCTCCTTCCACCCACTCACTCTCTCTCCCTTTCCCCCCCTATTATGGCCTCATCCACCCCGGACTCCTTGAACTTAACTTCAATTTGACTTCTACCAAATGGAACAGGCCTTGCCCTTCCATCATCGTGATATATGTGCTTGAATGAATTGAGATGTTGATTTAGGGGGCCGAACGTCGGTGACCCAATTCCAACGCCACGCAGAGCTATAAGCAGACTACAGTTTGAACGGTTGATTCAAGTTGGCGGGGCCTTGCTCCCCCTTCGTGCATGATTCTCGTGCATGGACCATTGTCCGGCCTCGATCAGACGTTACGGTGCAGAGCGCAGACCATTCTTGCTTTCAATTCACAGTCTATACCTGCTAATATTACCTGCTGTTCGTCTGGCCCAACCGGCCATAATTGACCCGTCAAATAACAGTCAGTGGCAAGATTGGCCGGTTCGCTCTCAAGACACGCCGTCGATGTACGAGTGTAGTAGTAATAGTACGACTATACTACCTGCAGCCCACAAGCGCGCCGGCATGCTTCGAAGGCCCTGTGGTTGAGGATTCCCGCCAATTTGCTTTACAGTACATTGTTCTGCTGGATTTCGTCCCTGCACGTCCCTGTCCGAAATTTATTGGACGGGATGACAGACTTTTTAGATATGAAACCAGCAGTGACAACGGGAAGACTCAACACCAACCCCCCCCTCCCCCCTTCTCCTCCCTCTTCCCCGACCTTCGGTCTAATGTTGTCGCTATTATACTATGACAGTTACGCCTCCTACCGGGAAGCCCTTGGCTATTTACAGCGGAGTACCGGTACAATTCGATTACATGAGTACTTCTGTCTACTCACTTCCCTTCATTTGATTTCTGCCTTTGCCGTGCCTTTCTAAAGTACCAGTGATCAGTATAGTCAGCCTCGCTCGTCCAATCGTTCATATTCACCATAGCCCGTACAGTACACGTATGGTTGCTTTGACTAAGTTTGGCAGACTGTCCGGATCAAAATCACTACCTATGCTGTCTGAAGGGAGGAGAGCAGAAGACGGAGACAGCCAAATAATGCCCCGTTCCAGTCTGGCCGTTTCGGAATATCCTTGCAGTCTCCGTTCCATTGCCTTCTGCACTAACGGGACCCATCGACCCATCTACTTTCCCAGCCTCCAGGATTTTCCAAGTCGCTTCGCGTCTACGCCTAATGCGGAGCATTTCACCCCACCTTGCGGTTATCAACCACCTCCGCTGCTATGCATTTTCTGCCGGTCATTGCGGTGTGCATTTCCGCTATCGTGAATAGGACCAGTGCACGTCTTTTGCGTCTGCTGTAACCGTACTTCAGCAACTCAACACACAGACGGGTTGCAGTAACCGGACTCTTAGAACTGGCCGGGGGACCGTGATGTATCGCCCAACGTATTCTTTTCTGATCCTTCGACGTGGACATTGTCTTGATGGAAACTTTCGCTTTCTCTTCACAGGTCCATTTATGTTGTTCGGAGTACTTTCTCTGTTTCGGTCGACTGACCCAGCCCGTCGGTGCGTCTGGCCGCGTCCATGGTAATTCGCTTATCGTTCACATTATGGAAGCCATACTCCATCCTATGAAAGAGGTGTCTCCCCACCCCAGAGGTTGACTGAGCCTCTGGTCTAGAAATGGCAAGCTTCCACCACGGTCATGGCTCAACCTTTCTTCACACCTATCAACCCTCAGCTATTTCCACGGTAAACAGTCGAGAGTCAAGACACAGACGGGGCTTTAAACTTTGGTCCCATCCCGTAGTCAGGGCGTACAGCAGTAGCCGCAGACTGTTGTCGCATTACTTCTTCACGCCGAGTCGGGCTAGGTCTTGTGCCCCCTACACTCTCACCCGGCCAGGTTCCCATGGTGTCCCAGCTACCTGCATCCTTAGCTCTCTCCTCATGCTCTTTCGTGCCTCTCCTGGTCTTTTTCGTCCTCTCGCGGGCCGCCCAGGGCTAATGCAGCCCCTCTCTAGTGAGGTGCTGTTTGATTCCTTCCATTCCTGTTTCGTCGTCAGAGGTTGGACACCTGAGATTACTTGAAACCATCGGTTCTTCGAAACACTATCCTAGTCTCGGTAGGGCCCGGTCTAATCCCACTTCAGACAGGTTGGTCCCGCCGTCGTTGATTCGGTCTGACTTGAGTTCTGGCTCATCGTGGTTCCTCTGTATTGTTTTTGAACGATCGTCTTCGGTTGACGGACAGTGAGCATCCCGGAAAGGAGTCCCTGCAGCTTCCCTCTCGCTCTTGGCCACATAATTGTGGCAGCTGCAGTACTGTCCTGCGCGGTTCCGAAGATAAAAAAGTCCGTTTGGCCAGAAAAAGTCCCTGGATAATTCGGTGCGACTCGACGACTGGTCCAGCTTCTCCTCTTTCTTCCCTTCCCTTTCTTGCATTCTTTTCCTTTTTCCATCTGTGGTGGTGCCGATTATGCACCGTTGAAATTGCTCGTTCCAGACATTCTTGCGCGATCTTCAACCACGACATCTGATATCTCTCTCCCGGGGAGGGCCCCGATCCACTCGTGTCCGATCGTTTGCTTGATTCCATTTGCGGTTCCTTACTTTCTCTCAGCTCTTTGAAGGGTATTGTTTTCTCGAGCCTTCGCCCGGCGTGGTAGTAAATCGTGGAATTTTAGGTCACCGTTCTTTTTCCATTCTGGTGCTTCGACACTCTGCTCGCCTGGGATTGCATCTCAACGACGTCCTAACTTGCCTCATGACCTTCGTTTTTCCAGCTTCACGTATCTTATGCGTCCGTTACATGAAGTAACCGTTCGCTTGACCTTCAATGTCTACGATCCATTCTCTGCACATCGGCCCTTTACCCTTTCCCTCGTTTTCTGACTGTTGTTAGTTGCGTTGTCGTCCTTTCCTTTGTCTCCGGTTGCGGTGTCGCCAACCCACTTTCACGATTCCTTCTGAGCACCCCACGTGGTGCTTCTGCTGTAGACGCATCGTTTCGTTTGGGAGGCTCTTTCTGATTTTGTTGTACTCGTTAATCCTCTTCTCCTCCCCCCCTCCCTGCTGAAATCTGTTTCCTGGTGGGTTCCGAGCAATTTCAGGTCAAGCTTCGCCGCAATTTGCACCTTGGTCCTGATAAGCTTTCGAACTGTTTTGTACTGTTTGGCCTCTAAAGTCGCGAGACGCGTCACTTTCAACACTCTGCGCTATCACGCATTGAATCTCGATCTCTCACATAAGTCAGCAGCCATTTCGGTTGGTTCTAGAAGAGAGGCCGCGTCTGTCCTGCTTCCATGGTCTACTGATATGTCGAATTCAGCAGAGAGGCTATGGAACGAGGAGGAGAAGGTACGTAGCTGCCGCTTCTTCTGATTTGTCATTTGATTGGCTTCGAGGTTATGGTCGGATTGAGCACAGATGTTGCGATGCATGCTCTTGTCACTTGCTGGGCTGAAGGCTGATGGTGGTCTCTAGTACATGCTACTTACTGAGATCTTGAAGAAGGCAAGAGTACCCTCTAGTCACTTAGTAAAGATCATCAGGGATTTTGGTATCACGCCAAGCTGGGCGGATATACCCCTACCTCCAGGTACTGAACTCCCAATATTTTACGTCTCGGGGAGTGCCTTTCGGGGGCTCGTGTGCCAGCCACACCAGGCTAGGAATGCCTTGTGGATTTATGTTTATTCACTAACCAATTGACCTAGGCCGCTCACTCAACTCTTGTCAAATGGCTTTTTACAACATGTGCCAACACTTCCAGTTGACAGTCAATCCTGGCCGTGGACCGGTGCCTCATGCCCATGACTCTGCCCCGCCGGCAACAGCGCCCTTGGACGCCGGTGCTTTGCGTAAACGACCTTTGTTTCCCTTAGATAAAGGAATCCGTCCCCACCGTGCAATCCAGCCCCGCCCTGCAATCAGTACGGCGTCTTACAGTAGCGAAAGTGGTGCCTCGGCCCTCTTGTCTCCTAGCTCAGAGAACATCACTGTTAGAGGCGAACCCCCACGGAAACGAGGTCGCCCAAGCAAGGCTGAATCAGAGCGACGCAAGGCAGCCGCTGAGGCTCGCGGCGAAACCTATCCTCCTCCAAGGCGTTCTGTCTCGAATAAAGTGAAATTGCCTTCCGCACCGACTAGTCCTGCTGAAGTAGGACCTGGTCCACCTTCACTCGGTCCTCAGACTATTGGCCGACCGTCAAACCCATCCCAACCCGAGCTACACTATCCCATACCACCAAGGCGACCATTGTCGCTGGGAGGACCGATCAGTGAAACGCGGCTGCAACCAATGCCTAACCAGGAGTTGGTACCTCCAATGAGAGAATTACCGCGCCCTCCTGAAATGAGGCAGACGCTGCCATCGCCACAAGCGCTACAACTAGGACACGGGGACACAATTCTGAGAAGGGAGACGGGAGACCGGCCATTTGAACCCCTTCTGCCTGATAGGACATCATTCGTGGGAAGCAATCGAAGGAGCCTTGTTCACCCTCTCGCCAGGCGCCCAGAAGAGGCGCATGCGTCGGTTTCAGACTTATTGATAGACAGGCCAGCAGAAAATCGACCTGAATAATATACGATCGTGGAGATTACAACGACATCATCTCAGAAAGCATCGACTTACGATTAATGATTCCGTGTTATTCACCGAAGATAATTGCATAAATTCGAACTCGTTGTCGTGAAGCAAATTGAACCAGTCGTAACGACAACCTAACTATGACCAATGCACATGCCCACGTATACGTCATTCCACCTACATACGATTTTCGTTCCACGCCTCGTCATTCTACCAATCACGGTACTTGCTCTCATTTAAAACACGCAAGCACAACGATATACTTATGCGTTCTTCCCCTTTAACGATTCAATTCTTCGTCTTCTGCTGATTACGTTCGAGCCGAAGCATCCAATCGACTGGCCCAAGTGTGTCAAAATGTCAATGGTGCGCCTTTCAAAAATTCATCTGGAGACATGTGTCCGAGTTTGAGATGATCCAGGACAATAGTCCTTCGACAAGCATTTCTACCCGTACGCATCGATGACATATCACGATTTCGTTTGGAGAGACTCTTTGTATCATGCCCTGAACAACTCCATTGTCAAGGATTTTATGAATAATATGAATATGGCAATGCAGGCTCCCCTGTCGCGGGCCTGCAAGTCATGAGCCCTTGACCTACCTTCCTATCAACAATTTAGCTATGCCTTATCATGGACGAATTTCCTTCTGCGCGAAACTGCTGCGCACTCTTTCTATGTCAATACTTGTCTGTATAATACTAATTTATGCATAGTGTTATGTTTAAGTACAGCATTGAACCCGATTCATGAATTCATGATTTTTGCAGCGCTAACGTGCAAAAAGAAAGGGCACAGACCTAAGCAACAAGACCAGAAGTGTTGACGAGATGCAAATCAGGCCCACGCGTATAAGGCCATACGATCCAAATATCTTTATTACTAGCCACAGTGCACTACCGACGAAACCCTGCTCGCCATTCTTTCATGGCTCCGAACTTTTTCTGACTCGGTCAAGGATATCTCGTAAATGAGACGAAGAGCGTCCAGGGTGAAGTGCTTCTGTAGCCGTGACACCAGTTGTAGTAGCCGAGGTTGGTACAGTCGCAGACTTCAATTTTCCCTGCTGTTCCAGTTGCAGTCTGATTGCACTAACAGCGGACGCCAAGCCAGAGCCGGATGTTCTCTTCGCACCAAACATTGGCCCCAATTTGGTGGCATTTTCGCCTACCAGCTTCATCACGTCGTCTTTCCCTTCCACGCGACGGGTCAGATACACCTTGGGTTCGCTGCCCTGACGAGGAAGACTCTGTGCCCGGATCCGCTCAATCTCGTGACGGTATGCGGTCTCGTAGATATCGAACTCCGCGGCGCCGGGGGACTCGCTCACAATCGGATAGGCTGTGTTGGCGTCCATGTCAGTTTCCATGTTGGTATCCATACCAACTGGCTCCTCAGTTACCATGTTCCCTGGTCCCTCGGAGATGGAGCCGACAGCTCCACCGTCTCGCTCTTCGTCTGAGGGGGAGCCAGTATACGTCGATGGCCCGATGAAAAGGAACGGGAATTCTTCGTCAAGAGGATCGCGTGCATGCCCGCGTGTCCCTTCAGCGCTGCGCTTTGTTGTTGCTGAGCTTGCTCGGGATAGCGGGATCAAAGGCGACGGCGATTGGGGCGTTGAGGTGTGTTGCACGTCGTCGATAGATCCTCCTCCAACAGTGATACTGTGTATAGACCCCGATTCCTTTCTCTCTGGCTCAGATCTTGTATTGATCCTGTCAAAGCTGCTGGTCGTGGGCACGTGAGTACTGGCTAGACCGCCGGTATCTGACGACTGGCAATGGGACAATTCTTCAGGCCGACGCTGATATCCTTTCAACGCATAACTCTGCTCCCAAGCTGCCTTGTTGTATGAGTTCAAACTCTGAGCTTTGTTATTCGTGCCCATGTGACCAGTCGAAAAGCTTTCTTCTGGTTCCATCTCCATTGGCGGCTCCACGAAATGCGTCTCGTACTCCTGACCGAGAATACTTTGCATTGGAGGATCGGCCTTTGCTGGATCGATGAGCCTTTTGAAGTGCTTCACGGCTTTAATCTATGCTGCGTTAGAAGATTCTGATACTGCTGGAAGCCAGAGAAAATTGAACGATTTCGGGACTTACCACAGCCATGACGTGACCGATAGTCTTGGTAATAGCTGAGTTCATCTCCTCCTCGGTCGGAAGATCGACTATTTCCGCCGTGTTCTCACTCTCGGGTAGAAGAGGATCCAATCCACCCTGTGTTACCCAAGGATGCTCCTGTAGCTCTTTGTATAAGCGCATGCTTCCTCATAGAAAATACCCCGTCTTCGACTTACTCGTAACTCATGCATCTGGATCCGTTTCGCTGGATCCTTCTCTAGAATTCGTGAGATAAGATCTCGGAAGTTGTCATCGGTCTCTCCTTCACACACAACTGCATCGTTCTTGATCGCTTCGTAGAGTTCGAAAATACTTTGTTTCTCGAAAGGCAGTTTTCCGTAGCGCAGACAGTACAGCGTGACGCCCATAGACCAAATATCTGCCGCTTTCCCTGACACATCACCGTGCTTGACGACGCATAGTTCTGGAGGAAGGAAGGCAGGAGAACCAGCGGACTTAGCCGTGTACATGTTCGAATCCTTTTCAAACATTTCGGACACGCCGAAATCGACGATCTTGATGACGTCGTCGTTTGTCACTAGGCAATTGTCTGGTTTGATGTCTCGATGTACGATGCCCTGAGCATGGAGATACTCAATTCCCAGGATCAAATCACGGAACCAGCAGCGACAGAGAGCATCTTCATACGGATCGGCTCTTTCTTCGAGGCTAACCTTCATGACCACGCCTTTCTTGCACATCTCCATAACCATATATAGGGAATCCTCTGTAGGATCATCCAAAACCTCTATCAATGAGACGAGGTTGTTATGGTTCAATTTTTTCATGATTGCAATTTCCTCCTTGATTAGGTAGAGTGCATTCTCTTTATGATCATCCACACCTGCAGAGTGGCGATGCAACGGGGAGTTGAAGCCATCCGAGAGGCGCTTTGGACCTCGCGGTCTTCGCAACAGATGAGACTGGGCCCGTCTTCTCAGACGAGCCTTTGAGAATTCTTTCACGGCCTGTCCAATTACCTGGGTTAGTCACGCGAGCACTTGCGTTCGTTTGCATGTTTGCATGCATATGCCGTTGGTTTGAGCCAGAGAAGAGCGATGTCCGTACATATTCATTTCCGAACTGATCAACCGCAAGGTGCACCGCCCCAAAAGAGCCCCTACCAATCTCCTGCTTGATCACGTATTGATTGATTCGGTGTTCGGCGGTTCCATCATCTTGGCTGGTCGTGTACTCTGAGCGCGCATCGAGCGTTTCCTGTTCGTGACGGGACAATCAGCTCTTGCGTGTCGAGAAGCTGATAATAATTGCACATTCCCAGGTAAAATTTAGGGGAACTGGAACTCTGGAATGCGCTACCTTGACAGGCCGTCGGACAATGGGATTCCGACGGTGGTGTCTCTGCGGGCTGCCATACACTGGCGTTGACCTAAGTATTGTGTACGATCAGATCTTGGCCTATGGAATACTTTCGAAAATGCAGAAAAAGTGGAATGCAGGAGCCGAACACTGTGACAGGTGTACCTACGCAGAACGAAAGGGCCAAGGTTGTGACAACGGAGGTCGATCGCTGGGAGCGACATCCCGTTGGATCAGCTCAGTAGTTTCGTGATCCATTGGAAGTAGGAGACGGGGCAATCACGACGGAGAGACCGTCCGCGCCTGGTAAAAGCTTGATCGAAACTCTGCTGGACTGGCGTGATAGGGGAGTTTGAAATTGATGGTTGCCTGAGGGCGAATGTGGGGGGGAGGGGAAACCGGGGATTGCGGGCTGGATGGAGATAAGCACAACGAACGTACTGGTCGGTCGGTGAGGGGAAAGAGAATCTCAAGAAGTGTAGAGTCAGTCTGGGCTAGAGTAGGTAAGTCAGCAGTCCCTAGACCCAGAGACGAATTAGATGCACAGCAACAGGCAAAAGTAGTCAGTCAGCGGATTTTGTGATTAGGAGAAGGAGAGGAATGATCGACAGAGCCTTGAGGGGAGGAAAAGGCCGTTTCGGCTCAGCTGCAGGCTGTAGGGCTGATGTTAGGCAATACCTCTACTTAAGTTGTTCCTTGTGTCGGAACAATAGTCCTGACAGGGTTAATGCATTCTGATCAGCATACAAGTATAGTTGTTATAATAGGTCAATCCAGTTGTAAAAATAGCAATGATGATTGAAGTTTAGTGAGTAGAACTACTAAGTAGGTAAAGTAATTACTCCCTTTTTTATTATCGATAAACACCACGGCTCGGCCCCCGACGGCGGCTCACCGCCCACGAGCTCATCGCCAACTGTCCCCCGACTCTAATCTGACCGTTCGTCCTCCATCTTTCTCAATCTACCCCGTGTTGATCCGCAATCTATTATCCCGTTTTTGATACTTGCTCAAGCAATTGCCCTAATATCGCCCCTTCCACCCCATCTATCTACAGTATCGACTTACATACTTTGGCGCAATGGTGGTGTATTCCTTCTACATCTTCGACCGTCACGGTACGGTACCTTTCTCCGCCTTCCCTGACTTGATACCCCAGAAGGCTGGACTAACTCTCCACTCTTCACCTAGCGGAATGTATATACAAACGACGGTGGCTCCCTCGCCCAGCCTCGATTCCAGGTAGTAAATCCTCCCGACCTACCTCGGAAGCTTCAGCCCAGGCCACCAGTGCCCCCGCGCTTCTTGGACAATCCGCGCGGACAACCGATGACGATGCGAAGCTGATCTTCGGTACGGTATTTTCGCTACGTAATATGGTGCGCAAACTTGGGGGGGAAGATGACAAGTAAGGTCCCCCATCATGAGTGAAGAAGTTTGGGTTGGGACTGTGTTGATTGACCGAGTGTCCACGTCTAGCTTCGTTACCTATAAGACGAGCCAATATAAGCTGCACTATTACGAAACGCCCACCAATATCAAATTCGTCATGCTCACAGATATCAAGAGTCCCAGTATGCGCATTGCCCTACAGCAAATCTATATCAATCTTTACGTTGAATACGGTATGCCATGAATGTTCCTTGATTACGTCTCGTCTGGGTCAATACTGATTCAAATGGGGGTTTGGACAGTGGTCAAAAATCCGTTGTCGCCTGTTGAACATCCCGGTGGTGTGGGTGTCAATAACGAGCTTTTTGAGGAGTCTCTGGAGCAGTTTGTGGTACGTACTATTGCGAATTACAGAGGTATCATCTAATCACAGAATAGACGCGAGTCTTGTCGTGAACTCTTGATGCGTACATGCCCTTCCAACCCGTGATTTTACGCCCCTCGAAATCGGAAGTCGACTTGGCTTAGACGACCCGGAAGCCACCAGTTGCACAAGCGGGTGTTACGACGCGCCTCGCAGAATGTCCCACAATCCCCTCTACAACTCTCCACTAGGGGCTTGATAGCCGCATTATACGCAGCGCCTCCCCCCGCCAAGATCAGTGGAGTAGCTGGATTGGCATAAGCTATGCATATGCCGACAAGTCCGTCTAGCAACAACAAATTCTGTCACTGGTTGACAGAGCTTTTACCATTTTTCATGGCTACATGAGATTATTCATCTCAAATACAATAACTTATGTGACGTGATATGCTACCACTGCGTAGGCACCGTTGAAGTTGACAGCGTGCTTACAGCGTGCCGTCAATTGGGTTAGACATGTCATATCCAAATTCAATTCGTGAGCATAAGTTATATTAAAACAACATGAGAGCAATCATCACATAGAAACGATTAACACATCAGCGAGTCGTTCCACATTGCGCATCAAGTCACATCTGAGATAGTTTAAGCCACGCCACCGGTGCTGGAAACACCAGAGTTGCCGTAACGGACCTCGTCCGGCAGATCATCCTCATCAGGGCCTTCGTTGTAGGCGTTTCTTGTGGACGGCTTCGCGTGACGCAGGCGGCTGCCCTGCATGATATTGGACTGGTCAATGGCCTCCTTCTCATCCTGTGCTGCACATAATTGTTAATTAACCACTCATTATCGCATCGTCGGGAACAGGGCAGAACCTACCGAGCTGCTGGTCCGAGTTGGAGTAGGGGGGCTGCATGGGGTCGTCATAGTTGTCCTCATCCTTCTGCACGGGGATTTGGCCCATCAAGCCGGACTGGGTCTCGTTGGCATAGGAGTTATCGTAGACAGTACCCGAGATGGGGGAGGTATCGTTGTCAGCTTCGTAACGGTCTTCGGCTTCTCTTTCGTAGCGATTCGACATTTTTGAATTAGAACTTTGGGTTATGTAATAAGGATATGGGCTTGGGATAGAATTTGATATGGTAGTTATTTGGAGTATCAAGCAGAGAATATGCAGATGAAAGAATGTTGGTTTGCAGAAATCTGAGAGGCCTTATAAGCTCGTCTATGGACCTTCATTCCAATAACTCTGATGCAATCTTGATGTCAAGCCATGTCTGATGAAACTCATTAGATCGATCGAACGGTTCCACAAGGAGTTAGAGTTCAGATTGGGTTTTGACGATGTCATTGGGAGGTTGGGACCAATGTCCAGCGAACGGATGGCCTGTGGGTGGATTAGATGTCTTCTAGAATGTTTAGTCTTCTACGTCAGGATGCTCAGTTCTGAGTAGAAAGCAAGAGTTGGATCTAAAATCCGCTTAGACTCACGATACTCAGTCGACATATCATCATTGTCTTCCAGTGGTGTGATGCCTACTACTGCTAATCCGATAGTGTCTTATCCTTGTCTAGCGCTTGGTTACCAAAGCAAATGATGTAGCAGAAAAGCAAGACATAGGAGCCACAGAACTAGAGACTGATCAACTTCTGAAGAGTTCGACAGAGGGAAATGAATCCCTGAACCAGACTTGGAAACGATTGAATTGTGGTTCGGCTTGATAACGACATGGAAAGATGACATCGGATTGAGTCAAGCTGAGGTAATTCGCCACAGGCCTGGGCTGGTCGCCATACATCCCCGACAGCGACCATCACTGCGCCTGCATCACCATTATCATTGATGATGCATTGAGCTCCAAGTCGCTGCAGTGCGCCTTACAGCGAGTCGGATAGATAGAAATTAGAGGCATGGTCGGCCTTGAAGGCGTTTATTGGCCATCGGTCGGTCACTCAGGCTTGTCTTACCTAAGCTGCTGCTGCTGCTAGCCGCGATCGCAACCACCCCCCTCCCCCCCCCTTTGATCACCTTCGTGTCGCTATTTTCGAACACGATGTTTGAGCAGCTGATGATCCTTCGTTCTTTCTGATGCGAAAGAAAATGTCCGAGCAAGAGCTTGCCGGAGGGCGACGCTGCGCAGCACATTAAATTGCCAAGGGGTTGGGCGTCGACTCCAGCAGGTGATCAGTGCTGTTGCGGTGATGACCAACTGTCAAGATCATACAAGGGACGCGACGCTTTCAGGGCCTACGGACCTGTCAGCTAGCTAGGAAGAGCCTGGTCGCTGATTGACAATCTAGCGGTCAAACGGTCCTTTTGACGTTTTGCTTGGGTTGATAGCAAAAAAAGAAGAAGAAGAAGAAGGAGAAGAAGAGGACTCCAAGCGCTTTCCCACCCTTCCCCCCCCCCCCCCCCCCGGCATCGATTTGTTGTCCATCTCCCAAAGGCAAACTTCCACTTCTCGCATAGGATCGCCTGTTTGCGGACCAAAGACTGATTTGTATCTCTTAATCCTTCAAGCAACAAACAATGGTGGATCATCGCATGATCAAACCAGATCAGACCAGATCAGACCGAGTTTCCTTCGGTCGACAATCATCTGATCTGATATCGGCCCATGCTTCGGTCTCGTCTCCTATGCCATCACCATCACCACCACCACTCATGCCACATAGCAGCACTGCTTTTCGCGATATGATCATCGTCGACTGCGTCAACTCTGTCCATTCCGGGTTACGCATCCCGCTCGTGCGGTCCGGTCCCACTTGAAGGAAGAAGGTGAGAAGCAGCTTAATCTCTATCGGGCAAGCCAGAACGGATGCGAGGAAGCTTGAGCCCGGCATTCCGTCCTGTAATTTGTCTTCAGCCCCGACGGTTCGGCTACGTGGAGTTGATATACCTGTCCCCACTGGCCAGAAAGGTCTTTACCGGAGATGCTTACTTTGATGGTTCCGTTAGGTTTCGTGCCACCGTGGCCAGGATGGAACGGTTGGCGTATCATACCGCCACCTCTCCGCCCCCTTTGAGATCCGGGGTCGGAAAGGGGCCTGCTTACTTTGTCGATCCGAGCCCAGTGTAAAGTACAGTTGAGGACAACAAAAGGGGGTCCATCCAATATCATACGAGTACCACATGGCTGATGGCGCCGATCCGACCAGTTGCGACATTTCTCGTATCGTAATATCATTCATGCTGGCTGCTGTCTGCTGTCCCCAGTCCCAGAACGGAGGAGGTTGACTGGTGCAAATAAAAGGCGCATCCATTAACACACCTCTCCGTCGACCTTCATCTATCCAGCTTAGTCGATTGAAAGCCCATCAGCTTTCCTCGGTTCACTGTGGCCCGATTCGATCATTCCACCGCCAACATTATGACCCAGGTGCACTCCTTGGCTGCCTGACTAGCGGTCAACAATCTCACTCAAAGTGCTAATCTCCAGAAAGGTTATTTTCAGAACCGAAGTACAGTACATACAGTCGAAATTGCTCTCAAAATGACAATTTTCCAATGGTTCTCGCAGCCTACATAGGCTCAGTCCTCGGTAAGTTTTTAAACTCGAACCTGCCTTAACAGGTGTCAAAATAGGTTCGTATTCCCGTATGTGCATCAAACAACCTATTGTGTTGTCAGTATCAAAGTAGGCTCCCTGGTCCTTGCGCAGCAGGATAGTGGCCAGGTTTATCTTGGGGACATTAATTAGTATTAGTATTAAGGTAATAACCAATTCATATTGTTGTGCTTACCAGCATCTGTCGCTTGGATCGTATCGGAGTACGGCTGCTCCTCCTTCCGAAGTGAGTCGATACGGCCCGCTCCCTCCTCTGCAAAAACGACTGTCACCACGCTGCTATAAGCACTCAGATGCAAGGTAGACAGGCCCTTATACGACGACACCCATATGGCAAATATGCAGGCGATCAGACCGAATGACAATCGACCACTCCTGCTGCAGCAGTGCTGGAGCTAAGGTGCGGCGGGAGAAAAGTCTCACTCTCACATCCGTCACTAGGCGATCCTCTACTGCATGCCGGACCGGATTCCCCAAATGCACAAGTGAGCGAGCAAGCGAGCAGAAACGGGGGAGGGAAAGGGAAAAAGCAAGGAAAAGAAACGAAGGGAAAAACAAAAAAAAAAATCAAACATGCAGCGTATCTGCAGTCGAAACTCCGATCCGATCCCACAGCGTACACGAACCACTACCTAATCTGGGTGCACAGGTATAGAACTCTGAAGAACTGATTTTGGATATCTGGGGCGAAAATGGGATGCGTTTATTAGTAGTCTAGATTACTGTGTATAGATCGAAAGAATAATTGCAAACTATGGCAAAGTAATTCAAACCAATTTCCCCCTCAAGTTCTCAACCCCCTTCATCCCCTCCGTACGAAAACCATGTGGCCTGGGGGTTGGCATATTGTCCATTGTCCAGCACGGTTTAGATTCCGAGACTAGTAATGGAGACAAGGCCTGATTTCTTTTGAGGAGGAGGGAATGGTGCAAGTTAGTTGATCCCCACATTTGGCGGGACTGCAAGTGCTGCTGCTGCTGCTGCTGCTGCTGCTGCTGCTAGTCATATTGTACTGTACCTACGTTGCTGTCTGTTCAACTCGTCCGTCTGGTTGAAGTTGTATGTGAATTTATGTATGAGGTATATGTGTGGCGGCAGTATAGTACAAAATAGGTGCGTAAATTGTGGTACTACTGTAGGTGCCTTCAACAAGGAAAGGATCTTTGATTTTCGTGATGGGGCTCTCGGTCCGTCACCTTTGTTGGTTGCAGTCCCGACGTCGGACAATTGACCAGCTTATTGGCTGCAGAAAATCCCTCGTTCAAAGGGATCTCAGTCCCGCTAAGGTAAGCTATGCCGACATACACAGCTGGAGTAGTAGCAGTAGCAGTAGTGTTTAGTAGCAGTAGCAGCAGCAGCAGCAGCAATGGTGAATAATCCCTACCTTAGTCAACAGATTACCTAACTAGTTAACTACGAGTAGTGAACCTGATTGATCAGTTAACTGACCGACAATCAGCTTACTTACGATGTAAGATATCTTTCGGACTCCGTCTGGTCAAAGCGTTACATACCGGCCAGTCAAGATGAGCTTGGCTGAGCGATCATTCATGCCTAGCTGGACAATCAATGACAAGTCGTCTTGGCTGGGTCTCAAGGACCCTCATCTGGTCTTCATCCTTCTCATTGCCTTTCCGGCCTTTGTTAGACTTGTGGGTAGGGGCCAGGTTGATAGATGAAGTGGATCAGATGAGTGTGCTAATCTGTAGTCCGGGAGAGATGGCTGAGGGTCACATTAGTGGTGGTTATCAGCCGGATCTCCGCAAATGAAGGCATGGATGGTTTATTGGCTGCTGCACGGCTGGTATCATGATCCCTACCTTAATAACAATAGCCACCTACCTTCCACCTATCTTAGATTATCTCTTCACCTGGCACCGAGGCAATTACTCCCCGCGCTGTCCCATTCATTGTCTTTCCGGCCGACGGCGCCGGGATGCCCGTAAACGAGGGTAACTGAAGGTGTCCCGCGTCATTTCCGCCCAGCCCTGAAGTCCAAGTGAGTATAGCAGCTGTGTTATATCAAATGATTATCTCCTTACCAGCATGCCAATGACGAAAATTCTCGGCGAGGCAATGACCGCCAGACGGTCCGAGGGTTTCCTTGACCCTGCGTCCTATCGTTGCTTGTCTTCAGAGGGGGTGTTACAATAAGACCGTGTCTGATTTCATCAATCATCGCTAGCGGTGGGGGGTTCCATCGCTCACGACCTCCTTCTATCCTGCTTCCCTGACATCGGCTGACCCTTGCGCAGCCAGCAATGGTGCATACTTTTTGAAAGTTGTCTACAATTGAGTAGCGAAAAAGACTCTGGTCGAATCAGAGGGCTGAGATGTAGATGATCTGATCACGGCTTCTGAGATAGCACACGAAAATCAAGGACTCTGGAAGGTCAACTCTCGCCTCTTCCCCAACGTGAAGGATTGCGCCTAGAAAGAGGGAACCACCGATGCGTCTTGCTGCGGATACTGTGAAGGAAGCTCATTCGGCACCTTGCGAGCAATTGTTGTTGTCCATGCCGATAAGGTTCCACAACAGACGAGCTGCTGCATTGTAAGGATAGAGCATATCGGGGCCGCTGCGGTCAATGGTTCCATGTACCCGAGCATCCATACCGCGCCCACATGGCCTGTAGTAGATCAGCAAGTTTCAACCCCTCATCAGTCAAATATTCCATCCAGGTGCACGGCCATTTGCGCAATATGGTCGAATTTGATTCTGATGGAGGGGTGAGAAGTAGAAGGAAGATTCAACATTCAGGATGCAGCCGCCGCCACATTGATGACGGCGGTTTTCCAGTACACGAGGGAGAAGAAGGCGAAGTCGGAAGATGAATATCCAAACAAATGTCAAGGCAGAAGAGGGGTTCTCTTCGACTATCCCTCTGATGCCCTTCTGTCCCCCATTCAGATTTACCCCTCAATTTCCAGACGGGGTAGCCTGATTTTCGAAAATCGAACGGAGCTACTTAACTTAAGTACTTCATATGAAAACCAGAGTGGAGAGAGGAGAGCCCGCGGGCGGCAAGTCAGCTCGCTGCCACTCTGGGCGAAGCGCCACACAGCAAAGCTACTCCCATCATAGACTGAACTAGCTGTCTAGTGCTATCCAAGTAGGGGGAGCATGAGCCTGAGTCTGACCTCTGTCCTCTGGCCTCTGGCCTCTGGCCTCTATCTACCCACTCTAGCTAGATTAGACTCATTAGAGCCACTCAGTTGTCTCACCCCTCAAGCCATCAACTTCCATACTCATACTTAGGACTACTAGATGGGAGGGTCAGATTGGGGCTGTGCAGACATCTGCAGCATCGCATTTGGATCCGAAACCTAACTTACAAGTAGTCTTGGACAGCTGATGGTTGACTAATACAATCTCCCATTCCCACCTGTAACTGACTAACTAACGGATCAACGTCATTTACGAAATGTGCGAGGCCAAGCGAGACCAACCGTGGAGGGTTGACCTTATTTTCCGATCACGGACATTGAACGTCATCCGACTAGGTTGAAAGGATGAGGGAGCGAGGATGGGTAAATCAAAGAACTCCATCACAGATTTCTCTCCGAAGTGGCTGCGCGTTATGACGATGGGTCAACGGGAAATCACATTACAAGTGGCAGCAGTGGGCAGCGGTCTTGACCACAACGGATGGATTTGAACGCGGAAGCAGACCCAGTAGTACGACGATGGAGGACAAATAGTTCCAGCGATCTTCCGCAAGAAAACTACAAAGTCTTGGATGATTGATGATTGATGATTGCTGAGAAATCTCGCATAAGGGACGACGACGGCCTTAACCCAGTTAAGAAGGTTGAAGGAGGCCGACAACGCCCGCGCCACTTTGGTATTGAGCATTACTATCACTATCGTTCAACCGTGTTCTCCTGTAACAGATACTGTATAGTCAATACTGTATGTACGTGTACAGTACTGTACTATACATATTCTCCTCAACCTGTTTGCTTCTCGTCCGCCCATTGCATAGTCTGTATGTACTCTGCTTCTTTACTCAGGATGAGATGGACTCTTTCCTCGTTCCTGCCCACTGCAAGAGCGTCGAGTCAACTGGAGGTGAGGGATTGAGACTCGGACATATAATCATCGGTTCAACTCCGTAATGCATTCATCATTCGTGTTGCAGACCGACCATCGCTTGCTGACCCTTCCAGCAATCGCGGTAACAAAAGGCATACGAAACGATGACGAGAAGGATACAGGTTACAGCATGAGGGGCTTTGGTAGGAACAGTGTGGCTGCGACCGGCAGTGATACCATACAGTGACATTACGAAGGCGGCCAACTCAGAGGGTCAAGAGACTCGACTCAACTCAAAGGAAGCCCCCAAAGCCCTGCGAACGGGGGGGCACTTACGAAGTAGTACTACTTCGTAGTTAACACAAACTAGGCACTGTACTTGAAGGCGGGCCCGCGATGGTAAAGGTCGAATGGGAGAATTCGGGGAATCGTTTTCTCCCTCCCTCTTCTTTCTTTCTTTCTTTCTTTCTTTCTTTCTTTCTTTCTTTCTTTCTTTCTCACTCTCTCCTCTGTATTAATGAGTGAAGTAGTTAGCCTTGGACCTGAGTTACAAAGAGCGGTTCCTCGTTTCCTAAGTAGTTATGCAAGTGCGCGGAGAAAGGAGGATCGGAGTCTCAAGTAAAATCATAATAATGATATTCTCTACGGCAGAATGAGTGAGTGAGTCAGTCATTCGATAGTCAGTCTGAAAAGGTAGAAAGTAAAAGAAAATCAAATTGCAATCGCATAATAATAAAATAATTAATCAAAGTGAATGCTAGACAGAGAGGAACAAGAGGGAAAAAGGGAGAACCCACAGACTACCACAGACTGCCCACTCACTGCCAGCCCACTCACTCACTTACTTGCCTACCTACTGCCCTGCCTACTTTGAGGTGTTACCGATTGGCCTGGTTACTTACCTTCCCCCCCCCCCCCCCCCCCCCCTCCCCCCCCCCCCCCCCCCCCTACTACTTACCTCCTACCGTACTCACCTACCGTGAGCTACCTCCAGGCTCTAAGGTTCCTTTCACCTGCTCCATAGTCGGATACTCACTATTTCAACCTCGCCCCCCCGTAGCCACACTTTTTTCCTACCTTCCTATCCTACCTTCTTCTTCCTACCTACCTCTCTCCGTCTACTATCCTGTCTCCTTTTCATACAGCGTGCGACACCTCTCGGGTGGTAATTTTTGTCTCCTTTGCTTCCGTACCCGTACCCTCCTCTAATCTCAAATTGACAAACGGCCAAAATCTTGTTGCTTGCTTTCTTCTATTGATTGATTCTTTGATTGATCTGCTTTGATCTGATTTGATTTGGGGCTTTCTCGTTTTATTCATTGATGTGTGGTGTTCTTATTGTTCATCGTTTTCTTCTTTGATCATACCTGTGGCTTAGTTTTGGGGGTTTCAGTTGCTTCTTCGGTATTTTACAAATCACCTAAGCAACTTTGCAAATTTCCACCACCCACCACCACCACCACTAACTACCACGCCAGTCACTTTCGTCACACTTCCTTCCTCCTGAGACAAAAAGGATTGTCGCCTCAGGCCACAACATTCACCACCACCGGCTGGGGCCACCGCAACTTTTTTTTACCCTCGCTCTCCCCCCTCTCTCCCCTCCATTTCTCTCCAGCTTACCTTTCCACGTTCAATTCTCTCTCAAAGTCATTTGAGGCCTCAGCAGCTTCGTGCTGTAGGCTTTTCTGCTCCCTCTCTTAGTCGCGGGGGCAATTTCGCTCCTCTTCTGTTCCGTATCGATACACTTTCATACTACCGCACATGACTCCACAATCGATTTCACCTGTACCTTCCACAGTCTCTTCCGCCGCAACGTCACAGATCTTTAGCGACTTCCGAGATGGAGAGCCCCAGGTGACACGTGCTCTCGCGGGCATGAATCTGTCCGACATGAACGGGGACGCCCTCCCCACCTCCCCTGGGCCTGTCAAGGCTCCCAAACCAACCATGGCCAACCGCATCTCTCGTATGTTCTCGAATACCGGCAAGTCGACTTCTAAGGAGTCGGATTCGCATCGCGATTTCTCCGATAGCAGCTCGGACAGCATTAAAGCATCCTCCAACGGCAGTACGAAACAGTCCAAACCTTCGTCCAGACCTCCATCGAAACCTTCCTCAAGGGCGCCGTCCCGTCAGACATCTACCCGGGAGGACAACAACGAACGCAAGACCAAGTCCAGTAGTGGCAAGGACCAAAAGGAGGCTCCCGTTGCCCATAGACGATTCGAGGTACCCGGGGATGGCACTCATCTTCATCACCTGAAGAGTGCCCGACGTCAAGAGAAACTGACCGACTTGCTCCGCGACATGCTGGGTGGCGGGAGAAAGAAGGAAGATCACGTCGAGGAACAGCAACTGTCTTTGATGTCGACTTGGATCGACCAATTCAAGACTGAACGCGACAAGCTGGCTGCAGACAAGAAGGGTGGTCCCAATGCCACGGCTTCGCTGGTCGACAAATACGGCAAGTGTCAGGAGATTGTCGGTCGGGGTGCTTTCGGCATCGTCCGCATATCTCACAAGGTAGATCCCAAAGACTCCAGAGTCGAGCAGCTTTACGCCGTCAAAGAGTTTCGCCGTCGGCCCCAGGAAACGACGAAAAAGTACCAGAAACGGTTGACGTCAGAGTTCTGCATTTCCTCATCTCTCCGCCACCCCAACGTTATACATACGCTAGATCTCCTGCAGGACGCCAAAGGAGACTACTGTGAAGTAATGGAGTATTGCGCCGGCGGTGACCTCTACACACTGGTATTGGCCGCTGGCAAATTGGAAGTCGCCGAGGCCGACTGCTTTTTTAAACAGCTTATGCGCGGCGTCGAATACATGCACGAGATGGGCGTCGCCCACCGTGACCTGAAACCCGAAAACCTTTTGCTGACCACCCATGGAGCCCTCAAGATTACAGATTTCGGAAACGGCGAGTGTTTCCGTATGGCTTGGGAAAAAGAGGCACACATGACTGCTGGACTGTGTGGCTCGGCCCCTTACATCGCTCCTGAGGAGTACATTGAGAGGGAATTCGACCCGAGGGCGGTCGACCTGTGGGCGACTGGCGTAATTTACATGGCCATGCGGACCGGGCGACATCTTTGGAGAGTCGCCCGCAAGGACGAAGATGAATTTTATCAGCGGTATCTGGAGGGTCGCAAACATGAAGATGGTTATGCTCCCATCGAGACTTTGCATCGGGTAAGGACATCTCGAAATCCCTGTTTGGCAGGTATGCAGACTGACACGTAGCTATGCAGGCTCGTTGCCGCAACGTCATCTACTCTATCCTGGATCCTAATCCTTCTCGCCGAATCAACGCCTCGCAGGTCCTTAAGTCCGAATGGGTTCGCGAGATTAAGCTGTGTAAGGCTGGCGAGGAAGGTTTTTAAAAAAAAAAAAAAGAAAAGAAAAGAAAAAAGAACAAGAAACCTTCCTGAAGCTGTCTGACTTACCTTCAAAGCATCGAATATGGTTAGTCCAACAGAGTCATGGTCTCGGCGGGTTCAGTCTTGTGTCGGGGCTGTGTATCCCTTGTTGGGAATTTTGTCTCTTCTTCGGTGTGCGTGTGCCAAAAACAAAACCATAGACCCGGGTGGTTCATGTGTTTTTGCCGTTCTAAGGGCGGATTCTTCTCTTCGTTTCGCCTGCTTCTTTTGCGGTCTGTCTTGCGACTGATACCATAGAAGGGGGCCCCTTTGATTTCAAAGCTATCAAACCGGCGCATGTTTTCTGTCTTTACCACTACTTTATACTCTTGCCTACTAGCTTATGGGTTTAGTTTGGTCTCATGTTTCCATGCCAATGCAACGAACAGTCATGACCTATCAACCACCTTTCTTTATGCAGACCTTTCCTATTTCAACATATTTGATGCAACATACAACATCTCTCGACTTTGCTTCTCCTCGCTCACTTCTCTTCACTTCTCTTCACTTCTCTTCTCTTCTCTATCTTTCTCTTTCTCATGATGATTTGTTTCCTCGAAACTGTCTGGACGATCGACCTTTCATTGAGTGGATACATCCAGCAGTTCGGCCGGAACGCTTTTCACTTCTCACTATAGCTGTCCTCGTTTCTTTTCACTAGGAATTGCTTATCTGCCGGTCGTTCTTAGTGTAGTGGTCACGGAAACATTGTATCATTAATATGGAATCCGGAATGGGGGATGCGCGCTATTTTCTTTGGGATACCCTCTGGCAGCATGTTCTTCAATCAGATTATCCTCGTCTGATTCTCGTCCATCAATCATTTACAGAGGAATTTTGTTCATCATTTGGTCATATGAATGCTGGCTATAATTTAAGGCAGTATTTATTGCTCCTCATGTTGTCCGCGACTTGATATAATAATCGCTCCTATGTTCAAATCAACCATCTCTTACCATAGACGCCTGTTAGTGCCTCACTACGTAGGAACATTCGATGAGCGCCCTGAAGTGTTCCAGCCCCGTTTCTAAGACGATACGAGATTGATCGTCGCCTTTTCACTGCCTGCTGTAGTACCATGCCAGGGGCCAGAGAGATGAGCAAGAACAACCGGTTCAAGCTCGGCAGCGACCAGAATGGGTTTAACGGTCGGATTCTCGACGAGTTAGTAGTTCCACCTCCACTAGATCGGTGTGCTCAATAGCGAATAGGATGTCATTTATGATTGAGAACGAAGAGAAGCCAACTTAAACCTCGAGACACCGGGTGGGAATTCAGCTGCGCAAGGCTTTACTCCCGCCTCCAATCAACATCACAGATATCACCGACTCCTATATGCACAAGCTGTATGGATCTTACGGTCTGGCATCTCTGTACTGCATGCATGCACGCTCGAAGCGTTCTCCGTACTGCTGTCGAGGCTGGCAGGACAGCCAGAAATTTCCCGACCCTACCAGACCAGTCTTGGCTGCCAGTCATTAGTATAGGACGGTCGTACATCACATGTAGAGGCTGCGTCTGAGTGTTGATTGAGGGTCAATCGTCTTGTTGTGTCGTGGCTGTTGGCTGGCCCAGTCCAAGGAAAACAATGCAGGCGGGCGTGCACACTCTCATACGCCTATCGGTAATGAGCCAGATCAAGCTTGCTTGGCGCATCCTGCAGTCCGAGACCAAACTCGAGCTCTGGGTCAATAGGATTAGTTTCCCTCGGCGGGCCGGTTGATTGTCTGAGTGACTGACAATAATAAAAAGTGGAGGTCGACAGCTCAGCATGCTTTTTCTTCTACTCGTATGTTTAAGTCGGGCTCACCGTTGGTCTCGTCTGCCTGTTTGCATGCACTGTACAGGTGCAGTTAGGGTCTTTATCGCCGACCAGGTACTGTCGTACAGTACCTCATTGTCTAGGCCATTATCGGCCGCTAGATTGATCTTCTCTGCCTTCTTCTCGTTGTTTTGCTCCGTTCCTCCCTTCTTGATGTCAGGGTCTGATTCCGTTGGGAAAATGTCAAGCTTGGCACTGCAGCCAGCCCTATGCAGATGGAGTCGTCCGGATGAACCTCCGCTCAGGCAGCACCATTTCTTTCCTCTTGGCGAAGAGGCAAACCTCTTTCCTCACGGTCGTTGCATCGCATCCCTATGGTTCGATTGTAAACCTGAGGACCCGTCACCCGCTGAAAGGCTGAAAAGCTAGCCGAGTGGAGCAAGGCCAGCACCAGAAGAAGTCAAGTCATCCAGTGCCTGCTCGAGTCGCTAATCTAATATGGCCAAGAGTCCGATCAGTGGACTCTTGGCAAGGGAGCGGCCTTTCTGCAATCTGGTATACAGTTATATACAGTATGTACCGGTGTACATACCGTACGCGAAGGGCTCGATCATGATCAAGGTCACTCGACTGACTTCCTGACTTCCTGGCATAATTCGCTGCATGGTGGGCTGGCTGATTTGACTTGTCCCTCAAGCTCTCCAGCAGAGGACTTGATATATGATCCATTCTCAGTCCTCTCCTTTCAAGGACAGGTGGGCGTGCTTATCGATCCTTCATGGAACCCAAATGTGATATGAAAGGTCTTGTTTTTCTTTTGCTACAGGGGCCCCCCTACGAATCTGCTTGCTTGCAAGAGAACGGCAGCCCCAGGAGAATCCGGGGTACAGAGCCACAGAGGATTCTGGATCGGGGAGTTATGTCTGATCTGATAGCCCGGAGGAAAATGGCCTAGACTTCCAACTTATTCCCCTTACAATTCGGGGTATGTTTGTGTGACCCGACGAGTATTTCTTCGAACCCAACCAAATTTGAAACTCGGATGTATGCATATCACTTCTGAACAATCTGGAAGGTCGGAATTGGTTCAATCAGTGTTGTACGAGTAGTTAGACATGTTATGATCTGATCGGGAGGGACGTAGTGACTGATTAGTGACTGACTGACATCACTCCCTCCAATTTTCCTCAGTTGAATAGCACAGTCCAAGTTTTAATTATTATTATTTCATCATGGACAAGGTCTTAGACAACCTGAGGCAGGCTGCAACATTTCCCGATACCGGCAATACATGACGTAGTAGGGATGCCAGATACCATACGTTACCATCTACAAGAAAGATTACCATTCGTCCGCGGACTCCGGGTAAGTTTACCAAGTTGTATCGTTATCTAGAGCAAGGCCGTGCGCACCGCCACATTGTTAGAGGAAGTTCACCGCCACAGTGATGGAACATCTCCGAAGTTCCGACCACATCCAGCCTTCATCATCGCCCTGTCCCGCATCGGGCATCTCCATTTGCTTTCGGAACAGTTCCCCTCGACTACGACAACAACGACTCGCGAGTTTGTTTGGTAAATACTGCTTAGGTCCTTGCTTGAGTGGCTATCTCTTGCGGCAGGTTGTCTGATCGACTCTTCCCCCCCTTTAATCAACCGCTCTTTCTCGAAGACTTTACTGCCTAGTCAACTTAGCCCGACTGAGTGGCCATCGTCATCATGTCTTGGGCAGGTGCGCAACTTCGCCCCTGCTTCTTGCTGTACTTGTCGGACTGTTCCGCTAACTCTCTCGTGTTCTCTAGGATTCAAGAAAAATGTCAACCGCGCAACGACGCAGGTGATGATGAAGACTGGTATGTTGCCTACGTACCCCGCAACAAGATTGTCATTCACCGCCGCCACGAACGACCACCAACAGAACGCTGACTCGAATCGCTTATTGCGCAATAGGCCATGTGGAACGGACGAACGATCGCGATTACGAGATTGAGGAACGGTGAGACTTTCGTGGAAAGAACTAGTGGTCTGTACTTGTTCCGGGTGACTGATGGGTTCGAGGTTAGGCGGTATCGGACCATGGAGGCTGCTGCCAACCGGCTACAAAAAGAAGCAAAAGGGTACTTGGATTCGCTGCGAGGTGCGTTTTCTCCGGGGGCGCTTTCGAAACCTAGGGAGTTGCGGAGGGGCCAGATTGCTAATGCACAGACGGTTGATTAGCGATGACCGCGTCTCAAATGCGAATTGCCGAGACGATTGATGCGTTTTACGGCGATGCGGGTACACGCGACGGCGTCAGTCGGAGTTACAAGCAGGCGGTGGAAGATTTGGATGCTGAGACAATCAAAGCGTTGGATGGACCATATCGGTATTTTATCCCATTTCGAATTGTCCTTGATGTTTGACAGCCTTAACTAAACGGGCTGTGCCAGGTCAACCGTGCTGGAGCCGATCTCGCGATTCTGCGCCTACTTTCCGGATATTAACGAGTGCATCAAGAAGCGCAACCACAAGCTCTTGGACTACGATTCGATGCGGGCCAAGGTGAAGAAGCTGGTCGAAAAGCCCGACAAGGACGCGACGAAATTGCCCCGGACTGAGCGCGAGATGGAGATCGCCAAGCAGGCATATGAGCAATTGAATGAGCAGCTTTTCACGGAACTGCCGCAACTGATCGACCTCCGAGTGCCATATTTGGACCCGAGCTTTGAAGCTCTAGTCAAGATTCAGCTGCGCTTCTGTGCCGAGGCGTACTCACGCATGGCTCAAGTACAGCAGTATCTAGATGCCGAGACTCGGGATCAGTATGCTCGGGGCGATCTGGATAACCGGGTGGAAGAAGTGTTGCAAGAAATCCGAGATCTGAGCATAGCGGGCACTGTGTGAGGGTCTGAACACTGGTCTTGTTCTTTTTCAACGGGAGCGTTTCCATTATTTGCTTTCTTTCGCCGATTTGCGCTGTCACAACTACTACCCTGTAGGCTGTCATCTTCGATTGATGGCCGCCTCTAATACTTTGACTTGCTCGTTCATCAAGCATGGGTGTTTGGAAGGGAGGGAATAGTTCTCTCTCTTCCTGCTCCTAAGCTATAAGTGGGGCCATTTGTGTATGATTTAATTAGACTTGGGGTTCGTGTTCCTGTTCTTGGGGAATGAATTGCATCTCAAGGGTATCTGTAAAACACACAGCTGGGATCATGGCCTCAGCATGAATAAATATTATCTTCGCGGCTGCTCTGTACATATTCTTTCTACCCATGGCCCACGGCTCACATGAGCTCATCGTCTGACCGATAGAATTCATCGGCCAGGAGATCCATGACAGGCCCTGCCGCGGCGGCAATGGCATTCAACTCCGTCTGGTTCATCTTGCCAAGGACATAGCTGGAGACAGCGTCGGACGTTCTCTCCTTAGGACGACCTATCCCGACACCCACACGCATCACCCTCAAACTCTTTGCCGACTTAGCGGGGTAGTATTTCTTCCGGCGCAAGACGTTGAAGATATCCTGGAGGCCGTTATGGCCCCGCAGACTGGCCTCATCCGGACCGCCGCGTCGGACTTTGACCTTGCCAAGCGGCGCCTCCAGCTCGTCATGTAGAATGACCAAAGTCGGTTTGAAATCGCGCAGGTTGCGAATATCGGTGCCCCGACGTTCCCATTCAGGCGCTTCATGCCCGGTGGGCTGGAAGGAGGAGTAACTGAGGTCACCACGCTCAGCGAGTAGATTCGACTTGCGGCATTGATCCATCCACTTGCCCAGGGCCGGAATGACTTTGCCGCCGGATACGTTCATCATGGCAGGGGACTCATAGGTCTCGTAGAAGACGGGCCGCGCCTGGGGGCCGGAGTAAGGGACGCGCGCGCGAAGGAGCGGGCGAAGAGCATCGAGGAGGAGATGACCAGCGCTATGGCGGGTCTGGCGGTAGTGGATGGGCTTGCTATTCCCGATGGAAGCGATGAAGAGAAAGCGATGGGGAAGCTTTATTATGGGGGCTGCACAAGCGGCAGCGGCGGTCGAGGTGGGAGTTATAGTCATTGATTGTGCGGGTTAAGAGGGTGTTCACCGGTCGGCTTCAAGTGATCCAATTCTCTCGTGGAAAAGTTTGTTATTGTTATTAATGTTGCTATTATTATTGTTATTGCTGCTGCTGTTGCTGCTGCTGCTGCTTCTGTTGTTGTTTTTTTGTTGTTGTTGTTGCTAGAGTGTCGGAGAGACATCGTCGATTCTTTCCTTTTTTTGTTTTTCTTTGGGAGGCAAGGGTTCGGTGGTCGGATTTGGAGAATGCCGAGGGAGGAAACTGGGATAGATGGATGTATGTATGTATGTATGTATGTATGTATGTATATACAGTAGACAGTAGTATACAAGCGCCAACAGCGCTCTTCAAGACCTCCTTCCAGCATGTGAAAGAAAACTGATGAATATGATCTGTATTGGCTGTACACGAATTTATCAATGAGGGTCTGTCCCGGTCTGTTCTGTCGTGCTTGATGCAGTGAGATTCGTTACTTGTTCCCCTCAATCTCCACCCTGCCGGGCAGATCCATGTCAGTAATACGGCAGGCAGTAGGGAGAGGGAGAGTACTTCAAGAACTCCGACCTCGATTCCTCTCCCTCTTCCACTTTCAATCTTCCAGGGTCGCTTGGCACTGCCTCCCACTTCCTTGACTCCAGTGCTGTACATTTGACTAGCATCCATTCGAGAAAATGCTCTTAGTCGCCGCATCTTTGCTTTACCCACTCTAAATGGTAGATTGTGATCGGCCTTAGCTTGAATCTAGGACCGTGACCATAGATGAAACCCAGTAACTGACCATCGTCATTGCCCGTCTCGCTTACCCTTCCATACCCGAAGAAATCAATCTCGTCATGGCATGGCAGCGGAGAGAGACCGTCAGTCGCTCAGCTCTCAAGTTCACCAACTTGTAGTCGGGAACAATGATGTGCTGGATGACAGCCACCAGCCATGGACAAATACACGTCATACTGGGATTATAACCCCCGATCCCAGTTCAGACTCTGGAAGGGAGGTTTCTATCCTGTGAGTTAGACAATCCTTCGACTCCGACCGGAGACTGAGACTGACGAAGGGGGTGAAATGGGCGTGCTCGCGGTGAGACAGAACATCCAGCAGTTCCGGCCTTGAAACAGAACAGATCGGATTTATTATCGAAAATGAGCGTCGATATTGCAATGACACCTACTTCATGCCTAACGATGAGCCAGAACAGGCCCGGCTGACCATTGTTCATCAAATTTATCTTACCCTGCTGGACGGCCAGCTAACCACCGTTCCGCTCGCATCTCAGATGCCGCACGTTCTTGACATCGGTACAGGGCCCAGCGATTGGGCCATTGAGATGGGCCGCACATACCCAAATGCCACCATTGTCGCCTCTGATATTGGCGTGTTTGATCAGAGTCTTGGCCATGTCGACCTTCCCAATCTGTACTTCCAGCTTGACGATGCCCGTGACGAATGGGCTTATCGTGACCCTTTCGACGGTACCTCGAAGTAGCCGATTTTGACCCCGCCGCCGAGACCGAACTTGACTCAATGGCCTCGTTGCCGTCAGACTCATACTTTCGACTCTATCGTTCGACCCTTCGTGCTGCCGCCGACGCTGCAGGTACCCCTCGCGACTTGAGCCATCTTCGCGCTTCGTTGTTTCGTGCGGCGGGCTTTGTCGATATTCATATTCATGAATACCTGATTCCCATCGGTCTACGGCCGAAGGATGCGGCGCCAATTCGCACGCTGGGCAAGATGGGCCTGGTCAGTCTCCTCGAGGGATTGGAGGCATTCTGTCTGCGGCCTCTCACTGCAACCTACGGCTGGATGATAGGGGATGTGCTCCATCTCTGCGACCAGTTGCGCTCGGAACTCTTAACCATGGAGCATCGGGTGACGGCGCATGTGAAGATCGTATCGGGACGGAAGCCTGTAGCACCGTAGCTGACGGGTGTATCAGTAGATCGCAACAAGCCACCTCAAAATGCCAATCACCGGATCCACTAGTGCGATTCCTTTCTCGAAAACGCGAGTCGACGCGGAGAAACCGTATGAGATGGTTTTAGGGGGTGAGGGGAGAGAAAGGGGAAAGAGGCTGGCCCGCTTTCCCACAGCAATAATTCTTCTATGCACGATGAGATAGATGTAGAGTGATATCTTTACAAAGAACGAACACAAAACCAAGCCAAAACCGATGCTTTTGAGGCAACCAAGAGAACGCCCATCCGACCCCCAATGCAATCAAACAAGGCTGGATATCTTCAAGATAAGCAATGAAAGCAAATGCATCACAACTGGAACTTGGTGCGGGTTTTCTCCATGCCACCCTTCCATTCCCACTCTTGACCGCTAGCCCGTTGGATACCCTTATCGATACGGCGCAGCTTGAGTGTGAAGCGGGGTCCCAGCTCCTGCATACCAGCCCGGATGCCCTCGGCACCCTTCATCTCTTTACCATCCGCGCCAACCACAGCTTTTTCGGTCTCTCGCTTATCCCGGAAGACATAGCGGTGACGGCGAAAGAAAAGATAATCGCGACTATTGAGAACGGTGACGACTTGCCGGCCTTGTATTTCCGGCTGGGCGGGGAACAGAGTACGGAACAGATGGGCTGTCAAGAGACCCAGGGGAGTGCGGAAGTTGTTGAGAATGAGCTCGGGCCAATGCTCGGTGGCTCTGCCGTGTCCAGGAATGCGTTTGCCCTCAACCCAGTTGGTCATGGAGAAGTGAAACATGGGGCCAGTCGGGAGGTGAACAATGTCCAGGCCGGTAGGCTTTTTCTGGTCTTCACGCAGGATGACTAATGCGGTGTAGTTTCGATTGGAGGCGAATTTGGCAATCTCGCGGATGGAGAACTGGTGAGCGAATCGGTGACGAGTGCGGCGGACGTAGTGCGAGTTTGGGAAGAGATCGGTGAGCAACTCAGCCTCGTGGTGAAGGGTCGAATTAAGAGAGGTGGTGATGAGGATCTTGGGAGAGGCGTTTTCGAGGTTGAACAACGAGGGGAATTTGGCGGCCAGCGCATCGGGAACAAGACTGAGGTTGGTGCTCTTGGTCGATTGCGACGGGCTGGTCGCACGCTCGGTAGCCGAAGGAAGAGCCGATTTGCGCCGTCCTCGAGAGTCGTCCTCCTTCTCATCTTCTTCATCGTCCTCTCCGTTGTCCTCCTCATCACTGCTGGCCAGCATACTGTCGACGTCATCCTCCTCCTCCTCCTCTTCGCCGTCCTCGTCCTCCGACTGCTCCGCATCTTCCAAAGGTCGGTTCAACTCATCCTCTTCTTCTTGCTTGCGCCTCTTGATGCGCTCCACATCAACGCTCAGTCCCAACCCATCCTCAACGTCACTGTCAGCCTCGTCCCACACCCGCTTCCGATCAATGGTAAGCGGAATGTTGCGCTTCAACCGTTCTTCCCTCAAGCGGGGGTTCTTAGCCTCTTCCTTCTTAAATGCATACCGTTCGGTGCGGCGAGCGGAATCCTTGGCGCGCTTTCTCTTGATATGGATCATCTGACGACGTAGTTTATTGCGTGGTTTGAGCTCCATGCTGGCGTCGGGTGGAGGCCTGGAAAGACCTTTTCTGGAACCCATGTCGGCGAGTCTATCGGCAGCTTCTCTGAGTCGATTCGTGTGAAGATCAACCTAGCCTGGGTGTGAGAACCTATCCATGCAGGAAAAAAAAAAAAAAAGAATAGAAGCCGGGGGAATGGTCTCGGGGTCGGAACAACACTTTCCGGCGGTGAGCACTCCGTACACGGTACTAAAAGTACTACTTATTTAATAACCGACCATACCCGATCGGGCAATTTGCGTGGAAGTCACGGGTTTTGATTCCTTTGCAGCCAGCGAGCAATCGACGATCCGATTCATTTCTCTATCTACGTATCGTATCTACTCAATTGTTTCAAGGCTGTGTCAAGTATCATCCCTCCATTTCAACCAGCGACTTCATTGCTGGTCTGACGTGGTGGATGACTCACTCGCAGCATTTCTCTCGTCTTTCTTCTTCGCTCCCTCTTCGTCTCGTCTCTCCTCCTCTCCTGTTTCGGCCGCCGCCGCCGCCGTCGTCTTCTTTTCTTCCCCGCTGCCGCCGCCCACTCTTTCTTCTTTCTTCACTTCCTTCCACTGCCCCTCTTCTCTCCTCGACCCCCGCGATTGTCGCCCCCTCCTCCCGATTTTTCTCCAATACCCCCATCGCTCTCAAGAAATTTGTCGCTCACTTCAGCAGCAGTCGGACGATTAAAAAAGAAATGGCTACGATCAATACCAAGACCGGTCAGGTCGTTGACCGGAGTGTCTTGGATTCTATGCTGCGCCGCCGTCTCTTCTACACCCCCTCTTTCGAGATCTACGGCGGTGTCTCCGGTCTTTACGACTATGGCCCACCTGGCTGTGCCGTTCTGAACAACATTGTCGATCTCTGGCGCAAGCATTTCGTGCTGGAGGAGGATATGCTAGAAGTCGACTGCACGATGCTGACCCCGCACGACATCCTCAAGACCAGTGGTCACGTCGAGAAGTTCGCTGACTGGATGTGCAAGGATCCCAAGACTGGCGAGATTTTCCGGGCTGACCATTTGGTCGAGGAAGTGCTTGAGAGCCGTCTGAAGGGCGACAAGGAGGCTCGTGGCCAGAAGGTCGAGGTGGACGAGGAGAAGGAAGCCAAGAAGAAGCGCAAGTCCAAGCAGACCAAGGCTGTGAAGCTTGACGATGCCGTCGTCAAGGAGTACGAGGAGGTCCTGGCTCAAATCGACAACTTTGACGGCCCTGCTCTCGAGAAGATTATCACCAAGTACGATATCCGCAACCCGACCACCGATGGCAACCTTCTTCCTCCGGTGGCCTTCAACCTGATGTTCCAGACCTCCATTGGCCCTAGCAGCAACATGCCTGGTTTCCTGCGTCCCGAAACCGCCCAGGGTCAGTTTCTCAACTTCCACAAGCTGTTGGACTTCAACCAGCAGTCCATGCCCTTCGCCTCTGCCTCGATCGGCAAGTCTTTCCGTAACGAAATTTCCCCCCGCGCTGGTCTTCTGCGTGTGCGCGAGTTCTTGATGGCGGAAATTGAACACTTCGTTGACCCTGAGGGCGGCAAGAAGCACTCACGCTTCGCTGAGGTCAAGGATGTTGAGTTGTCTCTACTCAACCGTGACGTGCAACTGTCCGGACGTACCGAGACTGAGAAGATGACCATTGGCAAGGCGGTCGAGTCTGGACTCGTGGATAACGAAACCCTGGGTTACTTCTTGGCTCGCATTCAGCTTTTCTTGCTCAAGTTGGGTGTCGACCCCAGCAAGCTTCGTTTCCGCCAGCACATGGCCAACGAAATGGCTCACTACGCAGCTGACTGCTGGGATGCTGAACTGCAAACCAGCTACGGGTGGATTGAGTGTGTCGGCTGTGCCGACCGCAGCGCTTATGATCTGACGGTGCACAAGAACAAGACTGGGGCACCCCTGGTTGTGCGCGAACCTCGCGCCGAGCCCTTGAAGATCGAGGAGTGGCAGATTGACTTGGACAAGAAGAAGTTTGGGCCCCGCTTTAAGAAGGATGGCAAGGTGGTTGAGGCCGCCATTGAGGCCCTGACTCAGGACTTTCGGGAGAAGCTTTCTCTGGATCTCGCGCAGAAGGGTAAGATCGAGGTGCCTGTTGAGGGTGTCGGCGCCGGCTCAGTCGAGCTGGACAGTGAGTTGATCAAGATCGAGAAACGTACGCGGGTGGAGAACGTGCGCGAGTATACCCCTAACGTGATCGAGCCGTCTTTCGGCATCGGGCGGATCTTGTACAGCATGATGGAGCATGTCTACTGGTCTCGTGAAGGTGATGAAGCTCGTGGTGTAAGTTTATTTCCTCTTTGTCTTCCTAATTGCTGTACTTGCCGGATGCTTTGACTAATTGCGAATTTGGCATGTAGGTCTTGTCCTTCCCTCCTGCAATTGCTCCGACCAAGGTACTGATCGTCCCTCTGTCGACACACGCCTCCTTCACGCCCCTGAGCCAGCGCTTGATGATGTCTCTGCGCCGGATGGGTATCTCCAACCGGGTGGATGACTCTTCCGCCAGTATCGGTAAGCGCTATGCACGCAACGACGAGTTAGGTACTCCCTTCGGTATCACTGTCGACTTCCAGTCGGTCAAGGACAACACCTTCACTCTCCGTGACCGTGACTCAACGAAGCAGGTTCGTGCCAGCGAGACAGAGATCTTGCAGGCCCTTAAGGCTCTGGTGGATGGCGAGGAGACGTGGGAGGACATCCGCAAGCGTCTACCGGAGTTCACTGGCCAGGAGGTTGAGTAGACAACATAGACTCAGCATTTCCGTCTTCTTAGATTAAAAAAAAAGTCCATGTCATATCAGTTCTCCATCTACATTCAAATGGGCGTAGTAGATTGTAGCGCCAAGAGAAAGCCATCCGCGGCCGGGAACAACGTCATGACCAGTTGGCGTCTGTTACTCTTCAATCCGTAGCCCTTGCATTTTCATCCACTTCATCGCTCATTTGAAATTTATTCTCTCGTTCCTCCTCTTCCCTTCCTCCTCAGATACTCCTCTGGTCACTTTTACTCTATCTGATCATCATCCTCCTCTCTCTGTCCTCATTCTTTGCGGGCTGTCTAACGTCTTCCCTCGCCAAGCATGGCGCCCTCCATCCCCTCCGCCAAGTTGACCCTTTCCTGCCCTCTCTTCGCCGCTGATTTCGACCCGCGCAATTCCGGAGTTCTGCTCGTTGCCGGTGGAGGAGGCGAGGGTCGCAGTGGAGTGGGAAACAAAATCGCAAGTCTGCCTTGTCGCCCCCTCGGCTCTTTCCTGTGGCTCGTCATGCTAACGAACGCCCCTCTCGCCCAACAGGTCCTTCTCGATTCCTCCAAGCGCCAAACACTCTCGCCAGTCGTTGATATTGAATTGTCACGCAATGAAGATTCAGTGACTTCCCTGGCAGCTGCACGGCCGAATGAGAGCTCGATCATCGCCTTGGCTGGCATCAACAGTTCCGTTGAAGAACAGAAGCGCGATAACAATCAACATTTACGGTCCTTTCGCATCGATTATCCACCGCGCAAAGCTATCTCCGGGCCCGATGAGGTAGATGGGCCGTCGGAGGACAAATCATCTGACGCGGCGACTCCCGGAAAAACAACACCTCTGTCCCGCGCTTCGCTCTTCCGCACCGTCAAAGGCTCAAAACCCTCCGACACCTACCAACGGCTTCTGCGCCTCTCCCCATGGAGAGCTAGTGCGCGGTCCCCTCGAGTGGGTGCCATCGCCACTGGCCTGGCGGCAATCGGCGAGATAGTCTTCTTTAGCGTGACAGCAACACCTGGGCAATCGGACGTTATCGGTCGAATCCGCCTAGGCAGCGATGAGGAAGCGGAGGATATCGATATCATCGACCTGAACGATGAAGATGGTACATTTCGTTTTGCTTACACCAACGGCATGGATCTTTTTGTAGGCCAGATTACTGCCCAAACCCGCTCCAATGCTTCACCGGACGTGCAGTGCGTTTATACAACACCGGCCCCGGAGAAGCGATCTCGGACTAGATCCAAGTTCCGGGCGTTGCGCTTCCTTTCGCCGACCAGTCTCTTGCTCCTGCAGAATGCTCCTGACCGTAAAGGTTGTGAGCTCATGATTATAGATCTTCGGAATGCACTCGCTACAACTCCGACGGGAAAGACACAGGAGCAGAAGGTTACTGGGAAAGCAGCCATCATCCGCCGCAAAAAGCTCCGTAGGACTATCAAGATTGGTCTGGGCCTAGATATCTGCCTTCTGGGCTCTGGGAGCGACGACTCGATGAATCAGCAGCAGCAGGCCATTATCGCAGTCACGGGAAGCGACCAGTCAATTGAACTTCTGACGCTCGAGTTCGATCCGCTCAGCAGCCGAGGCGGCTATGGCGCTCTACGTCGCTATACGACCCTCCTCGACGTACACCCTTTCTCCATGACCAAGCTCTGCTTCGCTCCCTTCTACCCGCCTACGCATCCTGTCTCAGCCGAGACTCCTCCGCAGTACATCAAGCTGGCCTCGGTTAGTATGGGCAACACGGTTGTTGTCCACACTCTTCCACTCTTGCCCTGCCCTCCCACAAGCCGCCATCCTCGCTACGTCTTGTCCATGCCCGGTGAATCTGAGATATGGACCAATTTCTCTAGCGGCTTTGCCGCCCTTCTCTCCATCTTCATCGTCTGCTTCGTCCTGCAAGCCTTTACCGAGATCCGGGGGGCCATGCCTCCTTATCTCGGCGCTACGGATTGGCTACCCCCGCATATCCGGGAGGCTGTGGCTCGGCCGTATTACTCTCCCTCTTCTCCCCTTGCGCCATCTCCTCTCCCTCCCCCGGAGCTGTCTACTTCATCCCCGGAACCGAATGTGGCAGCCAAAGCCCCGGCCCACCAAGTCTCTGACTCATACGCATCCCCATCTCCCTGCCCCATCCCTCTCCTCAGATCAGGTGAGCAGCCGTCCTTCATCTCCTGGGACCCAGACACAAACCTACTGCTCGTCAACTCTGCTCCAGCGGATTCCGTATCATTCTATCGCCGTTGGCGAGACGTCGGAGAGGCTGACCGCGCCTGGTGGATCCATGAGCTCACACAAGCATGCTACGGTTCCATTTCTGAGTCCGACTTAGAGTCCAGGTTCGCGGCGGACGATGACGCGGCTCAGAGCGGCGTGTTTTTCGGCGAGTTGTGCCCTACCAGGCCGGCTGGAGATCGGTCCTGACCTTTTTGGTTACTCTCTTCTGCACCTGTTCTTCGCGGTTGTTTCTAGTCTCCCGCCATCTCACATAATCCCCGTGTGCTTAGGAGATATACGCCAAGGGTTAAGGGCAAGGTGAGTGCGATACTGAGACCGACGTCCGTCTGCCTCGTGTTGACGGATAGGATATGACGGAATGATGATGGAGGGTCGGGTGGTTTATACCTTCATGCACTCGCTTGGTTGTTGCCGCAGTGGAAGCAGGTCGCCTGAACATTTTTACTTCAGAGCCAAACCATCGATTGCGATTGATTGTGGTCTTCTTTCTTACATATCTACTTGCCTATCATCCTGTGCTGTATTTACGATTGCACGTTAGGGAGCCTGTTTTGCTATGATATATCTTTGCAATCTCGCATTACAATACTGAAACAAGCCGAGGATATGGAATTAATTATTTTGTTGGGATCTATGTCCGTCCCCTGTTCTGGGAGTCGCGTGCTAGGCGACTACATACCCGCTCTATTGCATCAACCTTTGTTCCTCATGATTTCGACGGCTCTACCTCGAGCATGCCAGCGGGGTTGACCAAGCTATCCTGTCATGGATTCGTTGACTGACGTAAACATGTGGGAAAGTCAATTTAAGGACAATAGAAGTGAAAAACAACATCTCCTGGGCTGTCTATCATCCACCCTCCCTTTTTTTTTCCGCGCCGACTGTTCACTTTTTGTTTTAGAAGTCCACCCCTGTTCGGCACAGTCGGCCTTATTCGCTAAAGCAAACGAAACCACTTAGGCTATCCACGCATCATGCTGTTCCAATGTTTGAACAGACTTGAGCAGGGACAATCAGCAGAGGTTGTTCCCAATCAGCACCGCGCAGCGGGAAAGTTGGGCGGGCCGAATAATGAAAATTATGCACAATTGTAGAATGGAGAAGAAGGCAGCAAGGGCCAAGGGCCATCGAAGGGGCCGTAAAGAATGGGCACCAATGTCAAAAACGCCGAAGTATCCATGCCAAGTCCGCGCACAAGACGAAGCGATGTAATGTTTGGATATCACGAGAATATATTGGATTGCGATGCAGCTCGTCAAGGGGTGTAGCAAAATCAACCGGGGGTGCGTAGATGTGACCGATATGTGCGGGGAAACAAGATTTGGTTTAAATCATCGAAGCGGTACCGAGAGTGAGCACCGTGCCAATTACGACCAGCGCGGGGACCTCTCTCATTGTCGCTTACTGTCCGCTGTTCTTCTTCCAGCGAAGCAGTTCTGCGAGGCTAGCCAGACTGCATCCCATCTTGAGGAACTCGTGTGCCAACAGCTCATCCGCCGTAGCACGGCTACGGACGTCCACGCAGAGGCAAACGCTGAGGAAGGATTTAAGTTCTTTGCTGAGCTTTTCGGGCTTCTTCAGACGGGGAGTGCCGTTGGTGGCGATGAGATACAACGCTTTGAGGGGCTCCTCATTCAGGTACGGAGGCTCGGACTCAATCATCTCGATGGCCATGATGCCCAATGACCAACAGTCGACCTTAGGTCCGTATTCTTTCTGTTTAACAACTTCAGGGGCCATCCAATACGGGGTACCAACCATGGTAGCCCGCTTGCTCTTCGACTCTGTGAGCTTGGCGCAGAATCCGAAGTCGGCTGTTGCGGGAGAAATGGGGTCAGTTAGCGGGAAACGAAAAATCAATCCGACATGCGCCTGGATTTTGGTCGCCACTCACTGATCTTGACATGGCCGGCTCGGTCCAAGAGCACGTTGTCACTCTTGATGTCACGATGAATAATGTTCTGGCTGTGTAGATGAGCCAACCCTTTACAGGTCTAGGAGAACATGAGTTAGTGTCCATTGCAAGGGGCGGCGGTAATTGCAGCGTACCTCCAAACAGATGGTGGCGATTTGATCTTCCTGGATCACCTGGTTGTTATCGATTACATCCGTCAAAGCACCTCCCTCCATGAATTCCATAACTACCCACAGCTCGTTGCTCTGCTCTTGCAAGAACGAATCAAGGAAGTTGACAATGTTGGAATGTTGGCTGTCCTTCATGACAATGATCTCGTTGACAATGAGCTCCTTGCGTGGCTGGCTGCGCAGATCCATCTGCTTGATGGCTACTTGGGTTCGCGGGCCATATTGACGGTACAGCTCACGTGCAACTGGAGACGTAGCGTGCTCCTTGACCCGAGCCACATACACAGAGCCAGAGGCACCTTGTCCAATTTTCCGCTGCTTACTGTAGGACTCATTGGGATTATCCTTCGAAACAACGGATCGCAAGCGATCCATGACCTCGTTTTCACTCATAGCCGACATGCGTACCTCCCTCTGCCGGGGTTCTGCCTTCTTCGTCAAAGCCGCTTCAGCTTGACGAACTCCATCTGGCACGTTGGTTTTGCCAATAGCCTGTTTGTTCGCAATATTCAATGGCTTCACCGGCTGCACCGGCGCTGGAAGCTTGCTGGGGGGCGGCCCTTGAGCCTGCTGCGTCTTGGTGCCGTTGTTGGGGGCTCGCGTAGCTTGGGTCTGGGGCGGGTATCTTGAGCTAGGCGAAGCCTGCTCGGTCCGGCCATTGGCATAATCCCCGGGTCGCTGCCCGGCCGTAGGCGCGGAGGGTGCTGGGCGCTGAGCAGTCAATTGGCGCGCCTGGTCGGGACGAGAAGAGCCTGGAGCTTGCGGGGCGGGGCGGCTGGGCTTGTAACGATCATCCGATGATCCATACCCTCCCAATTCCTGCTTCGCCAGGGGTACGCGAGTCTTGGGCAAGGAGGCATTATAAGCATCCTGCTCGTATCTACTCTGCTCCTCTTCTCGCTGACGCGCCCGACGAGCCTCTTCCTCTACGCGCCGCCGCTCCTGGTCCGCAAGCTCGTTCATCCGCTCCAATTGCTGCTGCTGCTGCTGCTCCGCAGCGCGATCAGATTGCGCGGGCGACGAGGCTGGCGAACGGTTGGAGTACGACTGGCTGGTATCCAACCGTTGCGCGGGAGCGGGCGGTGGTGGGCGAGGCGGCGCGATGGAATTGCCCACGGAGGTGTTGCTATATGGTTTAGCCTGCTGAGTCGGGGGAGAGGCCAAGCCGGCGTAATACTGCGGATTCTGCTCGCGCATCTTAATGTCGGAGTAGAACTCGAGAACCTCGATGACAGCCTGGGGGTTGTTCTTATAATCTTCCTTGGTGATGGCAGACGCAGTCAATAGCTTTTCCCACTCCGGAGGCAGTCCCACGAAAGCGCCTGTGCGCGGATCGAAGCCGACATGAACACGATGACTGAAGTTGGTTGGGTTGCTCACACCACCCATCCCGGGACAGCGTTCATATATCTTGTCAATCCAATCGTAAATCTCGTCGTCGCTTTTGACTTCGCAGGTAATGCTCTTAGTGGGCACATCGCGGGTGATTAAGGCCGCCTTTGAATTCGCATCTTTGGGATTGGCGAGCCGCAGAATCTCGAAGGCCATGCGTGTATCCTCCGAGCGCGAGACTCCAGTGACCGCGGCTAGCGGGATGGATAGAACCACCTTGCCTGTCTCATTCTTCAAGAAATCGAGACGAAACTCGCGCAGGATCAGATACCGCTGGTTCCATGTTGCCAGAAACTTGTCCTCCTTGCAACGAACATAGCCTTCTTTGATCACGGCAACGCCTCCTTGGCCGGATTGTTCAGTCTTGGTACGCGTGAGAGTGGGTGTGCTAGTGTTTGGAAATAAGGATAAATTGGCGGGACCGGGAGTGCTGGGGGAGTTGAGACTCATTTGGCTGAATGAGGTGGCTACGGTCGGGTTGGTGGGCAAGTTGAGCTTTGGCCGTTCGGCGGGAGGGCGGGGGGCAGGTCCCGGGTTCATGAACTGGTCGGGGGAGTACATTCTGCGGCCGCGTCAACAGCGCCCTTGAAGGATAGTACGCACCGGTGGTCTAGGATTGAAACGGAGTTGAGGGCTAAAATGACAGAAGAGTTAGGGAGGGGAAGGGGGACCTGCTTACTTTTCATAAGAGAGCGCCCGAGTTTGGCGGAGGGGGGAGAGAGGCGTCAGGGGTTGCTGGGCCTCACGGGACCGCGCAGGGGAGGGGGGCAAGTCCGAATAAGCCAGACGGGGCTGCGATGCGATTCCCTGCAGAATTGTCAGTAAACTCGCATAAATTCAACCCATTGAGTATATCACATGCAGGGGAACTCGGAGCGGCCGAGAGGCGAGGGAAAGAAGATATTAAATTGCATGCGCATAGCATCAACGCCCGCCGGTACAGCACATCGTGGGGTGAATATGTATGTCCGAAAGAGTGATTACGATGAAGACTTGGGGGCGGGGGAAGAAGATCGGTTGGAGGAAAAGAGAGAACGAGGGAAGGGTATAGCAAATACCCTAATCGCAAAGGCAGTCTGTCGAATTACCTGTTCTTGAAAAGCCTCAGCGAGCGTGAAGGACACACAGCACGTCTCGAGGTCGCTCCCCCGAAGTCTAAACGGGGTGAGGACTGGCCGTGGACACGATGTAGAAGGGATGCAGCTTGCAATGTAATGGGCACAAATAATTATAACACGACGCGAAAATTATGGAAAGAGCCCACAGACACAAAAGACAAGAAGAAGAAGAAGAAGAAGAAAGAGGGCGAGGAGAGAAAGGAAGAACAAGAGGAAAGACGTAGAGGAAGGAAAAGGGAGAAAGCTGAGAGAGTAAAGGGGATGGATGGATGGATGGATGATGGACGATGGGAGGGGGATTGATTAGTCGTGATTATCGCCGTTTCACTACCATCGGGCGGCTTCTATTTTACCTCTCCTTCTCTGTTCTCAAAGGGGGGAACTCTTTTCCCGCTCCTCCTCCACTGATTCTGTGTTTCAGCTAGTATTAGACAATAATTCTCAATATTGTCAATTGTACATACATAATCCCTCTTTATCCTGCTTAAACCTTTCCGCAGATTCAGTCTCTCTGTTCGCCCTAAATCGCAATTCCAGCACCAAGGCAACTACCATATATTTGTCTACCCATCCAAAGGGACAGACAAATAGGCCAGCCTGCATGCATGCAAGACAATATCGATTCAAATGAATAATCTTGATTCTCTCCCCCGGATGTCTTGGGAGGTTTCACTTTTCAAACCTAATTCAGACCGACTTGACATGCGCCCATCACAAGAATAACAACAAATCAAACGCCGAGCCCATTCAGGGAGCTAGGGAGTCGACTTAGGCCAGTGATATCGGCAAAGAGATCCTCCATTGGAAGTGGCGAACCGAATGGAGCCTTCTAGTTAGGGCGTGCGCGCGAAGAGAGAAGGGAGAGGAAGAGAGAGAAGCAAGAATGCATGACTGCCCGCTGCTGCGCTTGCTCTATCGGTTGATATCACATCAGACCCTGTTTGTATTTCTCGTTTTGATTGGAGGGAGATCCGTGAAGGTCAGGTCCAGAATGAAAGAACTATCTGGTACACATGTGAATGGGTCATGGAGGATGAACAATTCAGGCACAATCTCACCATCAGACTCCTACTGGACTTGATTCGAGACCGATGTTGCAACGCTTGCAGGGAAACACAACCAACCTAACCTCAACTATGCACCTTCCAAAAATTGTTCAAGGCTCTGAGTTAGCCGAGAGCCAGGTGAGAGAAATTGATGCTGCTAAATTGCCTGCCGACCTCGGGAGAAGATTTCATTACATCATTGACCAAGATCTCGACAATGAGGTGAGGCATAACCATAGTCAGACTGAACGGTACTCCATAGTCTACCCATAGATATAGCTTTCTTTTGCCGAGTAAATAAGAACAGGGTGAAAGAGGGCCAACCAAGAGTCAATTGTGGCTCGCCAGGGTGACTCACCCACCGGTTCATTGCTGTTTTCTGGCATGAGTACAATCGATGGCCCTCCACCGGAACCTGCCGTGCTTCCAATCATTACTAAACGCCGACTATGTTGACTTGAGACTTGCTTGATTGGTATATCTTGTATAGAATAGGAAACCCGAGTTTAGGCTAGGGCTATGTTCTGGAAAGCCTGGAATTATATAGCCTATTCATGGAAATTCATGCCCTGCCTGTGCCTGTCCCAAACAGCATAGTCGAACAGAGCCATCAGCGATCCTCACCGAATGGATGATTGAACTTCAATAATCCATTAAGTCCACCCACCCAACCGTCATGTGCCTCTCCACCAGTGATCCTCCGCATTACACATGGCACCCCCCCTTGCCATTCATTTTTACCGTGCCGCATCTCCTCATTCCACACTCGCGCCTCCATCCCAGCCGTCATCCCTTGACTCATGTTCACCCCATCGATGCTGACCTCCAGCTCACGTCCGCGATTCTTCTCGCTCAGACGTAGTGTGATTGGAGTACTCGACGGTAGCACCAACGGCCGGAAGCTCAAGCTTCGAGCACAGATTGGTGTCAAGAGCACGGCAGGGACGAGAGGGTGTACGATACTGCCGCCACTGCTCAGGCTGTATGCTGTGCTTCCTGTGGGCGTCGATATGATAATCCCATCGGCCACCGCCTCCGTCAGAAAGCGACCACCGACGTAGACATCGACTACCGCCAGATGCGGCTCTTTACCGCGGTGCAGCAGCACCTCATTCATAACATAAAGCCCCCGACGGTCCCAAATGCCCGGCAGAGGGTTCGAAGATGCTTCTTGCCGTATCGGCTGTCCATCGGCCGTGAAAAGTCCCACCTTCAGTCGGTTGCGCATAAGTATTCGAGCCCCCCGCGTCAGACCCATGGACTTCCCCCGTACCGATGACCAGCCCGTCGGGCCCACGTCTTGATCCAGTGATTCATCGTCGGCCGTCGGTCGCACATCACCTAACACTGTTGCGCGATCTCCTACGCCTGCTCCAGACATGTAGACTTCACGGAACGCTCGCTTATACTCGGGAAACTTCCATTCACTGAGAAATCCAAGCGTGCCCATGCTGAAGGAGAGCATTGGGGGTACATTGTAGCACGTCGCGAATAGCGATGAAGCATGTAAGATAGTCCCATCTCCTCCCAGGGTAACGGTCAGATCCACCTTTTTATGTAGTGCTGGTCGGAGGCGGTCCAGAGAGGCAGTATAGACGGGGTCGTGCAGTGATGCATGGACTTCCTCAGCTACTTTAGGTTCAAGGATAATTGATATCGAAGGGTAGGTAGACGTGGCATGACTACAACACCATGGAAGTCAGTACGGGTCGGTAGTCCTGCTAGTGGCATGGTAAGGAGCCATAATACAGGTGTCATACTTAGCGAATTCCACAAGAGCTTCAGTCACTGCTGGAACACAGTCCTTCTTCACGACAAGGATGTTGCGCGGCGGCGCTGGCCATTGAAGGGACAGTAGATCGCCCACTTGCGATTCTAGTTGAGGAGCACTCCAAGTCAGCGATTGCTCATGCATGCCGCATTGCAATAACGCACACCTTGATAGCCCGGTATGGCTCGCTGAGGGAGTATCGCAATGTCCCTGATCTCGTATAGCCGCGAGGACGAGGAGAAGCTTCGCATCAATGACAACCGGCCGGGATACCCGGTCCGAAAGGACCGGACTCGCAGGACTGCAAATTGCATATCAGAGGAGGGTATGCCTCAAAAAGACCAAGAGCATCCTTCCGCAAGAGAGTTTGAAGTCAGTATCATTATTGAAGCCGAAAGAGACAAGAGCGCTCACTCTAGATAGACCGATTCATTGCTCCGCGGCAGCATCTGCGGAAGACAAATTATACCGTGAGACAAATAAGTCTTCAAAGGTAACACGCTCTTTCGCTGTAAACCCAGTAGTATCTTCCCAAGAGAAAAAAAATAGTGAGTAGCATCCGGACAGAAAAAGCATCGCAGAGTCCCCGGACTCGGCCTGGTTGACCGCCCGCAGTCGGAGGGACTCATCTCACTACTGACCAGGAACTCAGCGGGACTGACGTATTGACACCGTCTAGTTGTTTAAGTGAACTAATACAGTTTAGGTTAAGTCATCTTCCAGCTTTCCCCATCCGGTGATTGACGGAACTGCCGCGCAGTGAGAGGCTCCCGTATAAATAGGATTGCCGGTTTCCCATACAACTCAAAGACGAGGAACCAAACCTCCTTCTTCCTGGTTTGGGCATGGTTTGACCCAGATCTGTCTAATCTGTACCTTATTTTCTCGATCCGGCTTGTGGTATTATCGGAGCTTGGAGGTTTCCCCGAGCTTTGTCCTTTCCTGGACTCATTTTTAGGCTTGAGCGGGCCCTCTGTGTTCTCCTGGTGAGTTTGGGTCGACACCGCTTTTCTCACTCGCATTTATTGTACAATCCTGCTCGCGTGACCATGACATGGGCGAAGTTGGTCTGATTTTTTTTTCTGAATCTCAGGCTTCCCCGACCGGAAAAGTGCTACACTGTGCCGGCAAGGTCCCTTGGCTGTCGCGCCGATCTTGTGCCATCATGGAGTCCGACCTTCGTCGGCGGAAGCATATGAACGTGGCAGCTTCCACAAGTGATAAGCATCACACTTATACTGGTGCGGAACCACGCCTGAAGCATGGCCTCGCCATGCAAGTGTTTCGCTCTCTCTTGCTCGCAACATGGTTCAACTGCTGTTGCGTCGCTATTTTAGCGACCCAGGTCATCGGCTCTCCGCTCTATCTAATCAGCAAAGATCACTACTATGCATATATGGCATACACTAAGCAATCATTCGGGCTGGTAATTACAGCTCTCACGCAGTGGGGCTGTCCAACAGTTGTGCGCGTCAGCGGAGACAAGAGTGTGCGGGATCAGATTCACCTGGCGGAGGATGGACGGCTAAAGACAGATTTCCCGGAGCGACTGGTGATGATCGCAAATCACCAGGTCTATACAGACTGGATCTATCTGTGGTGGGTCGCATACACAAACCAGATGCACGGCCGCATTTTCATCATCCTAAAAGAATCCCTCAAATATATTCCCATCATCGGCCAAGGTATGACCTTCTACGGCTTCATCTTCATGGCTCGGAAGTGGCTCTCGGACAAGCCGCGGCTCCAACACCGGCTGGAGAAATTGAAGACGCAGCACTCAGGGTCCCTGTCGAGTTCCCCACAGTACGATCCTATGTGGCTGCTGATCTTCCCCGAGGGAACGAATCTTTCAGTCAACACCAAGCGGCGGAGTGCGGAATATGCGGCTAAACAAGGGATTCCATCTTTGAAACATGAAATCATTCCCCGATCGACTGGTCTTCTCTTTTGCTTGCAGCAACTGCGAGGGACCGTGGAGTGGGTTTATGACTGCACTGTGGCCTACGAAGGGCCTCCGTAAGTGGAACTCGGCATGTCTCTACCTGTTTTCTCATGAAGCTCTAACCGGCTCTATTCATTCTTACAGAAAGGGCAGCCTACCAGACAAGTACTTCACACTCCGCTCAACTTACCTACAAGGTCGACCGCCGACCTCTGTCAATATGTATTGGAGACGCTTTGCAGTGGCAGACATTCCGCTCGATGATCAACACGATTTTGATGCCTGGCTCCGAGTTCGCTGGGCCGAGAAAGACCAGCTTTTGGATGAGTGCTTCGAAACAGGTCGATTCCCGACCGACTTGGGAGGCTCTATCGTCGTTGGTTCTGGGTCGCCAGAGCAGGCGTACGCGGCGGCGAATGGATATGCTGAAACCCAGGTTCGACTGGGTCACTGGGCTGAATTGGGCCGGATATTCATGGTTTTGGTGGGCACCGCCTTGCTGTGCAAGCTGCCCAAGCTATTTGGAATATATTGAGCCCGTGTGAGGGCCCGTCGCAGTGAATGGAGTTCTTAGAATGGTTGGGAATTTGAGCAATATCATGAAATGAGGCGATGCACTAAGAGCTACGACTTCTCTCCTATTCTTGTACTTACTTGATGATGATGTGCATTATTAGGACTAGACCCTGCATAATTAATTGCGAGCCGTCAATTCATGTTCATGTGTCCCCAAGCGTTAGTGTGCTCGGAAAAAATGTAAAGTGAAACCGAAACAATCGCTCTATCACCGCATCATAAATACAAGACATACTGGGAGTGACGGTGAGTGGACTCCCCAGCCACACTGCGTGGCGGTGCAACTCTTCCGGCCTCAGTTTCCGTCCGTCTCCAACTCTATTCCATCCCATCCTGGTCAATGTGCCTGTTCGCCAGTCTTCACCTTTACCAATCCATCCAGTCGTCTAAAATTCGAGCGAACAGCTACAATCACGTCCAGCGACTCCCTTACTGCTGCCAATCTGAGAGCGCTCTTCTTGCTTGCCCGTTCAGTGAGAGGAATCCCTTCGTCGTGCCCGCTCAAGTTATCGGTTTAAACTCGAACATGACATGAACTGAGCTGTGTCTCTAATAATCCAAGCGCCTTCAACATTCCCTGGTTTCTTTTCCGCTCTACTTATTGAGGTATTGCATCTCATCTCGCCATGGCGTCCCTCTCGAATGGTCACGCCAATGGTACCAACGGTGATGCTCTGCCGGCAGCGAAGTCGCTAGCTAATCTTCGCTTCTCCGACATACCTTCCGCAATCGATATCCCTGCGTCGACTCTTGACAGTGAGGTCGAAGTCAGTCTTGAAATCCTTCCTGATGATCCTACCGAGCTGTGCACCCTCCTGGAGAACGAAAAAGCCGCGAAAAATTTCTGGGTGACTATTGCGCTCGCGTACGCAAAACAAAACCAACTCGACCATGCGATCGACATTCTCAATAAAGGGCTGGCCTCTGTCGGCCACGGGGCAATCAAGGAAAAACTTGGACTGTTGGGTTGGGTCTGCTGGCTGTTGATGCTCAAGTGCCGACAAGCGCCCCGTGTCCTGAACGATTCCGAAATATACACAGATTCTAAGACCAAGGACTATTACCTACAACAAGCTACATCTACGTTGAACGAGGCCTCAAGGCTCAATCCAGCTTTTCCCCCACTTTTCTTGGCGCGAGGTGTTCTGTCTCTCTTGCGCGCGTCGATGCACCCTCTCCGACCGACGCGTACGGGGGGTATCGATACCTCAGAACGGGCTGAGTCACTACGTCAGGCACTCAAGTGCTTTGATGAGTCGTTGAAGGCTTTTGGTGGTCGCAACGTGATGGCGATTCTTGGTCATGCACGTGCACAGTATATGTTGGGTCGGTATGCAGAAGCATTAGAAGGGTACCAGAAGGTATTGGTGAAGATGCCCGGGCTGAGGGACCCCGACCCTCGCATTGGAATTGGCTGTTGTCTATGGCAGTTAGGATTCAAAGAGCAGGCGAAAGCTGCTTGGGAGCGGGCACTTGCATTGGTGAGTGGATTCTACTGTAGGGTGGGGGAGAAGAACTTCTGTTCTAACTCGTATGCAATATATAGAACCCTGATTCGAAAGTCGCCAACATTCTTCTTGCTGTCTATTATCTATACGACAGTTCCCGGCACTCCACCACAGATCCAGCGTTCGGTTCTTTGTACAAGGTGGCTATGACACAGTACACGCAAAAAGCATTCAAACTGGACAAAGAGTATCCGATGACATGCGCCCTCTTTGGCAGTTATTTCCTTTTGCGTAAGTCTTACAGCACCGTCGAGAGTCTGGCACGCAAGGCGATTCAACAAACGGATGTGATGCCGATCGCAAGTGATGGTTGGTATCTACTCGGTCGCAAAGCACACTACGAAGGCGATCTCGTTCACGCAGCAGAATATTACAATCGAGCAGATCAGGCCCGCGGAGGCGAGCAAGGTTATCTACCTGCCAAATTAGGTAACATACAGATGCAGGTTTCTAACAGCAAGGACCTCGACGGCGCCAAGTTCCGGTTGGAAAAGATCATTCAACAGACTAAGAACCCGGAGAGTATGATTCTGCTCGGTGCCCTCTATGCAGAGGAAGTGTTTCGAGCCAGTGGGAAAGACGACAAGTCCCCGGAAGCGAAGAAAGCCATTGGGCTTCTGGAATCTGTTCGTGCTCTCTGGAAGGACGAGAGCAAAAAGGTTCAACCCGATGAGTCGGTCCTGGTGTATCTGTCCCGCCTGTACGAGCAGGCCGCCCCTGAGAAGAGCATGCAGTGCCTCACTCAATTGGAGGAAATGCAACTTGCGGAGATACCTGAAAAGGAACGCCCCGAAGGAGTGGATGATGCGGAGCAGGTTAAAGCTGCCCTTCGCAAACAATTACCTCCACAGCTACTTAACAATATGGGATGCTTTCTATATCAAGCGGAGAAGATTGAGCTGGCTCGGACTATGTTCCAATCGGCTCTGGACGCTTGCATGAAATCCCAAGAGAAGGAGGGCGAGCTCGACACGGACGCCCTAGTGACTACTATTAGCTACAATCTGGGTAGAACCTATGAGGCTGCTGACATGCCAGACGAGGCTAAGAAGGTGTACGAAGGCCTACTTGAGCGCCATGCTGACTACACAGAAGCCAACGCGCGATTGACGTACATTGCTCTCCGCCAGAGTCCGACTGATGAGGGTCCTAAGAAGATGGCCAAGCTGTACGAGGCCGACGCGACGAACCTCGAAGTACGGGCTCTGTTCGGCTGGTACCTGAGCAAATCGAAGAAACGTGCGGCCAATCTGGCGGAAGATCACGAGCAGCGACACTACAAACATACGCTGCAATACTACGATAAGCATGACCGGTACTCACTAACTGGAATGGGCAACATTCATCTGTCGACGGCGCGCGACATGCGGCGGGACACCGACCAGGACAAAGAGAAGCGGCGAAAGATGTACGAACGTGCGGTGGAATTTTTCGACAAGGCCCTGCAGCTGGATCCACGAAATGCATACGCAGCCCAAGGTATCGCGATTGCGCTTGTGGACGACAAGAAGGACCATGCCTCGGCGGTGCACATCTTCTCCAAGGTCCGGGATACATTGCGCGATGCTAGTGTCTACCTGAATCTCGGTCACGTCTACGCAGAGTTGCGGCAGTTCACACGATCGATTGAGCATTACGAAGCTGCTCTGTCCCGCGACCGCGCTCGCGACGCACAGATCCTGGCCTGCCTGGGCCGTGTCTGGTTGCTGAGAGGTAAACAGGAACTGAGCCTGCAGGCCATGAAGACAGCCCTGGATTACGCTCAGCGCGCTCATGCGGTCGCGCCGGGCCAGGTTCACCTCGAATTCAACATTGCCTTCGTGCAGAACCAGATCGCCTCCTTGACATACGGTCTCCCGGAGACGCAAAGAACAGTACAGGACGTGCAGGATGCAGCGGACGGACTTCACGTTGCGGTAGAAACGTTCGGTCGGATTGCCCAAGCGAAGAACCCGCCTTACCCTGCTAGTGCCTTGGAGCAGCGTGCGAACATGAGCCGCACAATCATTAAGCAGCTCGAGCGTGCCCTGCAGAGCCAGAAGGACTACGAGGAAAAGAACGCGGCTAAGCTCCAGCAGGCGCGTGAGGCGCGGGAAGCGGAGATCCGGCGTCGAGAGGAGGAGGTGCGCAAGGCGCAGGAGGCCGAGCGGGAGCGTAAGCAGCGGATTGCCGAGGAACGTCAGCGCATGATTGAAGAGGCACAGCGACTGGCAGAGCAGCGCGCGGAGGAGGAACGTGCTCGCGAAGAGGCGGAGCTGACCACCGAATCTGAGACTGGGGCCAAGGTGAAGCGCAAGAAGCGCACAACCTCGAAGCGCAAGAAGAAGGGCACCGACGACTTCATCAACGATGGTGGGGACTCGCCCCGCCGAGCGAGGAGCAGTGAGCCTGAAAGCGAGGGCGAGACGGCGCCAAAGAAGCGTCGGCGCCTAGAGCGCCGGGCTGGCGGCAAGGTGCAGAGCAAATACAAGAGCAGCGAAATGGTAGTGGACTCGGATGACGAGGACGACGAGGCGATAGCTCCAGCGGACGAGGATCAAGCAATGCGTGACACCGGGGCGGACAATGAAGATAAGGAGGAAGACGTGGTGCAGCGCCGGCGGGCCAAGGCCACGAGGCGCGTAGCTGATGACGATGACGACGAGGATGAGGACGATGATGCAGAGGTCGCCGCTTCCGTGGCTGAAACGGGCGCAGGATCGGGGGCTGAGCCAGAGGAAGGCGCGAGCGCAAGGGGCGAGGAAGGAGATGCTGCTGTTGGGGGCGATAATGAAGGCGATGATAACGATGATGACGGGCTCTTCAATGACGATGGGGAAGAAGATACCGCGATGCAGGACGATGAGTGAGGTCTGTTATCGCGTTGGGTTGGGTTGGGTTGGGTTGGAATTAATGGTTAAGGTGGGGGGGGGGGGGGGGGGGTGGAAGATAATCGGTGGAGGCAGTGGAAAGAATAAATCAATTGTAGTATTAGGGCATTTGCATTTTTTTTGGACCTGACCTTTCTTTATACCTGCGTGTTGATCCTCTTCATCATCTCATTGTGACGGACATACCAGGAGAAGGCGTTGTTGGGATGGGCTTGGTGGATTCTAGTTTATACATAATCGGGAAGCACATATCGGCAAAGCAGCGAGTGTATACATACTATACAGATGACATAACTCCATTAACTTGTAGCCTGGTAGAGGATAGACCCTATTTGATTTGATATCTGGACCCTGTAAACAAACCACCGGCGTGATGTGGCTGGTGCCGCCCGCCCTGTTCTTTAAATGAAGCTATTCCCAAGTGGTCTACCGCAGATTGGCGGACAGAGAGACTGGGCAGAAGGAGCGGTTACCTTTGTTCAGGACCAATTTTATCTATTTCAGTTTCTATTTCTGATATACTCCTCTCTCTCTCTCTCGTGCGGAATTGTAGACTAGCTTCTTCATCTTCATCTTGTTCATCTTTTTTCTCCAACCTCGCCAGTGGATACTGCTAAAAATGGCAAGCACTGGTGCCGGGTCTGGTCTAGCCCCCAGAGATCCAGGGATCGTCAGGAGGTCGAACGATGGAGCCCGAGAAGTTGGGAGGTGAAGACGGATGGTGCAACACGCTAGGGAGATGGATCGAGTTCTAAAGGCAGAGAAAAGGGTCAGGAAAGGGGGGGCTGAAGGCTGAAGCTTGAGAATCCGAGACAGTGGTGTGGCAGATTTGGCCCTACTAATGGAGGAAGAAAGAGGGAAAAGAGATAGCTGTATGTATCATGGATGTATGGTATAACTGCAAATACACCCAAAGTGATTCGAATACCCTTGTTGATTGTTTCCATTGCAGTTTCGTACGATTACCCACCCAAAATTACCCAACCCACAACTTGGAAGGGGAAAAAAAAATCTCCCTCCTCCCTACGCAAGGAGGAGCTGCTGCTGCTGGGGGGTGGATCGAATCATCACCTGACAAAGAACTTAGTTAGCACTCACTGATTGTTTTATCAAGTGAAAGATGGATACATAGTAGATACGAGTAACATGGATCACCCGGATCCATTTCTCGTCCAATTTCGCAGACCCGGTGGATCTGGTCTGTAATGCTACTCGACACGATCATCTCCGGGTGATGGCCGATAGCCAATCTACCTACTCCGTACCTACTGTATAGTACATATAATAAAATGTACATATGGTCTATGGCTATGTCTGTACTGTACAGGACGTACCCATGAGTTATCAGCTACTCATGTAAACTTAGACTACGGAGTAGGTTAAGCAAGAACAAGAATCGGAACCAGAACGTGCAGTGCCTGAGCTGCACGAGCAGCTGCAGGTACACGAAGCGGTGTGCGTCCTTCCTGTTCCTGGGATGATGCGGACTTTCCCTCTCACTTCCTCTCTCCATCATCGAGGGTCATCCAAATTCGAATCTTGCTTCTTGGGTGTAACCACAGAGCAACAAAAGTGATTGATCTTTGCAAATGTCCTGTCGGCTGTTAAATGCCGAACCTATCCTAAGACCGGACAGTGAGACACCCGGGGTTCTGACTCGGGTCCGAGGCCGGAGAGTGACAGAGAGAAGTGACGTTAAATGCACGACGATAGCGACAGTCAAACTCAGATTCCAGACCCTTTCGGTGTCAGTATTCTTTGTCTTGTCTAGGAGTAACCTCTGCCTGGAACTGGGTCGATTTGGTTACAATCCCATTTTGAGTGAACCCCGAGATCCTGGTCACTGCATGAATCTGCGATGGGTCCGACCAGGATGATCGCGCGTCGATTTGATGTGATGAGTCTTATCCCACCACGTTGAGTGGGTATTCCCCGCCCGTCTTTTTCAGCCTAGGCAAAATACTTACGGTATCCGGTCTTCTCTTCCGTGGCTGCAGCAGCAGCAGTAGCAGCAGCAGCAGCAGCCCGCAGAATGCAATGGAAACAGCACCTGAGTGAATTATTTCCGAGAGTGTGAGAAGGATAGAGAACCTAGTGATACTTTCAGCCCGATGGACGACCCGAAAAGAGTTTCTCTGGTCGTTCCCGACGCCCGGTCGTGGTATTTCTAGACTAAGTAGCGATGGCGTGCCCCGTCTGCCATTCTAATTCCCAGAACCATGGGTCGGCGAGCTACAGCAATGATATGATAGATGTTCACTGTACTCCGTACTGTACATTCAGTGTCTCTAGGAGGAGGGAAAAGGATACGCCAACAGGAACCTCGGGATAATCCTCTGCTCTGCTGTAACTCGACTCGACTCTCTTGGGTTCTTCCCCCCGCCCCCGCTTGGCGTTCACAAACTTCAGCCAGGCCGAGAAGCTCCCGTCAGGCGTCCAGTCAAGCAGCCGGAACCTTGGGCTAGCATGAATCTTTGCGATGGTCAGTGGAGAGAACGTTGAACTGGGGTCTGACTGTCAGTACAAGCGAATGAAGATCTGGTGGTGCCTGAATTGACATCTCGTATTGACGGAACTGGGGCTGAGGGGATTCCGCCGTCTTTTTAGCTTGCTTATGTTGTATGTGTTGTGACTTGTCATCCAGTGCAATTAACGAGGAGAGCGAGCACCCGAAGTATACGTATAGTAATATGCTCACTGCAATACAGAGAGATATGACTGGTTGGATTCCAGTGAATGGATCTGTTCACCTAGCGATGTATGTATGTACTTTACATTCGGTATGTTAAGTCCGTAGAGTCCGTAGACATCTTGTCCACGCATACTATACTGTATGTACATACACACACAAACACATGTTGGGGATGGGAAAACGTATGCGAGTCCTCCCATCCCACCAGCATATGCAGAGTTCCCGCACATCAAGCTGAGTGGAATATTTGGTTCAATTCTGTTGCCCTATTAGGAAGTTCGCAGTTTTCACTGTACAAGGTACAGTGCCCTCGATACATCCTCCCCGGGGTCGGACAGTTTTTCAGCTCGCAGCTCGTGTATCCGACTCTTTTCTTTTTGGCTGTGCCGGGCAAAAACCCACCGCAGATACTTACCCAACGGTGAGGTACCCCATGCGGGATCATCCCCTACAATTCAGGGCTGGTAAGGTTGCCCGAATCTTCTGAGTTTCAATTGCAGATATTCAAGACTCGGGATGGATGATATGGTACGTATTGGGGATACATCCAAGTCCATTACAGAGGGGCATTTCGATTTTATTGGTTTTTTTTTTTATTTTTTTTTCTCTTTCAGGACGAGGAAGGACCTCGGATCCGGATAATGTCGAAGCTCATGTTGCGAAAGAGTCAATTGATTCATAGGTTAGAGTGCGATGATGATTGAGCAAGCATACGGCGGGTTCCGTGAATCAGAGTGGGCAGCAGTTGAGGGATTAAAATAGAAGGCAGGAACGATCTCCGCCGTATATATAGGCGACGGGGCATTGTTCTTCAGCTTCACGGTTATCCAATTGATTGTTTGCCCTCTGCAATGAGTATTGTACTTCTATGAGTATGAAGCCATGACCAGTCAGCAAGGTTTAGTAAGTACATAGTATTAAGTCTGGCACACTTTCTTATAGCAATCGTTGGTACACATAAACATAAGACACCCAATCAGTCCCTCTAGACTGTTCACTTTTTAGCCCTTTGGCCCTTGAATCTTGTGAACATGGTGCTGGTGCCAGTGCTGGTTGGTCACTGTATATCTCCATAATGATAATACTGATGATGGTTTATCCCCAGCATTCCTACTTCCCACACCGAGTATAAATGGAGAAATTCGATCAGACAACGGGGAAGGGGGGAATGGGGACGAACGACCAAGGGGAAGAACGGACACTCAACCTCCCAGGCTTATAAAACTTTAAAATGTCGGTAGAACAAAGACCAGAGCGAGGAGTTCCACTGCCCGACTGGGTATGGAGTACTAACTAGGTACACTACGGCTTGACTTTCAACTAAACAGAATAAAAAGGATTCCCAGCAGCCAACGTGGCTGGGACGGCGCACATTACGGCTTACCAGATTATCAGTCGACAAAATGGAAAAGAAAATGAGGAGGGAGGCTCTCATGGAATACCCCCCCCGGGCCCCGTTAACTTGCTAGTAGCACTAACTACTAAGTAGCCCCGGAGTAGTCGTAGTTAGTGTCTGTTCCAGTCTTGTCTCCCAAGGCCAAAAAAAGTGATAATACCAAATTACAACCTGGGACAAACAGACAGGTAATTTCCCTTGGTGGAGGCTCATCGACGGTATTTTTGCACATTTGCCTTGTCCCCCACCTCAACCCATCAGCAAGTCAGTGAGTGAGTGAGGAGTGAGGGAGGGAGTGAGAGCAAGTTAAGTAAGTACTGTACCTAACTGAGAGTTGTGTATAGTCATGGTCATGGTTGTCTTTGTGCAAGTCCACTCACTGTACGAGTATCATTTTCCTCCTTTTGATCATTGTTTATCTTCTTCGTCTTCCTCCTCCTCTGATCTCCTCTTCTTTTCTTCCCATTCGTTCGTCCTCTTTCATCCTCCTGCATTTACCTCTTCTCTCTCGCTCCCCCCAGACGGTAGTACCTCAAATTCTTTTTTTTCCCTTTTCCTATCTATCCTTCCCCGATCCGACCTTAGTCGTCCTTCTTTTTGTCTTGTCTTTGCTCTGGTACTGTACGTATTGATCACAGGTGGTGTGCCTCGATCTCGATTTACCCCCTCGGACTCCATCCATACAGACATAGTCCCGTACTTCCATTCCCTCCTTTCACAGCCAGAAATTCTCTCCTATTTCTCTTCCATTTGCTGTCCTTTGAGCTCGTGCTTCTTTTGCTGCTTCCCCAAGTGTCCTCTTCGCCTGTTTCGAAGTTTTGGACGTGTTTCTCGCATCCGTTTCGACCCTCGATCTAAAACGACACCGGAAACTTTCCCGCCGCACGATACGGGGTTTTCCTCGTCTTCTCCTACCATCTTCCTTCTCCTCCCTCCCCGGCCTCCCCCCGTGTCGCTCATCTGCCTCTTCTTTAAATCCTCCTTTCCCTCGATCCTCCTTCGTCCTCTGCGACTCCGCTCTTATCGCATTGAACTCCGTACCCGCGGGAACCCTTTTGTGCTCCTATCATGGTCCAGAGCCGGATCAATTCTTCGCAATTGGTGGTCTAACGGTTGCTCATCGCATTCACATGCTTACCTCGCAACTCATTCTCCCTCAACAGCCACCTGGGTTTCGTTCTGTCTCTATTCAAATCACCCTGTCTCCCTTCACTGACCGACTCATCCCTCTGCTCCGACCCGCACCATGTCTCAGCAGGATCTGGACCGTGCCTATGGCCGAGCACCCAGCAGTGGCTCCCCCGAACAGCATTCGGTCCACACCCGCTCTAGATCGACCGCCCATGCGCAAAGTCCAAAACGCTTGTCTGTCTTAAGTGGCCGGTCTCGCAGCAATACAACGAATTCCGCCACCTCTTCCCGTCGTTCACCTGGCTCGTCAATGACCTCGGTCGAGGGACCCTCGCTGCCCGCTTACGAGGACCGGGCCGGTTCGTCAGCCGGCTTTCGTTATGACCGCTCTGAAAGCGTGACGAAATCGCTCCTGTCGCGTGGGAGTCGCATCCTGCGTCGTCGGGGGAGCAAGTTCCATATAGTCTCCACGCTGGACGAGGAAGACGAGGTGGAGCGCGAGAAGTCCCGTTTTGAGGTCTCGGAACTCTTCAGCCGGCATCACAAGCCACGGCCAAGCGATGCACGTAGGTACCCTCACACGATTACCCTCTGTCATTCACGGTCACTATCGCACGCGAAAGCCCCATCTTAGGCTTGCATGGGATCCTCATGCTGACATCTCGCGCAGATGATCAGCTGAAGAGCTTGATCTCGGATCCGTTCGACTTTCACCATCTGACTCACACAAGTCCGTCTCAGTTCCAGTCTCTTGAAAAGGCTCGAGAAACTGACTTGGTCACCGAGTTCTCTGCCATCCGTGCCTCTCAGAGGCCTGTCACCAACCTCAAAGGAATTCAAGCACAAGATCTGCACTTCCGAGATTTCTCCTCGGAAGATTTCACCCAAGGCGGTATAGCCATTGCTGAGAACGATGTTTCTCCCGATCCGGCACCAATAAGCCCTCCAGCATCGCCGAACGGCTCCATATCCATCAGTCCCAAACAGCGCGACATCCGAGGTCGACGAGAGTCGCGCGTCGTCGAGAATTTCTCGCGGCCTGTCCCTAGATTCCCCAAAGACCCGGGAGTAGCCAATTCTCCACCGAGGGCTTCTTCACCGAGGTTGGCATCTTCTCCTGAGCTACCTGAGCCAGCTCCTCGGGCTATCGACGAGATATTGGGCTTATCCAGCCAGCCAACGTACCCCGAACACGTGTTTTCACAAGATGGTGACGACGACGATGATGTCTATCGGAGCGCTCCATGGTCCCAACTACAAGCCCAGGACATGTTTCCTGTTCCTGCTGCCCATGCGGTTACCACAGATGCTGAAAGCGAGAGACTTGGTGTGAGGACCTCCTCCATGTCTCTGACCGCTCTGTCATCTGATCTGGAAGGCGTCCCAGAAGAAGAGGAAGGCGAAGAAGAAGCGGATGCGACCCTGGAGCTTGAGGCCGCACCTGAGCTTCCCATTGACCACGAGCCCCCTCAGCCGGACACAGGGTTCCACCCGCTTCCATTGGTCGATCCCCAGTCAGCTTCCGCAGCTGCTCCAATTACGTCCGATCTGTCCGTATACGTGGCTCGGGATCTCGCAAGGAAATTTTCCGAAGCACTTGGCTCTCCCACCCTCCCCCAAGATTGTTCAACAGCAGGAGCATCCGTGCCCGAACCGCCATCTTCGGGATGTGCCGGGTTGCGATCCTCGGCTGCTCCGCAAGCCGTTTATGAGACAATCTATGATTCGTGGGATGCTGATATCGATTATTGCTACGAGCATGCAGCTGAATCCAATTCGAACTTCGACTGGACTCGCAATTCAGTCGACGAGCCTCGAGCGGATGTGACGACAGAGACCACTGCCCCAAGTGAAAATGATGCCATGGTCTCATGTGACCGGCTGTGCGCCATCGCCGTGTCCACAACGAACTTGGACTCTATACCTTATTCGGAAGTCAGCTCACAGGTGGCCGTGACGCCTTCAACTACTGGCTATGAGACCGGAATGGCCGCCTACCAGAGAGATAGTGATTATTTTCGTCCTGTCAGATTCGGGCCGGCCCTGAACAAATCACTGAATCCAGAGTCCATATATGATGATTATTTGGCAACTGATGCCGAGTCGGATCGACATTTTTCGTTCTACTCGCAGCAAGGTGCAATTCAACCCATCGAGCATTCCATCTCTCCTCGGAGTAGCTTCTCTCCGATCAGCAAGTGCAACTCCCAAGAAAGCTTGATCTTATCCCGTGCGGCATCGATTGTGCGCAAACACCGGTCATCCGTCTCGACCGCTAGTGTTCCAGAACTAGTGCACAGTCTGGCAAACGGCCGAGAACTGATTCCTACCGAACAGATGCTTTCGGGAGAATATACTGCAGTTGGAAGGCCAGACTCCTCTCATCACAAGCAAATCAAGAGCCTTGCGCGGGAACTTGAAGCACAGATGCTGTGTCGCACGGAATCTGATGCAGGCTGCGAGCCTCTAAGTCCGGGCTCTGTTATCCCTTCTTCCATCCACGACCGGGCCAAGTCCACAAGCGAAGTTGAAGCGGCACCGTTGGCCGCGGCCGCCGCTTCTAGGGTCGCCCCTCGTCGTAAAGGCCGAGCATCATACTCTCTCTTTCCTGCGGCCGCAAATTAAGTTGTCGTCGGTCAACACATCTGCTAGCCCGGCGCATCCTATTCGGCAGCGTACTGACCCTGCCGATTTCGATCATCAGATCTATCTTTGTTCTGTTCTCCTTCAGCCCGTTCTCCATTAGAACGTCTTCCACGAATTATGATTTGAACCCCCCATCTTAGCCGAGGTTTGATTTCGGCTCTTTTTCTCTCTGTGTTCTTGCGATGACACTCTTCCTTGTACCATTTGCATACCAATCCTGCATACTATGCGCTTGCTTTGATCTTCTATTTGCGCGTCCCTTGCATTTCTCAGCGATCGTTCTCATCGGAAAGAAAAAGAAATAAGGTGTTTTTTTTTTTTCCTTTGTGCCTAGGCGTAGAGGTTTGGGATCTGGTTATGAGCGGGGTTCGATGAATCAAAATCCGTTCAAGTTCGCCTGCCGTTCTTCTTGCGACTGATTTTTATGTTCTTGGTTGTGGTCCGAGAAGTTGGATGTCCGATCACTCTCACAGAATTACCACCAGGGGTCGCTTGGGATTTATTTCCACTAAATGAAAAGGACAGGGGGCATTGAAATACTTTTCTGAAAGGCCTCTAAGAAACAGGAGCAAATGCTGATAAGGGGAAAAGACTAATAGAGCTTTTGCTGCTACATCCAGCTAGGCTGACTCTGAGCACATGTACAGTACAAGTAAACCTGAAGTTGCAGGGGACCGGGATTAAGAGGTGCCATGACGATGGATGTCATTCACCGCTTCAAGGCGGTCTCCTATTCTGCTGGTTTTTCTTCATTCCCCGCCTTACCTCTTTCCCTTACAATAGATTCATCTCTCATCTTCTGTGTCAGCATGCGTCATACATCCCTCTATTGCATGCAACGGTCATCCTATAGATGAGGCTGTTAGATATTGGTTAGGTCTAAATCATGTCCGACCCTTCACAGTCCTTGATCAAGCGTCCAAGCGACAGCAGCTTGATGCCTCCTCCTCCTCCACCGAAGCGCATTAAACGACCAGCCACCGTCCTTGACGAAGATGTCTACACCAACGCTCTCTCCGAAATCATTGCGCGCGATTACTTCCCTGGTCTTCTGGAAAACCAAGTCAAACAAGAATATCTGGATGCATTGGATTCACAGGATAAAGAATGGATTTCAAGTTCGAAAAAGAAACTCTCCGATTTATTGCAGACTCCAGCGAGAGCCCGTTCCTGCCCAGGTTCTGCTTATATGAAGTCACAATCCACTGAAAACAGAAGACCAGACGATACTCCGATGGGCTGGGGGGGAGATACACCTCTGTCGGTGACGTCTGCCCTCTCATCCGGAACTCAGATGACAGTGACCGGCACCCAGCCCCGGGGTCCTGATGTGAGTCGGCTCGGATTGCTGGAGTTTCAAGCCAAGTATACCAGTGAAGACAATGAATCCTTCAACAAAATACTGGACAAGCGAAACGCCAAGCATCGTGAGAGATATGCCTGGCTCTGGAACGGGAATAAAATGCCAACCACACGACAAACTGCCCATCATCGGCGTGAGACAAAACGGATTGAGGCCCAAGGTGGCAACCCGGACCAGAACAACCAGGTTTTGATCAAGACCGACCTGGACGCTCGGCCCGCTCAGCCTAACACGTGGAAGATAAAGCCAGATAACTCACTCATGTTCGCACCGTCGTCCGTCGAAGACACTCACGAGACAATTCAGCAGAAAGCCGAAGCTGCCTCACGAGCAGCGCCCAAGTGTGTGGTCTACCAGAACACTCGTCTTCCAGACGAAGCTCTCCAACAACCTTTCGGGAATGCGCCCCCGCCTTCCCCATCAATATCGGCAATCAATGATGCTATTGCCGGACGCCCTCGCCCTACAGATTCCGAGCCTGGATACATTGGCAGTGAAACGCCCCGAGTCAACGGATATGCATTTGTGGATGAGGATGAGCCTGAGTATGATCCTGGCTCGACCGGGGGCAATGGCTCTATTATAGACGATTCCCACTTGCTCGGGACCAGTGATGCAACTCCCAACCCATTCCTGATCAAAGAAAATCGCAAACGAGAAGATCTTCACCATCGTATGGTCGACCGCGTGGCACGGACGAGACGTGCGGAAAAGGTTGTCCGCGAGACCAAATCTCCCGTCGTGATGACTCCCAGGTTTGCCAGCAGTCCGCGACTTGACTTTGGGCAGCGGGCGACGGATGCAGCTACTCCCAGGATAAGAGCAAGCAAGATGCTGACACCCGCAGCGCAGAAGCTGCTAAGCCAAGTCGGAAGCACACCCCGTTCGAGTGGTCTGTCTTCAACTTCGTCATCTAATCTAAGGAATATCTGGACGCCAACTCCTCGGAAAGGCAAATGACTGCTTATTTTGTTCTTGCCCGTGGATTTTCTCTTTGTGAGCGTTTGTCAATTGACTAGACACCATGATACACAGGGTGGCATTGCGCGTTGAACTATAGCGCTTCCCATCAGTGTAATTGATATTCTTAGTGTTCAAGGGCATGTTTCTTGATTTCACGTCACCATTCATGCTTTCTATCCGCCAACAAGGGACTGTTGTTTCTCCTGCCCTTCTATCCTTCAATGCATTCAGTCATCAAAGAGCTCCCAGTCCAGGGTCTGAAGGCTGCATCGGTGACTAGAGATTCTGTTACAACCCACTCCAGGAAAATCTCACTGCGCCAAGAGGAAACTACGATTATACCTTTTTCTTCCGGCCGGTCCAATGCATTTATATCGAACAAAGAGTAACCGAGTCCAGTTGTTCTATACGCTCATTCAGCACAAGCACACATGCAGTAACATTGCAGGCAAATTCAACAGGGGTATCTGTTTTCTTGTATCCAAGAACATAAAGATCGCATATCTCACGGTTGCTGGGACCGGCCAGACCAAGCCATGTGTACGCATATGCATTCCCAAGACCCTTCATTCCCTCCCCAGGAAGGAGGGGTGACAGGGCCAATTGGATAGCGTAACTCAGCATACTCCTTGAGCAAGCGCGCAAATCGTGGTCCACAGGACCGTCAAGGCAAAAAGAGTATCCCACGCACCCTGATGGAGGCCTGCTGCCATGTTCAAGTAGTATGCAGCTCCCAAATAACTGCAGGTGATATCGCCACTCGGGTCCCGAGCCCCATAGGAAGAATTCAACCACCGCCCCACTGGGCAACTGAAGCCCATTGCGGACGGGCAGTTTCGGACCAGGCTGTGGCAGACGTCCTGGCAGGGCAAGATCTCCTTATAAGGACCCGGGCGTATCTCAGTGTCGATCAACGAGTTTCGTGATCGGTTTGTGGCTGGGTCAGTCAATAGACCACTGTTGGCGATTGAGGAGCCGTTCAAGAATGTCTGGCCCGCATTACGGACTTGGAGAAAAGAATCTGTGCTCGAAAAGTCCTGGCATCGCGGGATCGTCACGGCGCAGAGCCACTGCTTGTAGGCCTGCGCGCAGCTGTCACAGGAGACGGCAAGGGAGAACATGCTTTCACTGGAAGCGTTGCATTGAACTTGCTGAAGAGAGTAACTGAAGTTTTGGTAGAGAGAAGCGGCATTGTCGTCATAGAATGAGCGAAGGGCCGAGGTCTGAGTGGAGGAGTTCGACGGCACAGCATACGCGACTTCTGAGCAGAATGTGAGGTCATACACGACCGCACAGTTGTCCTCTGTTCTTGTTAGCGCGGGCTACGCATATGAAGTGCGGTCAAATGTAGAGCTCACCTGTCTTAGTAGTGAAGTTCATCGGCTTCCAGACCTTTCCCCCGCCACCAATTATTCCATTTCCGGCAGTGGTGGAATTGCCATATCGAGCCAGAATGCCCAGATAGGTGGAACTTCTATTGAAGCCGGTGGCATAGAATTGTTCTTTGGGTCGAGAAGCATCACCCCTGGTAGTCATGCTTGTCTTCACGTTGCTCATACCGATCTGCGCAAGCCGATCGAGAGCGCAGAAGGATCGCTCGAGGCCCGAGATAGCGGTGCTGTTCATATTGTTGGCAAACAGGGTGTACGGGGGTGTCTTGTTCATCCATTTGTTGATATCCTGGGCGTCGAGATCGGTGTCTGTGAGGTTATCCGTCGTAAGGAGTGCGGCGTTCGTGTCCGAGTCCACCAAGTATACGAGTTGGTTCTCGGTGTCCACATTATGGAAGAAGGCATCGGTGGAAACCGCGATCTGATACGTGTACGACCCCGAAGACACCGTACTGTTGGGAGCGGTCACGCCAATGTACATGTTCCCATCAACCACCAGCGTCGTGCCCATGTAGCCTTCCTCCGCCGCAATTACCTGTTGTTCCGCACTGTCTTTGTCGGGGCCCGGCTGCTCAAGGGAATTGGATAGGGAGACGTAAACCTGCAGCTGTGGCACCGGGGAAGAGGCATTGGTCGCATTTACCGATATGTTGAGGCTCGGTTTCGAGCAGGCCGTGAGGGACAGATAGACGGTGGCCGCTCGGGTTGCGATCTCTCCGTTGCTTCGCTTTGAAGTGGTATCGTTGGTGCTATCGCTAGCTGTCGAATCAATAGGGAAATACCAATGCTGAGTTTCGCCCACCTTCAACGTGCGTTCCTGATACTGGTTGTTTCCTAGAGAGGACACACCAGTCGGGGCTCGACGGACCAAATCTAGCCCTCGTCCTCGACTCTCTCCCTCCTTTTCTTCATCCACGGCATCTTCAAATTCCAGTCCATTATAGGATCCCAGTGGGAAAGCAAACTGTGCGCCAGCATCGCCGGCATAAATGACTCCCTGGCCTCCGACGGCCACATGCGCCGAGGTCTCTACTTCCTCTGCAGCAACGGGGCCAGCCCAAAGGGCCAAAGCGACAGCGGCGAGGGCATAGACCACATTGGCGACCGCCGACCCGTGCGACATGACCATCATGGAAAGTGGTTGATCGCGCCCCGGATTGCGATTGAGGCACGCATTGATTATGAGAAAGGAACCGTTTCTCCTCACGGGCCGAGATTTGCCAAAATCGTGAAATAATGTGAGGTCCCAGAGACTTTGATTAGAACTATTTTGAATCCTCCTTCCCACATTCAACGTTCAGCTTGTGGGGGATTGACTGTCGCGGTGCGGATATTTTCAGTCGGTCGCTTCGGGGGCCTGATGGAGATGGATGACAGGCTTATACCCCCTTATGGGCGATTGAGAGGCGTTCGGATTGTTCTCCGTACTTGGCTGCCTGGAGCATTCGATGCCTCTCTTGGCTTGCTGCGCCACAAATCCCGATCTCCATTTTGTCTGAGCCACACTTCGTCCAATCCAAATTTAAACCGGCGCTTTACATAATGATATTGATACCAAGATAATGTTTCTGGGTCCTACGAATCGCACGCGCACGCACAAGTCACCATATATATATATATATGTACCACATACACTATCTGTGTCAATCCCTCCATCCCCTATAATATACTTTTGATTACAGCAGACAAGAGTAAACAACATAGAACACAAAAGAGAGATTGCAGCCAAAGCATGATATGCAAAAGTCGATGCAATACAAGCATGATACCAAGAATCAAGACAATCAATGACCAAACAGCTGAAACTGATTGCGCCGATCTTAAACGAGCTTGTACCGGCGGGCGGCCACTCCACTGACTATTATGATAGCACCAATGACGCCAATGATCCCGAAGAACCACGCGAGGCTGTCTGTTTTTTCTCCGGGAACCTTTACATTCATGCCGAAGAGACCGCAGATGAGATTCATAGGGACGAGCATGGTGGCAATGAGTGTGACCTTGCTGAGAACTTTGTTGACGTGGTTACCCAGCATCAAGTTTGTCACATTCAGCTGCGCAAGATAGTTGGTGTGTGAGCGGCTGAGCATTTTTTCGAAATGTGCTAGATTAGACATCATGGTCACAACGTGGTCCTGGATGTCGCCTAAGTAAAGGCCAATGTCGCCGCGGGGAGTGACCGAGTACTGTTCATTGCAGCGTTTGGAGAAACCCCGGATTACATCGGCTTTGCCACCCAAGAGACGCATCAGACTCATGACCTTCTTGCGTAAGCCACCAATGCGAGGTAAGAATGACTCAAAATCGTCCATACGCGCAATGAACACAAGATCTTCGATGGCCTCCGATTCGACCTCAATTTCACGAATCACAGGACCGAAACTATCCACAATATCGTCGCTAAATCAACCCACGTTAGATTACACAAGTAGACATGGCGCACATAGCTGACATCGACTTACATCATCGCATAGCAGATCCAGTCGCTGCTGAGTGATACATAATCGCGAAGCTTGCCAATGCGCTTCCGAACATTAGCTGCATGAGGGTTCTCGGTGAAAGAGAAAGACAGCACCCCATCGCGGAACACGACCATATAGAAATTCACGGGCTCCATAAACTGCTCGCTAGTTTTATCCATCTGGTAAAATGTCCTGAAGCAGACAAAGTAATACTGCTTAAAAAGCTCAACCTTTTCGCGAGCTTCTTGGGTCAGGATGTCCTCCGTTGTCAAAGGGTGAATGGAGAACGCTCGGGACAAGGCTCCGACTTCGTCCTCCGTAGGATTCAACACATCAAGCCACCAGACACCGCCTTCTGGGCCAAGCTGGAAGAGATCGCGAAAAGTATCCCCCGGAAGAACCAGGTCACCCAGCTCTGCAGCGTGCACAGTGCTCTGGGATTCCGATGAGAAAAAGCCAAATCGGGTGGGCTCATTCTCATTTTTCAGATTCTCAAGCAATTCTTTCTCGTTTAGAACATCTGCGAATAACTTCTCGTTCTTCGTCGATGTCGGATCCAGTATCTTGTCAGATAAAGATTCCGCGCTTGATGAGCGTTTCATGCCATCACTGTCAAAATTATGGGCACCCGCACGAAGGTCATAAAAGATACGAGGCTTCTTGCTCTGCGAGCTCAGACTATGCTTACGTCTGCTTGCTGTGGGCTTCGCTTGCTGGCTGAGCGCAACAAATTCTTCCAACTCCTCATAATCGATGACTGGGATTCTGCCGGGCTGCTCAAATGTTGGCACGCAGCCATCATCAGTCGTTTCCAATTGTGCATCCCCAGGCTGCGGGCGAATCACACTGGCATTGCTGAACGTGGGGCGACGATGGTGCGTGCCACCAGATACTGTGCGTTGAAGAATGGCCTCGAGGTCAGGAGCTCCGTGACTCTCCAGGGTATTAGCCCGTTCCCGGCGACGCGGATCTGCGAAGGCTTCGACCGAGTTGGGTGGAGAGGTTGATCTAGCTGAGACGGATGACTCGGGCGACAACTTAGCGTAGTCTTGATGCGTGCGGCTGTAGGTGCGACCATGCCGGACATTGCCCGCGGGGTCCACGGAGAACCGACGTCCCAGTGCGGTGAGGTCTTTAACAGATCGGTCGTCGTCGACGATTGCCTGCTCGAAATCGCGCGAGAAAGAACCTGCTTCTCTGAGCGCATCCTGTATATTGAGCAAGTCTGGGCGCTGAGGGCTCTCTGGGTGCAAGCCCTGCGGTGCAGTATTTTGCCGACTGAGCGGCACATCGGGGGCGGCTTCCATGCGAGGCGAATCCAATTGGAACCGGTGGTCATCAAGTTCAGGAACCGGAGTGCTGTATCTCGTGAGAAACATGTATTTCTCGGACTTGGGTGACTCGGACATTATGGCAAAATTGAATGGTATGCGGTTAGTGTTTTTTGTTGCTCGTCAGTTAATAGTTGATTGAATGCGCGTCGCAAGCGGCCGGAATATGAGGCCTTGACTACCGTTTCGATAAGTTCCGCTGGGCTCAAGAACGCGAGATTGTACACAGGATGATAAACAAGGTCCCAGGAGTATTTGCTCCTCCATCCATTAGCCAGACCCGTCGTTAGGGCCTGGCATTACCGATGCGCGTCCGTGTGCCAGCTTTGGAAGTGCTGGATAATCCTATTAGGGGGGTCTAGTATCGCCCCCGCAGAAGACCCTGAATTTCGGGCCCAAAAGAGGGTGGAGGAGAGAGGACTGGTTGTAGCGAAGGCCCGCCAACTTGACTGAATCAAGTGAATGGGAGCGTTGTCGCTCCAGAGATAAAATCAAGAAGATGGGTAGAACGAGGAAAACTCCTTGGATAGAGCCTTCGAGGTTCACCTCAGAATTCGAGAGATGACGTTGACCGGATTCGGCACTAAGAGGCTTGGTAAAAGGGAGGGCGAGGGGGGAGAACAAGAGAATTGGGCGTCAGAAGTCCCGTTCAAAGGCCAATGCTGGAGAAAAGACCTAAATATCGGCACCAACTCTGATGTGGGATGGGATGAATGAAGAAGTAAAGCGGAAGGTAGCGACTTGATAAAGCCAGACTTTTCTCGGAAAAAAAGAGGTCGGACACTCTGCACTCGGGAAGAACCCCTCGGGAGTTGAACACCACAACTCAGCGTGTAGAAGGAACACGGGCAAGATCAAGTAAAGGATCAATAGATGTTGGTGAATATTGTGGTAGTTCTGCCGATTTCCACCCCGAAAAGGTGATTTCTGTCTTAAAGACAAAGGAAGAGAGAGAGAGAGGGGAGGGGGAGGGGGAGGCACAAAGCCGGAGTTGGGACGATGATTTATTTTACCTGCTCAAACAACTCCAATGGACGGACGGGGACTGAGAGATTACGAGGAGCGGGCAGAGATTTCCGCTTGACTGGGGCTGCTAGGCTGTGTAATTACATGACCGTATCTTCTATATACCCTACTTTATCATAGTCCACGGTAGGTCTCGGGATTTTCCCTTTTGGATCACTTGCAATTCTTGCTTATTCAGATTGCCTATAATTCGTCCATCTTCCTCTTACAACCACCTAAGTCAGAAGGGTGTCTTAAGGGAGTGACTGGTCCAGTGAGGGTGAATCTGGTAAATACTCTTAAGTACAAGGCTTGACGGTATCACACTATACGGGATAACCCCGTTACTGACTACTCCGTTCCTATCTTTAGGTACTGTACTGTACCTATACTGTAAAGTCGCGACGTCGGAAAAGGCTCCGAGGGGGGTTTAGTATCGACTCTGTCGAGGTATGGCCAACCACAGTAGTTAGTTAGTTAACCCGTGACTAGCCGGGTCTGCTCACTGTCAGCACACCCTTAATTCGAGCCCGTTGCGATGGATGATTTCACATCATGAGGTAATTGCGGATGTATATACTGGTTGACGGTGGTCGACAGGCAGTAACAACTGTATATGATGCACATGTCATAGGAAACAACGGACCTTGAGATTTTCAGATGAGCTGCATGAGCTGCTGCATGAGCTGCATGTCTCTCCTGACTCCTGTGTAAAGTCGGCCCTCTCGAACATGGGCCATCCATCATCAGGCACCCATTTTTTATCGTTAGCTCCTGCTCTTTCTTCCGTCCCAGTTATGGAGTCCACGTTCTAGCCGTCCATCAACCACCATGTGATGTTCCGGAGACGAAAAGGGTTATTCTTCTTAAAGACATTCTGAGCCTTCGCAGTGTGTAATGATGTCGGTAAGGTGCTTAGCCAGATGTCGCCATTACCATTTGTCGTCGCAGTATTGAAGGTTTTTCTCTTTTATCCTTCCCCCTCCCCCACCCTCGATCCGATGCGTCGTGGTCATCGGGATGGTTTTGGTTTGTTCAATCATAGCAAGGCGAGACGATGTGGTGGCCCGGCACTAAAGTTGGGGATTGGGATGGAAATTATGGTGTCCTGTATGTCTGGCCTCTGGGTCCGACCTCGGCCGGTTGGTCCCCCTCCCTGGCTAATTTTCGGCAGCGCATGCCAAGACAAGAAGAGTCACTCTATCAAAAGTAGTTTCAATCCATTCCTCTCCATACTGCGGTGACTCCATCCATCAGCTTTCTCTCTCCCCCATTGTTGCCCTGAGACCTCCGTTTCTTATTTGGTCTCTGACCTGCCCTGACCACTCCTAGACAATGGCTTCTCCTACTTCTTTCTCGTTAAAGATCCCCTGCTCTTCTGCCAATATCGGCCCCGGTTTTGACGTGATTGGCCTGGCGTTGTCCCTTCACCTCGAACTTCAAGTCACCATTGATACCTCCAAGGCACCTTCCCAACAACCACTTAACTGTGTGGTCACCTACGAGGACCGAAGCAACAGCACCGAAAAGATTGACTTGGATCCTGAAGTGAATCTGATAACCCGTGTAGCTCTATATGTACTTAGATGCCATGACCAGAGGGCATTTCCCGCGGAGACCCATGTGCATATTGTAAACCCAATTCCTCTGGGCCGGGGTCTCGGCTCATCCGGCACTGCAGTTGTGGCCGGGGTAATGTTGGGAAATGAAGTAGGCCGCCTGGGTCTGAGCAAGGACCGGATGCTGGATTATTGTTTGATGATCGGTGAGTGCAGAGTAGCTTTGGCCTTCCCTCCAGGGCAGCGGGCTTGTGCTGACCGTGTCTACAGAACGACACCCAGACAATGTTGCTGCTTCGCTCTTTGGAGGCTTCGTCGGAACCTACCTCAACGAACTCAAGCCCGAGGACGTAGCACGCAAGGAGATCCCCCTCAGTGAAGTCCTGCCCGCCCCCGCCGGTGGAGTTGATACCGGAAAGAGGCCCCCGGAGCCTCCCCTTGGAATCGGCCACTACAGGAAGTTTCAGTGGGCCAAGGAAATCAAGGCCATCGCCATCATTCCCAACTTCGTGGTGCCAACCGCCAATGCTAGAAGTGTCTTGCCAACTTCTTACTCGAGAGCGGATGTGGTAAGCTTCCCCTAGCCTTTGCCTCACAGTCGACGTGCAGTCAAACCCAAGGATTGCAACAAGCCACTAATTGCCCACGTCAATCAGGTCTACAACCTCCAACGCGCTGCTTTGCTCCCTGCCGCCTTGGGCAGCTCTCCCCCGGATCCGGATATGATCTATCTGGCGATGCAAGACAAGGTCCACCAGCCGTATCGCCAAACTCTCATTCCGGGCCTGACGGAGATACTTCAGTCAATGAACCCTCGTACACAGCCTGGTCTTTTGGGAATCTGCCTTTCTGGTGCGGGTCCAACTATTTTGGCTCTGGCAACTGAAAAGTTTGAGGAAATCGCAGATCGTATCATTGCTCGGTTCGCCTCCAACAATATCAGTTGTCAATGGAAGTTGCTCGAGCCTGCTCAAGCGGGTGCCACGGTCCAATACTGATTAAAGTATACAGTGTGTCTTGGATCCACCTCTCTTTCCTAGGCCTGAATAGAATTTTATACTCTGAAGGGAACTGCTATGGCCAGTATGCACGTGTCCAACATTCGAAGTAGTATCACCAGAGCAAAACATATGCGCAGCTATGATCGCGAGGATCAGTCAATGAGCGTTCTAGCCACCTGACAATGTAGAAGGCGGGAATTATGAAAGTGGCCTCATGAATTCCAGTATGTAACTAATTAAGTCGAGATCCTTAGTAGTGTTAATTGTATGGTAGCCGATTTTGCTTTCAAAGGTTCGGGTAACTTATCTGCAACAGACCCTCGATAAGCCAAAGGCGGTGGAGATAATGCCACGACTTCAACTCGGCTGCCCGTAGCTGCGTAGTAAGAATGGGCTGTGTCTGACCACGACCGTACAAGCCGACCACGATTATTACTCCCTCTCAGGATCCAAGCTTACTCGGACACGCCATAGAAGACATGTTAGCACGCATTCAAGATGCCTTGGAAGGCCAAATAGTAAGTAGAGCCCATCTCGTGGCACACAACACAACGGAAGACTAAAGTCGGTCGCTTTCTTCTATCTTGACAGGACTTCAAAGGCCAACAAATGACAGAACTTCTTACTACGGTCCTCCTCATCTTCTCAGGCGTGAGTACAAGCACACTGCATGTATCCTGTTCGCTCTTCTGTTCATGATCCGCTTACAAGCATTCTATGAAAGGCTATTGCTTTCCTCGTTGGTTACATTCAGCAAGACATTCATCTAACGCTCTGGGCCGGGCTGGCGGGGACAGCAGCAACTGGGTTGGTGGTAATTCCGCCTTGGCCAATGTACAATCAGAACCCTGAAAGGTGGCTGGCACCGACTGCGGCGGGAGTGGCAGTTGCAGGTGTCACGGTAGACGGCGTGAAGGTTGCATGAGATATAACTGTGGACTTTACAAGTCATTCCGATAGCCCGAATTGAACACAGCTTGCCAGCATCCTTCAAACACTGCCTAACTCTGTCTGCACCATTGTGAAGCCACTGCTAAAAATGCGGAAGAATTCGCAGAACGCCATCCAGTCCCTCCCAAGCCGATCATACTCACTTGAAGAGTGTAAGAGTGAGGCCATGGCCAGCCCGCTGTCTAGACCCAATCACCGCAGACCCTAGCCTACCGACCATATTTTTGGAACTCCCAGTCTCTGTTATCCAAAGGACAGACTTGACGGGTCTTTAGCCACCGTGAAATACAGTGGAAATGGAAAGCGTGCTTGAGAGATGAGATCCGGATCAGTGTTTTGTACTGCGAAAGACAGAAAGGGGCATACCCACATTACAGATGCCCCAAGCAACTGTACACTCTTCCGTCGTAGATGAGCCTTGGTTTGCCTGACATTCAATGCCTAGCATGAACAACATGTCAGATACCCGATGCATCATAGTCGGGGAAAGGGGAGCGTACATAGATCCATAATATGATTGCGGCAAATCGCACAGTTGTCGACAACGATGTCCCACGCCCACAGAGCCACAGCGTTCCACTAAAGCGACAACTTAGTTAATTCCGTGCCTTGGAAAGGAAACGGTTCCATGTGGCTATACCTTCTTAACCTCGAACTTTTTCTTGCCGTCACTGGAGGCATCTGCGACCTTGGACATCCCCTTGGCCTTGGAAGCACCAGAGGTGCCGGCCTCTTTCATTTCCACATCCGCCATGTTAACACTGCAGTGGGTCCGTTCCTTATCATTCGTTTAGGAAGAGCAGATTGAAGACTGGAGCTAAAGGATGGCTACTCGAATTGCGGAGGATTCAGAGGGGAGGAGAGGAGGGGTGAGTCGGGCGGCGCTGCTTGGTGGATTACGTAGGTCGACTAGTTGAGCAGGCGGTACCTGGATTAGGTCGATCTTGTCAGTTAGGTAGCTGATAACGGGGGGAAATGCGTGTTGCGGTGTAGGCAGGGCAGTTATCCCGAGGTGTCTTCGAACCTTCTGGCGCACGCAAGGAACAAACCGCTGACACTTCTGATAGCGCAGCTCGATATTTGAATGATTCGCAACTACCATCAAATGATAAGGCTGAAGTCAGAGCGATGAAATGCAGAAGGACATACGATGTCAACCGTAGTGTACCGAGAACATCTGTTTGCTACCTACCTACTACCTAGTACGTAGTTAGTTAGTAGTAACTCAAAACTTAGTCAATTAAAGTGGGCGCTGAGTCATCACTGGGCACCCCCGCTTGGTCCCCTCCCACCCCCAGCCTTGCTTCTTCCCGCCCTTCCCACGATCCAACAATCACCTTGAATCCGACCCAATATCAACGTCTTCCTACGATGCCTTGCAGCCTGCTTTCTTCGCACCGTATTCCTTCGATGATCTAGATGTGAACATGCTCGGGAGTTCTGGCTTTTTGCTTTTCACCGTCCTTTTACTCGATTCGCACTTGACCCTGTAGACGAAAGCTCGCATATCCTTCCAAATCACACCCTCCAATTCAAGGCCAAACTGGTCGGGCCACATTCGCAATCCCACCCGCACATTACGATTGTTGCTTCATCGTTGCCTGATATTCTAGCGCCAAGTGCTTCAGTACGGGTTGCTGGACAAACTGCTTAGTACAGTGGAATTCTCTCCCACCTTTTCAAAGTCGCCTCCATTGTTATCGCTCTTGCTCCCCTTCCTTGTTGTGCCTTCCGAAGCTGTTTCTCTTTCCAACCCAATTCACAATGGCAACTCAATCGCCCACTCCTCCGACGCCGAAGGGTCTTCGAAACAACCGCCGAAATTCGAAAAGGATTATCACTCCATCGACGCAGAAGGTCGCCTTACTGGCAACCCCGCCCTCTTCGCCGCCGCGGAATCAGAGTCCTGGCGGGACTGCCACCGACTCTTCCTTCAATAATAATCATAACGCATCGAAGAAGAAGCATGTGCGGTGCAACAAAAAACCTCGCGAGGCACCAAAGGCCTCGCCTGTTCCCAGCAACGGGCACCGACATACCTCTTCGCACTCCCATAACATTGCTACTCCGCAGACAAAGGACAGCTCGCATTATGCAGGTCCTACTTTCCATGCATCGCCAGCGCCATCTGCTCTCCCAATCCCAAGCTTTTTCTCTAAGTCGTTGCCCGAGTCGGACCTTTCATCGGGTTTGGAAGCTGACAGTGACAATCTTGATGCCAGTCCGGATATGGAGAGTACGCCCTCCAAATCTAGAACGCGTCATGTCTTTGAGGATGAAAGACGCCAACCTACGCCCCTTGATTTCCTCTTCAAAGCTGCAGTCGAAGCTAGAAATGCCCAACAGCCGCGCAGCCCGGAAATTACCACAAGAATACAATCTCCGCAAACTGATTCAAAAGCCCTTTTTAATCACAGAACTAATGGTGCTGGTGGTGGATCCTTTCCAATAGATGTGGATAGCCCTGAAAGCCATCAATCGCGTATAGGGCCTCCATTCGCTGCACCCTACCAGGATCGTATGAACGCATTGCGATCAGCCAGTTCGCCATCTCCATCTACGGGTCACCTGGACGAAGATGAACGCCGGGCCAAAACAGAGGCTTTGAAGAGCCTTCTACTCAATCCGCGTCCCCAGAGACCGTCTTCGGCTTCGGTCACCACCCAGAACCATATTGGTAGCTTCGGGTGCCATTCCTCCGTCAACCACAGCGTTCCTCATTTCGCGACTCCATTAAGAACAACCTCAGGGCCAGCTGCCTCTTACTCGCATGGCATGTCCATTGAGCACAAACAAGCTTTTCCCGGCAGTGGTTCACATTCGCCCTCCTCGTATACACAGCACAAAGCCTTTTACCAAGCTCAGCCTCCGTACTCGCCATTGCGAAAGGAGGTCCTTTCAACGAAAGCGGGGAACCACTCAAGTGTCCTTGGAGAGGCGCACTATCCTCCTCCGCATCCGTACGGGCCGCCAAGATCCCCGCCCAAGTATGCGCAGTATCCATTGTATCATCCTCCCCCCCAACAATCGCCTATATCACGTACCGTCTCGGTCAGTCCGGCTTCGCAATCCGTCGATACCAAGAAAATGGAGGATGATTTACGGCGTGTCCTGAAACTTGATGCGCACCCCGCTGTCCCAGCTAGTGGCATTCGAAGTTCATTTGCCTGATTGCACGTACTTTGTACTGAAATGCTATCTCCATACTTCTGCCCATGATTGGCCCTCCTTAATTCTTATTTCGGCGCTCTGGATCTCGTGAACCAGTTTTGTTTCAATGTTTAATTGTTGATATTGGCTCAGTTCATGCTTTGGGCCATTCTGGAGGACGTCTCAATGTCGAATTCAGACCTTTGCATGCCGCTCTTTTCAGGCTCTTTTGATATGTCACTAAATTCTCAGGGATTGTATTTGTGGCCCAGTGGCCGTGCCTTTCTTGTTTGTCGATTCACAGGGCTTTGTTCTCGCTGCTGCCCCATTCTATTTGCTCTCTTTGTTGGTGTTCTCCGCGGTTCATGTTGGTAGCGTCTTGTTGTTGATGGCAGGGTTTATGGCCCCTTACTGGGATTTATTATACCCCATTTGCATCGAACCTGGAGTCTGGTTGCCTTTTGAGTATTTCCCTATGGGTGTTGATTGACAAGGCTTGATGGCCGCGTGGCATGCTTCATTATTTTTGTTCCTGTCACATCCCCCGGTCATGTCCTCAGCATCTACCTCATGTCATGATGGCCATCCTTTTATTCTGTTGTCATGGTGGTCGCATGCTTTGCTCGATCCCAGGTCATGACAGAATTATGTCGCGCATGCTTTCTGACCATGTTACCCATTATGATGCTGGGAGGATAGCCATTGAGGGTAACCTTGGAGTAGTGGCTGCTGGTGCGCACAACCTCCGGACTCGACTTCCATCAGATTTTCTTTTCTTTTCTTTTTTTACATTCTGTTCCTCCCGACATTCAGTGATATGTATTTACGTTCATTATTATCCATGCCATTCATTCTTTGTTATGACTGAGTCTCCTGCAGACAGTCATGCACCGGCTGTTCATCATGTGTTTCTCGTTTGTTTTTGTTTGTTATTCATCTGATACATTTGACTTACACATACATATTGGGTATACAGACTAAAGGTCGGGGCCGGGGGGCATCCATGATCCCCTTGCATGTTGTTGATGCAGCCTCCCAGTACGTCAAAGAGGAGAGAAAGGGACGGGGGAAATGAATGCTGGCCGGCTATTTTGCGAGGTAGATGGAGGAGAGGAGGGGAGATGGATGGATAGCGAGGTCTGAACTCTGCCAGACAGAGAACTGGACTGACCAATACTGTACTGTACTGTACTGTACTGTACTGTATACTCATGGATACTCCCAGGCAGGTAGTGTACTGAGTAATCCCGTCTCAGCCTCAGGTAACCAGACATCAAGGGAGTCCAGAACGCGGATAGAAGCCGGCGCGACAAGCCAAGTCCAACGGCGGAATGGTAGTTCCCGACGCCCCACTCGGCATCTTCTCCACTCTGTACTGCAAATTACGCGGCCAGAAACCAGGTCAGAAAGAGAGAAGTTAAGAGCCTCTCGCTCCTCTGCGGTCAGGAACTGTCAGATTGTTGATGTACGAGTACTGTAGTCTCGATGATGGTCCAGGTGGTCATCCTATGTTGCCTGTACGGAGCACCTACCTACCTACCTACCTACCTTTTTACCCAGTACTAGGTATGCTCGGTCGATCACCGCATTGGGTGTCTGATACCCGAATTCAGCTACGTGTATGGTGACCGATGGTACAAGAACGCGGGAATGCAGTGGCGTTCTCTAGCACCCAAGCTTCCCTCGTCCAGAACGTGCATTCAGGAGAGATGCCAGCCGGGCTGGGCTGTTCGAAGGAGAAGGGGAGAGAGAGAGAGAGAGAGAGAAAGCCGTGACGGACTGAAGAAATCTCCTAGGGGTGGATAGATACCTACCAGCCCCCGATGGTGGACAAGGGGAAGTACTTACAGGAAGTACGGAATTAACTACTCTTGTACGGTAGGTACCTTCTGAAGATTGATTGCCAATATCCATTCTGAATGCAAAGGAAGAAAAGGGCGGAAGATCTGTCCAGGACCAGCCAGCCAACCCGGCCGGTCCCTGGATGCGGACGCCATTCCAAGGGAGAAAGGTTCAGAGAGAGAAGCATTTTGATGATATTTATATTTATCAACATTTCAAAATCCCAAGTAGAAAGACAAATAACATCAGTAAACATCATTATCATTGTCATCCGCGTAAGGTAGTCAGTTGTTCAATTGAAAGCCAACCGACCGACCTTTATCACCCTCCTCCCCCTCCTCCTCCTCCTCCTCCTCCTCCTTCTACTCCTCCGCCTTCTCCTCGTTTTCCTCGTCTTCCTCCCGCCGCCTCCCTCCTCTTTCTCCCTCTCCCTATCCCTCTCCTTCTCGCCTCTGTCTCTCTCTTCCTGCTTTCTTTTCTCCTTCCCAACCTTTTACATCAACTCCCAAAACTAAGTATCAGGTTGTCGCTTTGAAATCCTTGTCTTCTGTAGTCATTTCTCCCTCCGCCCCTCTTCCCCCTTCCTTGCCGCCTTCCCTTCCCACTCGGTCCTATTCTCTTCTCTTCTCTTCTCTCCTCCACCCTCCACCCCCCTCCCTCTCTCTCTTTTCGTCTCCCCCAGCCCCTTTCACATTGTCCCCTTCCCCCCTCAATCTTTCAATCCGATCCGCGATCTTCTCTCATCCGTCAAAGGTTCCATTTTATCACTTACGTTCATTCACATATTTTCGCCAAGAGTTCGGGCCTCCCATTGTCTTCCAGTTCGCAGATAGAACCTCGACCGCTGGGCCCCTAGACGCGGAGCCAATGGTCATTCTCCCGCCCTTTCTGATCTAAACAACGAAGAGTACATTCGGACAAGCAATCGGTCTTTCTCTTTGCTAGAGCACTCTGTCTCTCATAATGGCGAATGCGTAAGTGCTACCCTTTCCATCGCTGTTGACAGGAGCGCACGAACCCACAGCTCAGTCGATTACCGCCACGGGCAGCTCTCTAACCGTCTAAATAGCATCGGTTCAGCATGGCGCTCCTTTTGGCATACAATGACTTCCTATGATCGTCATGCATCCCACGACTCGCCTTATCGATCGGGTAAACATGTGCCTCTCAGTCAAAGCCGACACGAGCCTCTCACATCAATTGCGACAAGTGCCATCGAATCGCGCCCGGACCTGACTGCTCCCTACGATGACGACCAACCCAAAGGCTCGAATGGCTGGTCAGGCTCTCCTACGGGTACCGGGTCCCCCAATCGCCCATATTCTCCGGGTATGCGTTCCTTGTCATCGCAAAAACGGCAGTCAACCGACCCCGGAGTTGATGGAGCTCCCGAGATTCAGATGCAAAGCTTTCACGATGGTGCCCCGCCTCCGCCCCCAGTTGGCCATTCGTGGAGAAAAATTGATAAATGGCTGGAGCATAATTACGAAGAGCTTTTTGATAACTTGTGCGAGGGATGTACACAGAACGACATCAACGAACTAGAGCACGAATTGGATTGTAGCTTGCCCCTAGAGGTGCGGGAGTCCTTGATGATGCACGATGGTCAAGAACGCCCTGGATTGCCTACCGGTGTTATCTTTGGATGTATGCTCCTTGACTGTGAGGAGATAGTGCAGGAATGGAAGAACTGGAGGACGGTCAATGAAGAATTCTTGAGCAGCTCAATGATGAACCCGGTTCCGAAAGCAGCCGCCAGTTCGTCCTCATCCGCATTGCCTGCGCAAGCATCCAATCCCATGTGGAGACAGGATCTTCTCGAGCGTCAGGACTCACAGCCCCCGAACGCAGTCCAGAAGGCGTATGCTCATCCTGCATGGATTCCTCTGGCTCGCGATTGGGGTGGTAACCACATTGCGATCGACCTTGCGCCGGGTCCTGCCGGTAAATGGGGGCAGGTCATCCTCTTCGGCCGTGATTATGATTGCAAGTACGTGGTTGCCCGGTCTTGGGCCGCCTTCCTGGCCATGTTTGCCGATGATATTTGCAGCGGCAAGGTACATGTGGACGAGGAAACCAACGAGCTTAAGCTTCTTGAGTTCAAAGCGCAGAATGTCGAGCCTCCATATCTCGAGATCTTACGGTGGAGAACCGACCAAAAGTATGGTCGGAAGCCACCTCGCCGCAAGACTCCGAGCGGCTTAGGACTTAACACAATAGGCAAATCCGGCAAAGAATCACCTTATGGCAGCCCCACACCAAGTGAAGAACGGGGCAGGTCGCCGCATCGCTTTTCAAATCGTGGTTCCACACAGAGCCCGAAGACTCAATTTGGTATCTCAAGCCCTCTAGCTCGCGTCACGGAAGAGGTCCCAAGCCCCGTCCATACTGCAGCGGATGCTGAAAATCCCGAGAATGCGTCCAAGGAAGAACAGACAGAGGATTTGATGGAAATCGCGACGCCCCAAATCTCAGGGAAAGGAAACGACGAGATCTCGGAAGCCGAGCCTGAGCATGGACTTTCGGAAACAGACAAGACGCCTTTGAATCAACCACCTTCCGCCACCGGCTTGGACCCCGAGGTCTTAGGCGAGATGAAAAATGTAACTATCTAGACATCATTGTTGCAGGGCTGTTCTGTTCTTTGTATTTCTGACAACCTGTTTCCTTCTCCCACACCTTCACACTTAAATCATGAGCATATCTTGCCTCTGCAGTATTAATGAAGGCTGATCTTTTGCATTGTCGAGTACTTCATTGTCGTCCCCAGTGTACCAGGCGCTCATTGGTCAGTGATGGAACTCTGCTTAAAACTCTCTTCAAAGCCTGTTGTATAAAATTCGGACATTGTTCTCTATGGCTACAATGACTTTCGTTGTTTCTTTTATCTGGCTCATTTGACGGTCTGAGCATCCTATGATCGATTTCTCATTACCCTGAGCAAGTCGCCAGTGGCTCCTTCCGTTCGCTTCCAGCCTATCCCATGTTTTTCCGATGCATGTATTTTATTTGGCGATGATGCTGCACTCTTCCACTTCCAATACACCATATTGTGTCCCTTGTTATCTGTCCTTTGGCCCCAGCTCATGGAAATTAAGGGCGTATCTATCGGCGAATTCGCCAGGAAATGCATTGTCTCTGGGACCGACATATTCGTAGCATCTCTTTTGAAGGCTATACGGGATATTCCGAGTAGGTGGCCAGTTTTGCTAATTGTCGACGGCAGCGCTTCCATATATGTTATACAAGGCTAAGTTATCTCGAGAGTCATCGAGTGAAAGTCTAAGCGCTACCATTGGCAAGCATGGAAGAGTCTTGCTACCTTTTTCCGCCTGACCACGCGAAAGGTTCCCCCTCTCTTGGTCTCTGATGCAAAGATGCGAGGGTGAAGCGCTTTCGTTCACTATGTGGTCACAGGCATACTTGCATCACAATGCGTGGTTGAGTAAGATACCCAAGTTTGGTGAACATACAAGGGCCCATTGTCTTCACGATCATGTCTGCTGAGGTGGAGGGAATTGGCTCCGTCCAATTCCTGGCCATCATGCGCTGGCCGCTATGCTCCCACCCCAAGTTCGTGAAGCATCCAATGCTAATCCCAGTCGTCATCGTCGTCATCGTCGCCGTCAGCGAGCCGACGTTGACGTACGTTACCACTCCGAATAGCACGTTGCCTTCCATATCGTCGCCCATCCGTCCCGTCGTCGCTGCCTTCGTCCGACTGGTCCGAGGCGTCACCCATGTCCTTCAATTTTTCCTGAATTAGAATACCTTTCCAAATAAGCCGTTTTTCCAGTGTTTTCGTGCTGAACCCGTCGGTTCCATCGCGGCCACCTGATCCAAGGCCCTCAAATCCCACCACACGTTCGACGGCGACCCCGTCTTTGAAGCCGATAACGCAAGGAAGGATGCGAATCTTAAGTTTCTCTACGACGAACGGAGTGTCCCGCACGTCGACCCGCGCAAAGCGCACTTCGTGGTGCCGAGAAGCCAGCGCTCGGATGTGCTCGTCCATGGTGCTACAACGCGCAAAATCCGGTTGTGCGAAGTGAATGACGCATCGATGGGTTTGGGTTGTGAAGTCCAGAAGTATCTGATCGGTTCTCAGGGTTGGATAGAGGCTATCCTCGACGACAGTTCCTATAGGAGCAGCGGTACTGCGGGCCGCTTTATTTTGAGCTGCGGCAAACTCGGCATTGAGCTGTTCAATTCGATGCGCCCGATAGTATGAATCGTCTTCGTTCTCTAGAGCTTTAAGTAGGGCATCGTCGTCGGACTCATCCCGACCTCTCGCGGGATGCTGGTCCATTGAGGTGAGTTTCTAGCAAAGCCGCGTAGTTCGTCCGCTGGGAGAGAAACTGGAGATTCGATGGGAAGGAATTTGAGCAACGTTCGTTGACAGAAATATGGGCGGGGCCCGTAGACGTTCCGGCCTTTTCCTGCTTCTTTTTGGTTTGTCGAGGGTAAGAGGTTTCTCAACGCAAAGGACAGATCGGATATTAAGGCTATTTGAGATGGGGTTCTCTCTTTCTTTCTTTCTTTCTCTCTCTCTCTCTCAGAGAGGAATAGACTTCTGGAACGTGCTTGGCGTTCTCGCAACAATCGGCCAGTAACGCCTTTTCTGCTCTACGCCGTACAATCTACCAACTGGAAATAAGGCCCCAAGGTCAAAGTCAATTCTTTCTGCAAATGATACTGCACTTTACATGGATCACTCCGAATCCAAAAGAAAAGGAAAGGAAAAAAGAACTCCCTGCTCTTCCACCATTCATTCTATTGACTGCAAGGTGTCTGAAAACGATTCTACGATCTGAACAAATAAGTATTTGAGTCTAAGTAACATGTGTATCATCTGGTAATATTACCAGATGAGATTGCCGCATCCGGAACCAGAGATTAGCCAGCACAGCCAAAAGTTCTGCCGCGGGCTGAACATCAACGAAACCAACCCAATTCAAGTCTCCTCCTACACCCTGCGGCCTTCACCAATTTTCCCCTTCTTCTATCTTTATCGTCGTGCTCTTCCCCCTCCCCCCCCCCGTC